ACACTAACTTCCATGTTTACAGACCAGTTAGGTGGAAGATGATGTGGCCTTCGACATTTTCTTGCTCCTGCTTTTTTAAAAGTTAAGCACTTTGTTGATATTCAAGAGTCTTACTTCTAAACAGAATCTTTGCCAAACTATTGCTTGCAGACTGTTTATATAACCCACAATCCTTTGCTTCATGTGCACATGTTTGAATGTTTACATGTGAACCTTGCTTAAAATAAGCACTTTCTCTTCTTTCACATTCATTTTTAAGAGAAACACCAAGGCCTTCATTTTCTTCATATCGATTCTAAATTTGGTATCTTATCTAAAAGGAGTTTGTGTGTATGTATCATCATCATCTACTAGCAAGAACAACCCTTTCTGTTATCAGGTTTTAGTATTTTACCGAGGTGCATTACAGCAATACTGTATGCAGTTTAAAAGTGCCGAATTGTCATTAATTTTAACTGCCTATGCCACATCTATAGACTGAATAAGATTGCATAATAAACTCATAAAAACCTGGAATATTGGTCTAGCAGTTTTCTGCTTATTTCTACACTACTTGTTTTTACACTGATCATCAGGTATCAATATTCTATAAGGTTGACATGATTTCCCCCATTAGTATAAACTCATATTTTAATATCTGTTGGGGGTTTTTCTGTGATTTACCTACAAGTAATTTCAGGAAGTACCAATGGGGGCTAAAGATGCATGCTCAAAATTAAAACATACCAGCTTAAATATTTATATATCGATTGCTTCTGGTTTGCTTTTATTTTTCTTCAACGTTTTATCTCGCTCAAAGTGGTAAGTCTGTGAAAAGAATTACAAAACAATTTGCAGGCTTTGGGTCTCCAGTGAATCATAAAAATGTTATTCACAGAAAACACAGATCGATAGAGGCTATATAAGAATTTATGTAAGAATATTCTCTGAAACATATTTTTTTACCTATTTTTTTCTTTTTAATATAACTTTAAAAAGTTGCAGCAATTTTCTCTTATCCTCCTTCTTGTTAAATAAAATAAGCAATTTCATACAGGTGCTGGTCATAAAATTAGAATATCATGAAAAAGATTGATTTCAGTAATTCCATTTAAAAAGTGAAACTTGTATATTATATTCATACATTACATACAAACTCATATATTTCAGATGTTTATTTTGTTTAATTTTGATGATTACAAATGACAACAAATGAAAATCTCAAATTCATCATATCAGAAAATTAGAATATTACTGAAGACCAATAAAAACAAAGGATTTATAGAAATGTTGGCCAACTGAAAAGTATGAACATGAAAAGTATGAGCATGTACAGCACTCAGTATTTAGTTGGGCCTCCTTTGGCCTGTATTACTGCAGCAATGCGGCGTGGCATGGAGTCGATCAGTCTGTGGCACTGCTCAGGTGTTATGATAGCCCAGGTTGCTCTAATAGTGGCTTTTAGCTCTTCTGAATTGTTGGGTCTGGTGTATTGCATCTTCTTCTTCACAATACCCCATAGATTTTCTATGGGGTTAAGGTCAGGAGAGTTTGCTGGCCAATTAAGAACAGGGATACCATGGTCCTTCAACCAGGTACTGGTAGCTTTGGCACTGTGTGCAGGTGCCAAGTCCTGTTGGAAAATGAAATCTGCATCTCCAAAAAGTTGGTCAGCTGCAGGAAGCATGAAGTGCTCTAAAACTTCCTGGTATGTGGCTGCGTTGACCCTGGACCTCAGAAAACACAATGGACCAACACCAGCAGATGACATGGCACCCCAAACCATCACTGACTGTGGAAACTTTACACTGGACTTCAAGCAACGTGGATGAAGTGCCTCTCTTCTTTTCCTCCAGACTCTGGGACCTTGATTTCCAAAGGAAATGCAAAATTTACTTTCATCAGAGAACATGACTTTGGACCACTCACCAGCAGTCCAGTCCTGTTTTTCTTTAGCCCAGGCAAGACGCTTCTGACGCTGTCTGTGGTTCAAGAGTGGCTTGACACAAGGAATGCGACAGCAGAAACCCATGTCTTTCATACGTCTGTGTGTGGTGGTTCTTGAAGCACTCACTCCAGCTGCAGTCCACTCTTTGTGAATCTCCCCCACATTTTTGAATGGGTTTTGTTTCACAATCCTCTCCAGGGTGCGGTTATCTCTCTTGCTTGTACACTTTTTTCGACCACATCTTTTCCTTCCCTTCGCCTCTCTATTAATGTGCTTGGACACTGAGCTCTGTGAACAGCCAGCCTCTTTAGCGATGACCTTTTGTGTCTTGCCCTCCTTGTGCAAGGTGTCGATGGTCGTCTTTTGGACAACTGTCAAGTCAGCAGTCTTCCCCATGATTGTGTAGCCTATATAACTAGACTGAAAGACCATTTAAAGGCTTTTGCAGGTGGTTTGAGTTAATTAGCTGATTAGAGTGTGGCACCAGGGGCCATCAATTTTGAACCTTTTCACAATATTCTAATTTTCTGATATGATGAATTTGAGATTTTCATTTGTTGTCATTTGTAATCATCAAAATTAAACAAAATAAACATCTGAAATATATGAGTTTGTATGTAATGTATGAATATAATATACAAGTTTCACTTTTTAAATGGAATTACTGAAATCAATCTACTTTTTAATGATATTCTAATTTTATGACCAGCACCTGTATGTATTGATCAGCAGAGGGAGTGCAAACTCATTTTCTTGAGGGTCTCAGAACCTCCAGCCACTCACTTAATGGTGGTAGGGTCATGGGGAGACTGGCTCCATTGGTTAGTAGTTTGTAGGTCCATTGATTGCACTGCAGATATATTCACTCATATTTTTAGAGATTTATATTTTTTGGTTTCAACTGACCACCTTTGAACAAATGTTACCCAATATTAAATTATACTGCTCAATAAAAACAAGATTTTTTTTTTCTGTCTAACATTACTGCTGTAAATGGCTGCAGACCTTTGTGACTCTGAACAGCTTTAGGTTGCTCTAAAAATGTATGTGCTTTTTCTCTAGAAACACTTTAAAGAGAAGCCACACCAACATTTCCGTCACTGAAAACTTTGGCAAGTTTCATCTATAGAGCCACTTTCTTATTGTTTCCTACAACCTTGTTTCCTTATCATTGCACTAAAGTCCCTTCCCCTTCTTGGGGGTCAGTGAAAAGGTCACACACACAATTCAGGCTAGCCTTTCGGACACTTCTGGGGGTCAGTGGGGATGGGTGTGTGTTTTGTGGCACTAGGACACAGTTCTCACCCAGTGGCAGATGGTCCTGGGAAAACCTGGTTTCTTTTAACCCACATCCTCACAGAAAATGCAAAACCTTATCATGACTGATACGACATTGATCTGGCTGCAGCAGAGCCTGACCTGAGCTTACAGGCTCCCTCAGCCTCCCTCCACCCACTGAATGTGTCGTATTGGCAGGTCCCCATACTGAAGTCTTGATTAATTGATCACTCGGGGGAGATCCCGAGCTCATACTTTTTAACGTTATGTAAGAGATGGGATGAGGGGTGTTTGCACACACTATGTTTGGTCTTTAGCTGGTATAAGCTTGTATATGAGGCATTTCAATAAATAAGACATCCCATTAAACATGTTATTGTTTGGTTAAACTTATTAAGATGTTATGCCAGATAGATAGATAGATAGATAGATAGATAGATAGATAGATAGATAGATAGATAGATAGATAGATAGATAGATAGATAGATAGATAGATAGATAGATAGATAGATAGATAGATAGATAGATAGATAGATAGATAGATAGATAGATAGATAGATAGATAGATAGATAGATAGATAGATAGATAGATAGATAGATAGATAGATAGATAGATAGATAGATAGATAGATAGATAGATAGATAGATAGATAGATAGATAGATAGATAGATAGATAGATAGATAGATAGATGCTGGGCTTCAAAAATATTCTGAGGGACCTCTTAGTCATCCCAGCTGGATGATGGTGCTGAATAAAGCTGAACACATGGAGGGGGGGTGAACCATCAGGGGCGCTTGTGGGGGTTTAAATTCAGTTCTCAATAAATGACAAGCAGTGGATCAATACTGCTACTGACACAGCAGCTGTCATGCTCTCATCAATGCTTTCTAGTAATTGCAGGTCACACTTTCAGGGGAAAAACTTATTTTCATTTACATTTTTTTCTCACGGTCTGCAAAGACCATTTGGTGTGCAGTTTGACTCTGATTCCTGATAGATCCGCTCTAATCAATACGACTCGGCTGTGTTGATGAGGGAAAGTGGAGGGTTCCTGATGGGTTAAAAGAGGGAAAAAGAGAAGGCATAGTTGTGTGGGTGCAATTGGGAACCTTTTTTTATTATCCAATCAGTCAGGTAGATCTTATGTATAAATAAGGCCCATTTTATTTGAGATAGGATCTGAACTTGGTAGCTCATTATAATTTGCCTTCCAGTTATGACAACGCAAGTACTTTACGTTTTTTTGTCTCCCTGCAATAATAAAAAAGATACACATCTGTCAAAAGAATACAGCTTTTACACTTAAATATTGATATTGTAATAATAATTGTATTGTAAATAAATAAATAATACATATTGATTAATATTTTGCATTTAAGATAAGAAAAAAACCCACATCCAAATCCCCTCAAACAGAACAGTTTTAGTTTCACATGGTTTAAATTCAGTAACTTCTTTAGGTAAGCTTTTATATTCTAATTATTAATCATTTGTTGAAAAAAAATGCACAATACATTTTTTACACTGAAATATTAATATTGTAATAATAACGAAATGGATGGTTATAATGAGAATCATTGGCTTAGTAAAACACACTGAGACTATCTTATTTTAATGAATGATTTTACTGTGAAATTGGGCTGTGTGGGTCTGATTGGTGCTGCAGTGCAGGTGTCCTGCCATCGGGTGGCGCTGAAGCACAGGCTGCTCGATGACCCTGAGGGAGGGGGGAGGGAGGGGGACTGCTGCCTCCGTCCAGCCCAGAGGAGGGAAACTGACCCTCTGCATCTCTGTCCACTAGTCCAGCTCCTCAGTAGAAGTGCGGCTCATGTAGAGGAATCAATCATGAGAGAGTAGCTAGCATGTCTTGGAAACTATTGTAAATGGCTCCTCTAAAAAGGAAATTATTCCAGCGTTTGCTGCTCTTTGCTATTTTTCTTCCAATCTCAGGTAAGAAAAATCATTTATGTGTAATGTGGTTGTTAAAGCAGGTAAAGCAGAGCAGGAGTTCATCTGTTCGGCTTTAGCTGACAGTGGAGAGCTGTAACCGTTAAACTTTAAAGCTAATGGTTGGCTATAACTTAATGAGGTGCAAAAAATTAGACACCATAACTTTAACTTGGTTTTAAAAACTGGTGGCGGTTTTTTTCCTAATGAAAAATCATTAATTTCAGAAATGACACTGATATCTTAAAGAACTCAAAAATATTTCTTATTATCAGTGAATAAGTAATGATAATTATTCTGATTTATCAAATTGTAAACTCTTGTTTTAGGATTTTTTTTCATGATTTCTTAAAAGTGAGTTGCTAGGAAGCCTAGTTTTATAAGTGAGTTGAACTCAAGCTGTTTTTATTATTTGTACTTAGCCACTTTCTTTTCTCACTTCTTTTTTAAAAGCCCTTCTAAAGGGAAAATGGATGACAAGAGGCAGGAAATAAACACATTATTTCCACAGCTTATTGAAATGATAGACATTTACATAGAATATGCATTTCCAGAGTTTTTTTTCTTTAAGTAAACTTATTTTAACAACAGCTTTGGTCTATAGGTAGTGATATGGTGGATATTGACAAGCTGATATGCATCTGATGTGGGAAATAAACTGGTTTAAAGTCTATCCACTGCTTCAAATACATTGCTGATGCAGAGCATTAAGGAAATATCAGATACTGCACCCAAGCATTGCAATACTGTACAAACTGATATTGTTAACATTTGCAATCCAATATGTTCTGCAGCTCACGCTTTTAGAGCAGTGTTCACTTTGTTTGTGGTATGGCTAAAACATTTAATCGGATTAATCCTGAATAATTGGTTATCGAAATAATCATCAACTAGTTTAGTAATTGATTAATCGTTAACAGAAGTATAGAGACTCTAAAACATGCTTTTAGCTGACAGAGAAACCCAGTAAGAGCACTAAATATACCAATATTGTAAATAAATAAATAATACATATCGATTAATATTTTGCATTTAAGATAAAAATAAAAATACATCCAAATCCCCTCAAGCAGAACAAATTTACTTTCATCTGGTTTAATTCAGTAAAAAAAAATTTCTTTAAGTAACATTTTAATATCTGATTATTAATCATTCATTGAAAAAATAATCAGCAGATTAATCAATTAGCAAAATGATTGTTAGATACAGCTCCAGTTTCCAGTAAGTAATTCATCTACATATAGAAAGCCAAATCATTTTTGCATATATATTTTTCCTCATCATTGATATAACCATAAAATCTATTGCTAAAATTTAAAGTGGGACAACTGTATTCATTTGGCACCTTTCACTGATAAAACACAGAGATCAATAAATACTGAATAGAAATATGAGAACAGCCTAGACTGATAACATCACAAACTATGTGTTACCCCCACCCCTATACCAGTGTCTTTATAGTTAGTTAGTAAATATGCCTCTTAAGAGAGGGGACACTCCTTATAGAAGCTAATGCATCATCATCTCCCACTGATTTCTGTTTCATCTATCACCTGATATGTGTAAGTTGACTGATTTATTTTGGGGGATCTGCAATTTGCTGATATTGAAGCAGGTCTTATCCTCTTGCAAAATGTTTCCAAAACCAGCCACTGTATTGCTCTCAATGTTTTATTTTATTTGAGAACACTACCTCATATGCACTTAAACCCAGTTTGTATTATTTCATGGGTGTTGTTTTATCCCTTTTAATAAAATGAGACTGGAATATTAAAGGTACACTGTTACCTTATGACTTCGACGGTGTCATTTCTTAAAAAATAATCAGTTTTGGTCAAAATTGGAAGGTTCGAATTTTTGGAGGATCAGTGATCAGCCAGAAAACTAGAATCAGTGCACCCCTAATGGTCAGCTCTAAATGTTAGTAGGAAGGGTGAAAAACATAAATCATTAAGCTGGGTTTTTTTGGGGGGGGAAATATTTAAATAATTTTAAACACAGAAAGGCCATGCTTAATGGATCTTTGTTTTTCATGTTGAAACATGGATATTTAACAGTGATACCCAGCTCAACCTATTGCAGCAACATTAACTAGATATTGTAATAGGCAACATCTAGTTTGTGCCATTAATTGTTTCTAAAAATTCCCTTACTCCGAAAACACATTCAGGACATCATACCCTTTAGAAGCACAGGGTCATGCACAAACCTAAAACACATTTACATAATATTTATGCACAGTGAAATACTGTAGTGTCAAATGTAACATGGTCTGTTTCTTATTGGCCTTGCAAAGTTAATGTCACATGACAAAACAAAGTCTAAAGTCTTTTTTCGTTATGCTTAATCAATGTTTGCATGTGAACTAAATGGGCCAGCAGGATCATTTGTTTAACATCCAGATCATTTCTGATGATCTAAACCTTTGCCTTTTCTTCTTTTTCACAGGTGTTTTAAGCTTTAGTGAGTTATTTTTCGTCAAGGAGCCCCATGATGTCACTATCATGCGGAAAGAAGCGGTTATTTTGGACTGCCAGGCACGTGGAGAGGCACCAATTGACGTTAGATGGCTCAGGAATGGAGCCAGAATAGTGGAAAACGAAAGGGTGTACCTGCTCTCCAATGGCTCCCTTTTTATTTCTGAGGTGGAAAGCAGAAGAGGAGATAAATCAGATGAAGGGTGCTATCAGTGCCTTGCTCAGAACAAGTATGGAACAATCCTGAGCCAGAAAGCCCATCTTACAATCGCAAGTGAGTATGAGAAATGCGTGGAAAAACTTTGTTTTAAACCCATTTAAAGTAGAAATATCAGGGTTACTCCACAGTCTTAGAAGGACTATTTCTTAGAAGAAATAGAAATTCATTTTCAGCCTTTAAAGTCTGGATTTATTTACCAGCGTTTATTCCTTATGCATTCAATTTTTTGTTTTCCAGAAACGCACTGACACCATATATTTTTTTTATTCTGGTAAATTATATCTGGGAATTATTGGTGTTATTATACCAAGTCCATATTTATAACTGGGATGAAGCTTACTGTTTACTTTACGGATATTATTAGGCATATTAATGCTCTAGAGTCACATGTCAACTTTAGGGAAGTTATTTGTAACTTGCTAATATTGATGAGCAATCTTAGATTTACCTTACAGGAAGTTGCAGAAACTCTGCACTGAATTAAGTGTGTTCTCAGTCATTTATCTGTTTGTGAATTTGCTACTCATAGCAGCGTTGAGGAAGAGCAAAGTGTTCAAAGTGCAACAACTGTTGGATGGATTGGGGGGGCGCACATTGGTGTGTTAATGAAGGGGAGGGAGATTTGAAAGGTTAGGAGCTGTCCAGGAAACTGGCCCTGCTACCCTAAAGAGCCGATGACCCTATTCACTGGCCTGGGCTTTCATGTTATTGCACCCTGCTCGCTAGAGGAATTGTTTCGCTTGGAATGCCTCCCCCACCAGCACTAAGAGAGTTACCGTCGTATTTTAAGGGGGTGGGGGGCAAACTTTTTACTAAGATAGTCCTCAGAGACCCTATGTCATTCCTACCTACAGCTTTGACCAATGCCTTCCCATCAGCTACTTTTTGACACTGGAATGCTTGTTTTAATATTGTTTGAATGGATGCAAATGGTTCAAATTAATTGTCTCATTAAATCATTTGTCTGCAAATGAGTTTCTTACAACTATCATGGTATAAAGAGAAAGATCACACAGGCTATTCTGAAACATTACTTTACAAAATACGGTCCTTGCTGCTGAAGAGTTTACACATTTTTATGAATTGATACTGTACTGGCCCTATATCCTGAAATAAAGTGGTAATAAAATGTTCTCCAGCCTTTTCCAGTTTGTTTTTGAGTCAACACTTAGACCTGCTAGAAGGTCTATCTGGAAGCTCATAAAATTTTCACATACCTGAGAAATGCTTAGTTGAAGGACGCAGCAACGGTGGGGGTTGAAAACACACACACACACACAATGGTGAATTGTTGTTTCCCGGCATACTGGGGGCTTTGCCCTGAGTGTCTAAATGACCAAACTTTATTGCAGGCCTTCCCAGGTCAGGAGGAATTGGAGGCTTTTGCACACAATTGTTTGCTGCTTCACCACTCCTCTGAAAGACTGAAAGGCTTTTCACTCTGGTTGTTTTTGTCCTCTCTGCCTCACATATTAACAAAAGAAAGGGGATTCTCTAGGGGCAATTGTTTGTCCTTAAATAGGTGGAAAGATAAGTTGCAGTGGGACATGTGCAAATTTTTTTTTTTTGTTAAAACAGGCAAAACATTTTGTGTTTCTACTGTTTGTACACAGGACATTAATGTGCATTTTCTCTGATAACAGCCTTATTCGTGGAAAGATTCAAAAACATCCCGCTATAATTTGTTGTGTATACGATGGTACCTGCATGCTACTCTGCTAGCAGATGCTACACTACACTGCCCTTTATATGCTGATGAAGGTTCTCAGTCATCCAGGTCATAGTCATTCCGTAAAAATTCAAAAAATATCCACTGGACTTGGTTTTCAAGATTTGAAGACGTTTCGCCACCTCTCCAGGAAGCTTTCTCAATTCAAATGTCTGGATCCGCAGTGAGTTTGAGTCTTATATAGACAACGCCTTGTATCGCTTGGAAACATGCAATAGAAACAATCCCCCCTTTAACGACCGACCCCTAGAATCATAGACAGTTTCAGATATTACAGGCTAACGATGGAACTAACGACCCATTCATCGGTTTCTATTGCATGTTTCCAAGCGATACAAGGCGTTGTCTATATAAGACTCAAACTCACTGCGGATCCAGACATTTGAATTGAGAAAGCTTCCTGGAGAGGTGGCGAAACGTCTTCAAATCTTGAAAACCAAGTCCAGTGGATATTTTTGAATTTTTACGGAAAAACTGCCCTTTATACAGTCTAAATAAGATGTTCAAAATTCTGGTCTTATACAGTAGTAGCCATTCTAAATTTCCCAACTTTCCCTGATAGGCTCTTGGTTTCTCCTTGGCTAGTCCCCTACAATTCCTTTTTAAAAGTCTAAAATATTCTTTCTTTCATGATTTTAGGACATTAAGATCTAAAGAGAAGCATTATCACCTAGTCAGACTCTGTAATTCAGTGAAAGGGTGGTGTCAGAGTAAAAAAATATGCATACCTTGGAGAAGGCCAGTGGCTGGAAGTTGGAGGGATTTTGCTGCCATTCGGCCGCTTTTTGACTAGGAAGGGCCATTTTGAATGGCTGCTACTGTCATTTATATGTCTTTATAATTATATGTCCCAATACAACTTTTTCCTTTCTGATGCGATGCTGATATTATAGCTTAGAGAACTGACCAATAGTGAGAATTGACCAATATGATATCAGTGCAAATTTAAGCTTTTATTACTTTAATGACTTGTTTTGTACTGTAGAATGTTAGAAAAGGCTAGATCAAGTCAAGTCAAGTCAATATTAAGACAGATAAAAACAGTGGACAACAATACCTATGAAAACAACTGACCCATGTCATATTAAAGGTACACTATGCAACCGGTGTTGATTTTCCAGTGAGGCTCCCTCCAGAGGGCGAAAGTAAAAGTGCACTGTCGTAAATATGCACAGCTGTTCTCCTGGTTTCTCCGTCAAGCCAGGCGCGGTTGTTTTGAGCTTAGCAGCGAATGACGCTGCGTTCACACTGGACGTAGCTGGCGCGACAGAAGCAGCGAGTTTACATGCAAAGTCAATGGTTGACGCGCGTCAAGGCGCAGTAAAAGGTCCCGCGGCGCGTTTTGAGCACCAGGCGCAGCACGTCTGAGCAGCTGAAGCAGCGCGTCGGGTGCGTTTAACGCAGGGAGAGAGACACAGCGCTGATGATCACTCCTCTTAAACAGTTTATTGACGCCTAAATTAACTTAAAATGCAGAAATCTGCCGGCAGAATATGCAGTTTGGATTATTTAGATGAAAAACACCTACCAGCTGCCGCGGTGAACCGCTGCTGATGAAGGGATCCATACTGTTGGCGCCCCGCTGGTATGTGGGGGTCTGAGCGGCTCCGACAGAAAAAATATTAAAGGCAGGATAATAATCTGAATGAACTGACTGCACTGATTACGTTTTCAGGTGTATTTTCTCACTTAAACACATATTAAAACTACTTTATTCCCACTGATCACAGCAAATATAGCTGCAAGGCAGAGAAAGGATAGTGAAGCTCCGCCCAACGCGCCTCAGACACAGCCAGAGCAGCAAAGCTGCTTCAGCCACGCGTCAGAACTAACTGGTACAAGCAGCAAAAAGGAAGCAGCAGACGCGATTTTGCTGCTTTTGCTGCGTGAACGTAGCATAACTGCACAAAGATTGCCACTGTGCTAGCAACGAGAATGCTTTTAACTGGGGGGTGTAGCAGTTCTCGCCGTAAAGCAAGACTGACTCTCACCAGACTTCTGAGCCTGTGGGTGCGGGTCGGTGCTCCTGCAGTTGCAAGTGCAGTATTTCCCCCACAGACCACCAGGGCGGCCGAGAATACCTTTGTTCAACCTGAAATGACTCATTTAGTCATCCAAAACGTTATGGAACACATTAATTAACTGAAAAATGTTGCATAGTGTCCCTTTAAACAATGAGTTAAAGAAACTTTAAACAGAAGCATAGTGTTTCTATCTGCAGGCCAATATCACAGATTTTAGATGCTGGCTGGCATAATCCGATAGTAGTTTTTTGGCTATATTTGCTATATTTTTAAATTTTGTAGTTTATGCAACCCTTTGGTCAACAATAATTCTCAGCAATTCTATAGCATTTCACTGTCAAAGATAAGTAGGAAAAGTGTGTATGGTTTGTGCTGAAATTCTATTGGATCAATATTGGTATCAGCCAGTACTTTAAAATGTGATATCGGTAACGTATCAGAAATGAAAATGTTTGTGACACCCTTGGCATATCACGCATGGAGATAGCATTTTTTTTTTGTTTTTTTGTTTAATAGGTTGTTTTTAGCCTGAAAGGTCTAATAACATGTTTAGAAGTTGATTAGCAGTAAATGACCACTAGTTATTTAGAACAAATGAGAAGATTGTTATCCACATGCTTTAGTGCCCAGAGGCTCTGCTTATAAACGGATGTGAGGACATGTGTGCAGCTCAGCGGTGACTTTCCTGACATGGTTTATTGGGCTGTGGGAGCTTTTTAACCCTTTACACATAATTCGAAGCCGCTGGCTGTCATTTGAGGAAGACAGTGTTGATAGAGGGTAACCTTAAACATTGGGTCATAGAGCTCAAAGGTGGGCTGGGATTTGGCCTTGATGTGACACCTGAGCTTCGCTATGTGACGTTTGTCAACAGGCTTCAGATTGATGAGGATCTTCAATGAGAGAATGCCCACTTAAGTTGGCTTCCCATTTTATTTGGTCACTTGCAACATGTGACCAAAACCACACAAAGCGAGGAAAAAAAGGACGTCAGATTTCTTTTAGCAATAACTTTCTAACTATTACAAATATTAGCACCATATATGTCATCAACATGAACTGCATCAAGGTGTTGAACGATCCAGCTGGGGGTGCACTAAATTAATAGTAATTCACCATCCTATTTTTACCAATTTCTTTTTTTTCACTCTGAGGACTTTAACTAATAAAAGGCAAAGCAGGTATTTTGACAGAGGTTGCCGTTTTGAGTTTAACTGAATGTGAAAAAAAATTAGAATAACCTTATTTATATTTCAAAATGAGTATGCTCTACCGTTGGCTGATATTGGTAAACAAACGTGCCTTTGGTAGCTGTGTTTATGGATTAAAATTGATGTCTTCACTTTGTTTTGATGCATTTTATTGACTCAATAGCCAATAGGGGAGAAACTGGCTAATCAGTTGGTGCATCTCTAATCATAACTCCTCAGTTGAAGTGTTTTTTAAAGTCAACATGTTGGGGAGGTAAGTATATCTGGGCAGAAGTGCTAACTCATATGGATATAATATGTTTTGTCAAGTGTACATCTGTGTGACCTGGAAGGTCAGATAAATAAGTGCTGCTATAGTAGAAACAGAATTGTATTTATGAGTGAAGTTACTGATTTCAGAGGTACACAGTGCTTAAAATGTAGGACATCATCTTTTCATCCTTTTTTGCTGGTTCTGCTTAATCCACTAACTGGTTTTACTTTTCTGTGAAAGGTTTGTGATTTCCTGTAGTTAAGATGTTTTATGCTTATTTTAGAGCAGGCTTTAAAAGAGTTACAGGCCACAGAGGAGCTGCTGCAGTTTATTTTTATCTCCCCAGTGTCTCCTATAGGATGTGATCTCAGGAACATTGCATTGGGCTGCTAAGGCATACATCTGAGATGGGACATTTAGAAGCCCCTGATAAGTCAGAAGCAAACCCTGCACAGTTTGAACCTCGAGGTGAACGACGAAATGCCCCAAAGGGAGACAATTCAAAGGGAGGGATCTTGTTTTTCTCCTCCGCTGGAGACGAAAGGTTACCATGGTTCCCCTGAACGGCAGGCCCTGAGGTCAAAGGTTCCTTAAAGCTGGTAAATAGATGGAAGAAGGTCGGACTGAAATGGATATAATCCTAAATTCAATAGTGTTAGATTAGTATCCAACAGTATTCGCTGATGCTTGCACTGGTTCTGCTTTTATTCGTATATTTCTCTCTTGCAGCACAAGTTTAAATATAGCTACAATTTGATGTGTTTTCCGTAACATCGCAGCGGATGATAGTGTTTTGAAGCAGAGACAGATGTACAGGTCGACTTTAAAGTCTGATCTGATATAGAGATTAAAAACAATGAAGCCTCTGTTGTCAGAGGAGGGTTACTCCTGTTGACTGATTGGAAAACTTTGTGAGAAAGATAAGGAGCTGGGGGGGGGGGGGGTGAATGGTCTTTCCAGCAGTGCTCCCCCACTCCAGCTTTTAGAGGTCACGCTGCTCATGGGAATAGGTCTTTGTTTAGCCAGGCCAGTGGTCACCGGACTGTCCTGCACGCTCTGTAGGCAGAAGCACATCTGCCAACAAGCCAGCCATAGATTTGTGGCCATTTTTAAAGTTTTGCATGCTGGTCCCAGCTTATCAGCCCAGATTTTTCATATTCTTATTAAAGTTCACAAAGGCCAGCAGGAGAAAACTATCGCTTTATTGATTAGCAGTGTTCTTCTTTGTTTGTTTGTTTTTTAGGGGAACTGACAAGCTAGGCAAAACACGTGGGGTAAACAACTGCACTGGAGAGCTTTTAGCACTATAGAAGCAAATGGGAAAGTTTTGGAGTTGATTCAGTGAACCAATGGCCATCAGCTCAGTCCATCAGGTTTTAAAAAAGTTGGTCAGTTTTATTGTCTGCCAGAAAACTATAGACTGATGGGGTTTAGCTGAATAAGAGACATTTCTGTAGATGTTTAAGAGATTATTATAAAAGAGTAAACACACCAGGTTTCAAGTATCATCTATCTATTCAAAAGAATACTGGAGCAAAAAAAAAGAAATAATGGCTCACAAGTTGTGCTGCTTGAGCTGACCATGGAAACTAAGGAAGAGAGGGCTGAACTAATTCCTGCCATTTGCACGGGAATCTTTGTTTGGGCTGACCCATCCACTGACCTTTAGAGTGTTGAGTGGCCAGCATCAGAAGTCCCATCTGCTGCTTGGAGAGTCATGGTAGATATGGCTTTAATTTGGTGATTTCAGATTACTGCGAGGTGTGATCATGTTGCAAAATAAGCTAAAAAGGCTTATGAACAGATTTTGTTTTCCTTTGCTGGGGCTTTCAAACTAACTGCACTTTAATCTGATGCATATTTTGTGTCTAATACAAATAATATAAGTTCTGAACAAATCTAAATTTGACGTGACAATGTTTAAAAGTGTTTTTCTTGTCTTCTTTTTTTTTTAAATCACATTTTGAGTTCTCTCAACTCAAGTAATGGTTTAAGTGAAGCCGATTGCGTGGCAGCTCTGAGCACCAGGATTGGTTTTGGGGTGGTCAAACTTCAAGCTACCAGAGCTGAGTGTGATTTGTGGAGGTCAGAGGTGAGAGGGGAGGATTCAGAGAGGGGCAGATGGTCAGAAGTGTTTCTTCAAGCTTTTGAGGAATTGGCAGAGGTATTTATTTTCTGTTTGGCTAAGGATGCAGTCAAAATGTTTCACCAAAAGTTTCATCCATGTGTTTTGTTTTACTAATGTTAAGGAACTGTTAAAGACAAAGAAAGTAGAAAAGAAACACGTTTTTTTTTTTATGTTGAAATAAAAGAAAGAGAATTTTACATGGTTTTACTCAGAACCAAAGAGTATTGAAAAAAAAATTCCCAGCATACCCTAATAGTTTCTAAATCATCAGCTACTGTTCCTGTGTTTTTCAGTTCAGAGTCACTTGCCTAAATAGTGAAGTAAAACGGTGGCTAGAAGGGCTCATCTCCTATGCCTGTAGGCATATCACTTCAACACATGGTGGGTGGGTGTAGGAAAGAGGGTCTAAAGGCCTCTTCTCACCTCTGTAGTTGCATCAGACAACCCCAGTGGAGCTGAAGCTGAAGGGGTAACAGCTCTGAACTAATGTGATTAAACTGGACCAGAATCTGATCCAAGCCACAGTTTTCCTCATGTCCAACACATATGAAACATTTATTTTTCAAACTGCTGTTTTTCTCCAACCTCGATGGATGTCTGCATGATTTATAGGGAAGTTGCTGTCAGTCTTGTAAATGTCATAATTGAGTGTTTTCTCTCCTTTGGAAGTCAGAGATCCCCTGCTGTTTAACACCATAACACCTGGTAACACTGCTTAAACACAGACATTCGTCATTGGCCCCATACTCACTTCAGTGTTTTTAGCGCAGTTTAGGAATTTTCTGCAGACCTTTTGCAGAGGCAACATGCAGCTCTCTGTTGAAGATAACACAATTTATAAAGATTTTATGTATGTCAATTAATAAAATGCTCTCCGTTTTTAACGTTGACCTTCCCTGGGGTTCTAAAAGGTTACTTTTTGTGTGGTTTTATGTTTTTGTGGCACATAGGACATTCAATTTATACACATAAAGAGCACATTATGTTTGACAAAGGACATTTTAGAAATGTCTAGAGATTGACATATCGTACTGATCACAATAAACTTATCACAAACCACTTTAAACATCATTGTAGTGAAATTAATGTAGAATTATAGATCATTTTTAAAGAAACAACAACTTTCAGAGTTGTTTTTTTCTGATAAAACAGATAAAGTAGCTTAAATTCTTACAACCATTCTACAGTCTTCTCCTTTTTTGTCCCTTTTTTTTATTTCTTCGTCCCTTTTTCCCTGTGGTTGTATAAAAAGGCTTTTCTGGTAGCTCCTGGTGGGTCTCATTTACTTGTGGGTCAGTTGGTTGCTGACCCAGGCTCAGTTTCAGAGAAACCTTATCCATGCAGGATGTAGCTGTTCTCCTGCAGTCAACACCTTCCTGCACAACCCGGCATGTTCCTATGCACGACATCCCCTGACTGGCATCGTTGGATGTGATAAAATAATCATTCAAAACTCTTTATTCAGTTTAGCCATATTAAAATGAATTAACCTTAATTCAGTATTTTCTACTTCTGTTTTATTTATCTTGTTTTAACTTGTATTTATACACTAATAAAGGTTTAGTGTATTAGATAGTTTACAATGTCACAGGTTTATCCTCTGTCATTCTGATGTATAAAGTGAAGCTAAATCTGGTAGATTTAAGTTTAAAACAAGGACTACTAGCATCAGTCTTCACATGTAGAAAAACAAAACAGCTATGGCTGAAAAACAGTTTGAATGTTTAGTTTAACTCCAGTCATAATGCTCCCACCTGTAAAACAGCATTTACATTTATTCCTAAAAAGGTTGGCTGCCACCTCATACACAACACTGGTGAAATTGACCCTGTTTGAACGCAGGACTAGGCTCTTAAATTAAAATTAGATTGAAACAGTAGAATTGATTTTCCTGCTATGCATGTTTTCGATCATTATTACAATGTGGCTTCAGTTGAAAAGTCCGCTTTATAAAATAGCCAATGTTTCTGTAAAATATATTATACAATGTGGTAGGTAAGAAAACAGCAATAACTGATAATAACCTAAGTAGTGATTTTAATCCAGAATCATAAATTCTATCAAACTTTACCTCGCTAGACCTGTTAAAATGACATGTCCAAGTAGGAAGATAGTTTTGCTTGAAAAGATTTCTTGATCTAGAATTGAAGTGTGAAGTTGGACAGCTAAAAAAAAAAAAATAACACAAGATATATTTTCTAACACTTTTTGTTTATCTAACCAAATAATTAGCAAAGCTGACTGTAAATTTTTCTATTTTTCATTTGTGCAGGTATGTCCTCTTTTGCACTCCAGCCGATGTCCGTGGTGGTGTCCGAAGGCTCGGTTGCCAGGTTTTCCTGTAAAATCACAGCACACCCTCCTCCCATCATCACTTGGGAGTTCAACCGGGTCACATTACCCCTCTCCACTGACAGGTTTGCAACATCATCTACAGTTTAAAATCATGGATGATGGTTTTTACCAACTAAGAAAACTGCATTCCATGTCTTGTTATTGGTTGTTTACAGGCTAAACAGGTGGAGATGTTGTTGATTAATCTAATGACAAGGGGGAAAACAGTCTGTTCCAGTCAAAGCCTAACGGGGGGGAACTAGTCTCTTTTCTAGTGGATTATTTTTTTCCATATCTACTGGTTAGAAACATCTGACATGTGGTTCCTTCCCTGCTATCCAGAATTACAGTCCTTCCCAGCGGTGTTCTTCAGATACAAGGTGTGCAGCGGGCAGATGCTGGGCACTACCGCTGCATAGCCACCAACATCGCTAGCCGGCGGCGAAGCATCGAAGCCACTCTTACTGTTACCCCAGGTGTGTCAATCAGCAAAGGGAATTAGTGAGATAAGAGGGTTTAACAGTATCAGATTATATCATGTCAGGTGATCCAGTTGCATAAACTCCTGTATTGTACGGAAGCATCTGGTAAACTCACTGAATGTCACTGCTTGTCTCTGCATAGCTCCCGGTCCTATTCTTCCTCAGAGGCCTCGTTTCATTGCTGGGCCACAGAACATCTCTGTATCGCTGCACCAGAGTGCCATCCTCGAGTGCCTAGCCACAGGAAATCCCCAACCCCTCATCTCCTGGAGCAGAGCAGACAGCAAGTCTATCGATGTTTACAACACCAAAGTGCTGGGCAATGGTAACCTCATTATCACCGACATCAAGCCCCGACATGGCGGAGTCTACATGTGTAGAGCCACTACTCCAGGCACACGTAATTACACAGTTGCTTCGGCCAACGTCACCGTTCTTGGTAAAGACAGCATTTAATTTTGGCTGTGATCAAAGTACATTTAGTTCATTTAAAGGATTTATAACTATATATCTTGGCTCTTTGATGAAGCACCTCCATCCTTTGTGGAGTGGCCAGAGAGCTTGACACGGCCACGGGCTGGCACGGCTCGTTTCGTGTGCCAAGCTGAGGGGGTTCCAGCTCCAAGGATAACGTGGTTCAAGAACGGAAACAAAGTTCACTCCAATGGTCGCATCAAAATGTACCACAGGTATTTTTCTACCAGAGATTTATGTATAAGTTCTAGGATTTAAAAGCAACTTCCCAGAGACGTCCAATTAGTTTGTTTCAAATGCGAAGGTGATTATTTACCAGTTGCTGTAAATCGGTTCAAAGCTGCTTAAATAAATAATTTTCTGTTCTCCCTCCTATAAAAGGAAAGGGAATAATTAACAACAGTGTAGATTGGATTTTAGTTGGTTTCCCAATAATATGTACCTGCTCTTATTTACTGCTTGTTAAAGCAATTACAGACTGACAACTCCCTAGAAAAAGAAAAATAGAAGCAGGTTTTATTCCCTGTATCTGTGTCTTCTAGCAAACTAGTCATCAACCAGATTATCCTGGAAGATGATGCCATTTATCAGTGCCAGGCAGAGAATGAGCTGGGATCAGTCCTGTCCACGGCGAGGCTCATCGTGGTGATGTCAGAGGACCGACCGAGCGCACCCAGAAATATCCGAGCTGACACTGTCTCGAGCTCCGCCATCCTACTGGCCTGGGAGAGACCTCAGTATAACTCGGATAAAGTTATTGCATATTCAGTGCACTACATGAAAGCTGAAGGTAAGTCATTTCTAGATACTTTTTTCTTTATTTGATTGTTGCATTTAAACCATATGGAAACATTCAAACAAGGATTTCTACCCACTCTTTTGGGTGGGAGTTAAACAACTTTTGAACAAATTAAGCTTTCAGTTTATTAACTTGTAGAATTTCAAGATTCATGGTATTTTTCTTTGGCTGAAGAAAATGCAGAAGAAAGGCTGAAAAGCTAAAGAGCTGGATTTTTAAGGATTTTAGATTTCCTGGCAACTCTTTCCATTGTTAACAAGACTCACAATGTTTCAGAGAAATATAATAGACTGTGCACTGCTTAACGACAAAGCCACTGACTTTCCTTTGAGAGGGAAATTTTCCGACTTAAACTTGAAGAAAGGACCACCTGCAGGACGTTGGATAAAGAGGTCAAAACAAATTCTTTCTGGTTTATTTCTGAAAACCTGACATCTGTCAGGGAATTTTATCTCTCCATAATGATTTTTTCGACACATTCACATTGCTCTCTCCCTGAAAGAAAAGCTGTCCGTTGACATTGACAGAGTATCTGACAGTACACTCTGCACCTGAGGTTGTTGACAGAGAGGCTCTGCAGAAAGGAGGAACTAATTAGCCTCTGTGTATTCTGTGAGGCAACAAAACGGTTTGGATCTGACAGAAAGGAAAGCATTGTGCCTTTTCTCTTATGCTCACTGAGGCATTCACTCTGTTTAAAAAATCTTTTCATTTAGTCTGAAGTATCTTGTTTACCAGGTCAGGAATCAGGACTGTTAAAAAAAATCACAGATGAGAATTTGCTCATTTGTGATTAGAAGGTAATTTAGTTATTGAGGCTTTAAGGAGATTCTAACAATTCAACCTATCAAGACAATAGAAGTATTTGTTATGGAATGCATTACCTACAAACATATGTTTGTTTTATAAGCAGGTATTAGATGAAAATATTTGAGTTAATGATAGGTTTTTCTTATCTACATGACCCTTTTTTATCCAAGATTTTTGGGACCGATCATAGATTTAGTTAATTTCTCTTTATCTAATCTAATCGTGCATCTAGGACTAAACAACGAGGAATATCAAGTTGTCATCGGAAACGATACCACGCGCTACATTATTGATGATCTGGAGCCAGCTCGCAACTACACCTTCTATGTGGTGGCATACATGCCCATGGGAGCCAGTCGCATGTCGGACCACGTGTTCCAGCACACGCTTGAGGATGGTGAGGCTTGCATGCTGGACCATTTTCAAACAACTTTCAAAGTGTTTGCACCAAAAAAACTGCTAACTAACTTATATTGTTTGTACATTAGTGTGGTTCCTTCTAATTCATGGAAATGTTCTACAAGGCACAAAAAACCACATCCCAGATGGGAAAATCAAAAAAGAATTGTTGCAGATTTACTCCTGGAGTTATACTATATTATATTGGCTATGGGAACCTTCTCTCAGATCTCAGAAGGAGCAATTCTTGTTCAAATAAAGACCATTAAGGATAGCCATCAGTGTTCTCTTCATTAGACTGCCATCCATCAACAGCATATCTTCAGTCAGAGGCGTCTTCAGTTCTAATGTAAGACAGACCACTATAGGAGATCCTTGTTACAGCTATCAACATCTACAATAACCCGCTGGAAAAAAAAAAAAAAACTCTATATACTCAATATAAAACTCTATATGACAGTTAATGTTTGAAATTTATCTTTTTGATAAATTAAAAGTTTTTAATTTCATTAAAAAAAAACATGTTGTCTAGAGTATGATGCAAACAAGCATTTCACATACGCCTGTTCAGACACCTGTAGAATAAAACCTTCTATCTCAGTCTTCTGCAACTGCAAAGTATTTTATTTTTTCTTTAAGAAAACTCTACTACCAATTTGGAAGTTTAGAAAACCCTGTTATTTTAAGAAATTGACTAAAATATATTTATTTTTGCTGAATCATAACATCTAGCTGGTTAAGAGATGAAAAAAGGGCTTTAGTATTTCAAAGGTTAAAGAGAAATTTTGTGAGTTTTTAGTGAAAAACATCTTTAAAGTATCCTTTTTAATTGACCATTTATTACTAAAATATAATTTGATGAGCAGACTGACACTGACAACAGTAGTTCAGCGTCTATAAACCTGTAGCCTATTTTTCCTGCCCTCAAGTTAAATGGGTTTTGACCAACCAAAGCATTATATTCAAGAGGGATTTTGCGGATACTCAGAAGCGACTAGCATCCAGCTAAACTCAGACGCCAAAGGCAACTCCACATAAGGTGAATAAAGTTTAAAAAAAAAAACTTGTCAATTATGAGCGTGCACTACGATAACGGAAGAGTGCTGCAGTTTTGTGTTGTGGCCACAGGTGGCAGTACCATTAGAAAACTGTCATTCAAAATCCAAAGATGGATCACACTAACCCCATAGAAGAAAAATATCAAAGTTAATGTTGTTTTCCTTCATTTATTGACCTATAAAGCATGTAAAATTCATATCACTCAACTTCCTTTAGCAGTATTTATTTGACCTTTCAAGGAAAACTCAAGCATTTCATCAATTTTACTTGATTACTAGTGAAGTGAAACATTACTAGTGAAACAAAACAAATAGTGTAATCAAACATTTGCTTTGTCATCAACACTGACTGATGAGTGCACATTATCAAGGAAAACTCTTTAACTCCAGCGTCTTTTTCTGTGTTAACTTTTCATAGTTCCTCTGCGGGCGCCAGAGATCAGCCTCACCAGCCGTAGCCCCACTGACATCCATGTGTCATGGCAGCCTCTTCCAATGAAGCTGAGCCGTGGGAGGGTTTCAAGCTACCGCCTGTCCTATCGAACCAGTTCAGAGAGCACAGTATCACAAGTAGATCTGCCTGGAGAGAAGACTCAGCATCTCCTGGAAAACTTGCAGGCCGACACCATCTACCTTCTGCGACTCGTTGCTGCTACCAGTGTAGGATGGGGGGAGCAGTCTTCCTGGACGTCTCACCGCACTCCAAAGGCATCTGGTGCCAAAGGTTCAGCATTTTAATTTTTCACGAGACTCAATCAGTTCCTAAAAAACTACTAAAGTTTAGTGGAAAATGTTTGATGGCTACTTGTGATGTTAAGACCCCACATACAGGATTGTGCAGCATGCATGTTTCAGCCTCCACAGTCCAGTGTACGATCATGACAAATGTCTTAATTTCCCACACTGCCATGGCATTGCCATCACCCTGCCCCCATATATAGACAAATTGATCTCTTTATATGGGGGGTTCTGAAACAGGCTTTCATATCCAATTACCTGCATCCTTTAGTTATATACAAACCTATGGCAGAAGTCTGTTAACAAATGAATGTACTGTAGTAAGATAAATATGATGAACATATCTTAATCACAGTTTGTTCTGATTAACACAGAGCCCTTTTAAATCCCACTAACCCCACAATTACTGGATGTTTTGAACTCTGTCTCTGTACAGTTCCACTTGCCCCTGAGCTTTATCTGGAGCCTCTGAACTGCACCACCATTTCAGCTCGCTGGCATCTTATGCCCAAAAACTCCGCCAGTGTGCGCGGCTACAAGCTCTTCTACCATGAGGAGAGTCAGCCAGAGAGTTCCCCTCTTCAGCTGCAGGCCTCTGCTTATAAACACACCATCGGCGGCCTCGGTGAGTTTTGCTTCAGATGATCAACATACGGTTTAGTTTACAGAGTCTTTCCGTAAGCGCTAATGCACAAGTGGTTTTTATTCATGCCTCATACTTGGCTTTGGTTTTGCTTTAATAAAATATGGTTACCTGATATCCTTCTTTTTCTTTGTTTTTTTTACTTAGATTATTTTTTGTTTTATATCAACCAAAGACTTGCTGACTGGTTTTAATCAGTTCAGCATTACTTTCTGTGATGAGGCTTCTTCAAAGTTTCTGTTGCTACTAAGCTCTCGCATTTAACATTAAATGTACTTCTTAAGAAAAAAAAACGTTTGTATTTATAGTTAAGCTCAGGGTTACCTATTCTACTGGAGGAGTTAGATTGAAACAATTTCCCTTCAAGAAAGAAGTTTGTTTGTAAGAAAAACAAAACAGGCACCTGTCAAACTTATGTAAATCCGTGCAAAAGGAATATGTGTGTAAAAAAAAAGAAAAGAAAAACGGTTTATTTACATTTCATTGAAGATTACATTTCAAGAATTACGTATGTCCTTCATAATTATCAGTGGAAAAGTCTTCAAAGAAATTGCATCAATCATACCTTTCCTACCACTGCTAACTGGATTTTTTTTGCATGTTTCCATGTTTATTTTAAATCAAATCATCTTAAATGATGAGCTCAATGTAGTCATGTTGGGCAATTTAAATTTCTTTAAACTTCAGTCTACCAGGGGTATAATTATAATAATATAAAATTTTATAATACTAAAATACCAAAATGACCAAAAAAAATAATTTAGAGACACAGTTAGGGGTGTCCAGCTCTGATATTAAGAATGTCTATATTTCTGAAATTAGTCATGACAAAAAATTATAAATGCTTGGAAAATATCTATTTATTTAAAATCCCTGATATGATCAACCTGATAAAAAACTCCAGTTCTGGTTCATCTGGTTCTGTTTAAAGTTTATGTAACCCATATGTTAATAGTACATGGTTGCTTCTACCTATATTTACTGTTGTGGTTTTTATTAATACCTATTGATCAAACTTTTTCAATATTCCACACTGCAAAATAAGTAACTTAAGTATGTATGATTGGTGCTGATATCATATCAATATCGCTATCTGTGAGTACTTAAGGCTGCAATATTGGCATCATATCGAAAATGAGAAGATTGTATTTTTTCTCAAAACAGTTCAGATTTAGGTCTCTGTGATCTGATCTGTTTGCCACCAAACATGTGAGTGATTAATTGGCTTAAGTCTTGTCATGTGTTGAGCAGAGATTCTCTGGGTGGAGAGAGAGAGCAGCACCACTTCCATGACCTCTCACCTCTTAGCAGTATTTTTGTGTGGAGTTTTTCTTTGGCTGTTGAATAGAACTTGGGGCACATCAGAGCTTTTGTGGCCCTTTAGGTCAGATTCATTTTAGCTGTTTTGTTTGAAAGAGGAGCAGGGGGCTCAGGCCAGTGTGCTGGACATCTGACCATCTGTGGCCAAGGGGGTCAGCCAGGTGGTCAGCAGCTAACTTGTAAATCAGGAAGTTCTGTGATTGTAGGACATCAGAAAGACAGTAAATTACTGCTGGTGTTTAATACAGCTACAGCAGTAGTTAGTGAACATAATTACAAAGATTTAGAATATTAATTATGTACTTTTGTAGCTATACAAAGTACATAGATAATAATATCTTAATGTATTACTTTTCCTGGATGATTTTTGTTAATATGAAATGTATTTTAATGCAAACGTTAAACGTGGTAAATGTTAATCAGAGTCAGCAAGTTGCAAAACACGCTCAGTTAATAATAGAAAAATAGTTGAAAAGATTGTTTTGTTCCTCTGTGAAAAAGGGCTCTAGCGAGGCTGTGTGTTAAAAAGTGGAAAGCTGCTCCATGGAGGCTGATTTATCACGTGTTTTATGACTGCTTTGAGCAGTGTTGCTTAAAGAAGCAAGAAGATCAAAGAGTCTCATTGTGTTTGGCTTTCAGAGCCACAAAGAGGGTTTATTAGCTTGGACCTAAAGGAAATGCTTCCCTTCGCCAACTGAGTTGTTGCTCAAACAATGGGCAGGTCTGAGATCTCTCTCCTGCTTCTTCCAGCTGTAACACTTCTTTAGTTTGTGCTAATGATCTGTGAGGCCTCAAAAGTGATCATGCAATACTTAATGAGGTAAGCTTTGTTACAAGGTAAAGGTGTGATCTAATCTACAAACTTTTTCTTAAATAAGGACAAAATCAGAGCAGTAATATAAGTCAGGTGGTTTACTCATACAAAATACATAAGCATAATCCTTCCCACACAGTGTCTCAATAAATTATTATAAAATATATTTTTTGATCTGTTAACAAAGCCTTTGACACTCTAAAGCATTTGGTTCTAAAGGTTTCTATTTATGTTTTAACTTTACACAAACCTGAGACATTCAATGATGTATCTGCAATACCAGCTATGTTTTTATAATCTAATGCATATTTTATAAACATTTGAATTATGCTGAATTTTCTCTGATAACTCACTAGCTCTGTTAGCACAAACATAAAGGACAGAGGTTAATTTTTGCAATAATACAGAAACAGTTTGATATTGTTAATGGCTTGCAAAATAACATCATAAAATAACATAGAGGTCTAAACCTGACATTTAAGGCTATTCCTCAACCTAAACTAACTAGAAGACCTTAGTCCCTGTTTTTTTTATAAGTCTATTCATACTTTCTTGGTTTTTTTTTTTAATTGTACTTTAAATAAAAAAGCCTTTTAACTTCCTGTGGCTTTGCATCTGTGTTGCCTGCTGTAAGTATCCGTGAGGCTCATCCTTTCCAGCAGGTGATCACTTCAAATTAAATCTGCCTGCTCTGTTAATTATATTTCCTATAATCCACTTCATATAAAACAGTCTTTTTTTTCTACCAACACCACTTATCTCTGAACTTTTAGCTGGAATCTGCTGAGTCAGTAGAGACATGTATTCAAGCGTCCGTTAGGGGCTGCTGCCATGTACAGTTTCAGCTTTTTACAATGATTAAAATCCCATCCATGAGAGGCAGGGACATGTTGGAGTGGCTCCAGCTGGCATAAATGGGGCAGTGATCTGACCCTTCCTCACATGGGAATGCTGCTTGGCTCATGAGATAAACCTGCGTTTATTGCCAAGGCTTAAATACCTGTTGGTACCAGAGAGTGCTGTGTGTACAATGTAGCTTTATATGTCACACCATAGCACAACTGATGTCACTCTAATTAAAGATGCACAGAAATAAGTTGGAATAAAAGAAACACATCAAAAGGCCTACTTTTAAAAGGCTATTTCATGCTGAAGTTGTGGGTTTGTCGGCGTCCGTCTTTGAGTTGATTTGTGCGAGTTAGTTGAATAGAGAGGAGGAGGTGGGGACGATGATAGATGTTGTGGTGTTGGGGGAGCTCATGCGGGATTTTGACATTTATGGCCCCTGTTCAGGCCTGGCTTGCTGCAGCCCAGGGGGCTTTTGGCAACAGAACAAAACTTCAGGGGCCAGCAAGAATTGAGTTTCAGCTGTAAAAAGAGAAAAAAGAGCGAAGTGCGTATGGCACAAATGTGTTCTTCAACACTAACAAACCATCTACTTTCTTATGATTTTGTCAAATTTCACATATGGCCAATTTGATAAATTATTTATGAGGGATTTTATGGCTGGTGACATTAACATCCTCATTGTTTTTCTATCTAAGGATCTAGCTGAGTCACTTTGTCATGCTTTTGTTTTACTCCAGGAGGCTGAAACAGAAACCTGTTGACTGAGTTGTCTCTTATCAGGATGCTGCTACATCCTTTTTAAGCAGCAGTTTAATTCTTACTCTCTGTGAGATTCTCTGTTTTTCCACTCACTTCCTCTGCCCCCCACCCCCTCTGTCAGAGTGAGATGTGTATCCCCTCCTTTTGCAGGATTTAGCTTGCCCAGATTCCATGTCAAAGGTCATGGCCCAGATGTCAAAGCTTCCCCCCCTTCTCAGAACTCCTCCAGCGCATAATTACGACAGGCCCATTGTATTTGTAGGGCGGAAAGAGGTGCGCTCTAAAAGCCTGCTCCTGTTTAGAGTCCGATGCTGGGGTCTAAACCTCTGAAAAGGTGACTCTGCAGGTTAAAAACTGACAGAATGAGACTTTGGTTTTACATGATGCGCTTTGACGTCACCTTTTTCTTCAACTCTGACAGTTTCAGCATTTTACATATTCAAAATCACCAGCCAGATCATTCAGAAGTTATAGATTAATCCTTTGGCTGTTATTGTCTTTGCTGCTAACTGCTGCAAAGTAGGTTTCCTGAACAAAGGGTCTCATCTCATATATCAGTCCCACCTCCCTTGGATTCTTGGGTTTTATCTCAGCCTGACCTCCTGGCCCTGCCGTGGCTCCATTTAAACTTCTTGGGGGTGCTAGCAGCTTAGCTCCACCCTTAGTTTAAACTTTGCAGCCTCCATAGAAACACGCTCGTCCTCCTGCAGTGTCTCTCTTTTCCTCTACCGGAACAGATATGTGTGTTTCCCATCTACTAGATGTAAAATGCTTCATTTATTTAGTATTTTTTCTTGTTTTAAAATATTAAATGATATGCAGCATTAACGGGAAGCGTGGCAAGCCTTTGAGGTATAAAAGGTCAATTTGGTCAGATGGCTATTGTTGAGGAGTGGGTCTTCATGGTCACTAAGGTCACAACTGCTGCTGACCGTCTGCAGTGTCCCTCCCTGGGGATTTTTCTTCTCTCTTTGACCCCTCCCCGATTCAGGACCAGAGACAAAGTGACCACTGACCGCCCGGCCTGACAGGGGCCAAAGAAAGGCCTTTGTCATTTGCTATCAAAAAACCCTGGCTGACAGGGTGATGGATAGTGGAGTTGCTCTGTTCTGCTGCCCTTAGTGGGGTTAAAACTGACCAAAGGAGTCCCATCACAGCCCCCATGTGTCGACTATTTCCCACCACACCAGGAAACCCCATTTGCCCCACACCCACACAATCCAGCTCTCTTAGAACAGCCTTGCTGTTCATTATGGGCTGGAGAAAATCTTGCACAGCACTGTGGCTACTTCTGAGTAAATAGCAGTGGTGGCAGGGTTATATTGAGCAAAAGCAAAACTAAATGTACTGTTTCTAAATTCAGACCCAAGAAAGAAGTATCATGTCAAGCTGCTGGCTTACAGCGCGGTTGGAGATGGGTACCAAGCAGATCAGACCATCAGCACCCCTGGATGTGTCTGTAAGTTTTACCATGCTCCAGAAATGTTATGATTTGCTTGCTTTTCTTTTAAGCTTAAGTAGAAGAGTTTAAATAATTCTCAATGTGATTTCTCTGTTAGCGGTGCGAGATCGCCTCGTGCCACCGCCACCGCCTCCTAACAACGTGCAGGCCAGGTCCAACAGCTCCTCGGCTGTGTTACTGTACTGGGGCCGTCCAGCCTTCACCTCCACCCATGCAGTCAACTACACTGTCCGCTGCAACCCTGTAGGACTGCAGAACGCCTCACTCGTCCTCTATCTGCAGACGTAAGCATCAGTCATACTGTTTAAAAAACTTCTGATTTATTTTTAGTCTTACATTTTCAAAAAGTATTTTCTATTTAGCATACTTTTGGATATTTACTACCTGTATGAGGGTGTTTTTCGCTGGTGATTTTAGCTTTTTATGAACTTTTTTAGTCTGAATTTGGAAGAACTGTTGCATTTTTACTCCATAAATCCTCCCCGCAGAGTATCTATTTGTAGTTTGTGTTCCCTCAAACTGCTCCACATCGCCATCTGCTGGACATTTGTCTAACTCAGCTTTTATAGCTGAAGGATATCAGTCAACAATTGAACAAAGCAAAGATTTAGATGGTGGATGGAGGTTTACTGAACTGTCATGTCTTCTCTCTGTAGAGGTGAACAGAGGCTTCTTGTGCGTGATCTGGAGCCAAACACTAAGTATGAATTTGCTGTACGCCTTCATATTGACCAGCTTTCCAGCCCCTGGAGCCCTGTGGTTTATCAGAGCACTTTCCCTGAAGGTACATTTGAAATGTAACTGTTACTTAAAGCTAAAATGACTCACATTAGGTTTTCAGCTAATGGTATAACTACACATCCTGAGTTTGTTCTCTGCATTACCTGTCAGCTCCTACTTTACCTCCTTCCAACATCAAAGTGACTTTGATTGACGAGGACACAGCGCTCGTTTCATGGAAACTACCTGATGAACCAAACGTAGCTGTATCCCACTACACCATACTGTATGCCTCACGAAACGCCTGGATTGCTGGTAAATGGCAGGTGCTGCAAAGAGAAGGTAGGTAGAACAGTGAATGAAGATAAACGTACACGTGTGTAAGGCTTCATGCTAAAGCTACAAGCCTTTTTTTGTACATGTACATAGCAGCTGGTGGTGAGGCTGAAGAACATGAATGAATTGTTTTTCAGCATCTTCTTCACTGTAGAACCACCTTTTGCTGCAGATGCATCAGGACACACATCTAAAGGATGAAACATGATTATGTTTTTAATGCTGTTTTGCTGCAAGATCCATCCCAGACGTGTCCTTTTGCAGTCTGATTTCCTTCCAGGATTTTCCTTCACTTTACTTCCATCCATTTTCCACCACAGCACAATGCTGCCCTCACCATGTTTCACACCTACCGGTAGTTTGTTAATAGAAACATTGCAAATTACTCTTCTGCCACTCCTATTTATAAATTTGGGTAGCAAAGGTAACCCCTTTTTCAAAACTTTGCTGTTTCCCCTAAAGCTTTCTAAAAGGGGCTTCTTGTGACTTTCTTTCAATGTTGGCTTTCTTGAACTCCTTCTTAAAAATCAGATTTGTAGGGTGCAAAGCTTAAAACTGCCTTGTCGAGAGATATTCCCACCTGGGCTGTAGATTTCCACGGCCTCTCCAGAGTTTCCTGTAACCTCTTGGCTTCCTCTCTGAATAAAGCTTCCAATATTCCAGCATGACAGTTTAATTACATATACAGATAAAAAAATATCTAACCATTTATTTACCCTTCCTTCAACTTCACTGTTATTCCCTGTTTTAAGGTTTGGGTTTGCATTGTTTACTCCTTTTAATCTTCACTGATTCTTGATATTCTGACAATAACTCAGAAGATGTTAAACATAAAGTCATTCTTGCTGCATGTGAGGAGAGATTAATTAGGGAAGTATCAGAGTTTGGTTATAGAAATCTGCTGTCTGGTGTGTGATGCAGCAGAGGTGTTTTTAAGGGGAGATGGCCCCAGGAAACCCACAGGCAACCCCCCTCTGCCACTGGTAAGAGGTCAAAAGTAAGATTTTCACAAAGACCCCTTCAGCCCTGCCCCCATCTCACCCCAGACTGAGTTTCCACCTCCCTACAGTCCCTGCATGGCCTCTGGTGGAGAGCAAGCAGGGTGGTAGCAGTTAGGGAATGTGGACAGCTCTGACCCCCCTGACCTCCAGCTTTTATTTTACCTTCTTTCTGTGAGGATGGCCATACTCTACATTGTAGTACATTTATTTCTGATTGCTTTTTGTCGTTGCTGTTGAGAATTGTATATTATCTTATTATTCTAATAATCTTAGTTTGTTATCTTAAAAAAAAAACATGTTTGATTATTTAAACCAAGTCTGTTTACTTTAGTGAAACTTAAGACCAGCTGTGGAAACTTAATATCAAAATATTAAATGTATACTTTGAACATTTAACCCCTGAAAGCTCTTTGATAGATTATTAAACTACATTTTTTTAAGAATCTCTCTCTGTTTTCTTGTGTTTCACTTGTCGAAAGCCTGAAGTAAGCAAGTTGGAGCTGTAAAAAAAAAAAAAAAAAAAAAAGAAGCTTATCATTTTCAACGGTTTATTCATAGAGAGCATCTTCTACCCACAGGGAGCATCACCATGGCGCTGCTGGAGAACCTGAGTCCAGGACAGGTTTACCTGGTCAAAGTCTCTGCATCCAATGACATGGGAGATGGACCATTTTCTAACGTCGTTGAGCTGACAGTGAAAGCAGATACCTCTAATGGTCACCATGTTGGACTCTCCAGTGGCTCCACTCACTCCACAGGTCAGTGAACCCCACAGAGCAGACTCTCTCTAATGTTAGGAGGAATTACGTGGCATTGCTTCATGTTGTAATCAATCCCTTTCAGGTTTTTCTGATGGCTTCTATCACCTGGACCAAAGGTCAATGACAGGTATCAGTGTGGGAGTTTGCATCGCTCTGACCTGCATCATTATCTGTGCGTTCATCATTGTGTGCAGAGGCAAAAACAGGTACTTAGTGGCTCCCAAAGCTGTGACTTACACCCGTCCGTCCCCCCCTTATTTTTCAAGCTTCCTGAAGCTTCATGCTATGTTTTTATTTCCCTGCAGGAAACTATCAGCTGTGAAATCCTACAGAGAAGGATTACGCACATCTGGTGCAGCTGCAATACATGTAGGAGCTGAGGGCGAAGTGCAGAACGATGAAGTGAGCATTCCTATGATGAGTCAAGGTCATTTCATTGATGCAAAGGTAAGAGCAGTCTGCTGAGAGATTCCTGATGCGTTTCCACAGTAGTTGTTAAGCAACTTCTTAAATTCCTCTTTATTATCAAGGATAATGTAGTCTTCATTTGAGATATAGTAAAAAAATGTTTTTTATTGTAGGGTGGAACCAATCTTATCATAAATTCTAACGGGCCTGTTCAGTCCTGCAATGACAAGAAGAAGAAATGGTCTTTCTTTAGAGGTGAAGGGAAACAGGACAGCATAAATTTGCAGGTAGGTTTAAGAAATAGACTTTTGGAAACTACAGTTAAACTCTAAATACAAACTTCAAATCTTCCAAACCCCTGAACATTAATCTTTCTCCACTTCTGTCATTAAAATACTTCCAGTTCTCTGTGCGACTTTGGTCTCCTGGGAACGGTTGTATCAGTGAAGAATTTTGTGACAGACAGAGCCTTATGTAAAGAGTGAACTCTTAACATCTTGAATTTACCCGCAAATTGAAACGGCTCATTGTGATATTCACATATCATAGACTAAAATTTGGTTTTGATATATTTGTAGTAAATTGCTCTCTCCTTAACTATTGTTTTTTTTCATTGCTGCTGAACTGTGTTAGTGTTATGGCGATAGGTTTGATGACAGGACCGATGACAGTGTTACTTGATGTTTCTCCACCCAACAGTTAATAACTGGAATTTTAAAGGTTCTGCAAAGGTGTGAGGGGTTGGGATTAGCTTAATTTCATCATTTTACAAAAGAAATGTTTGTATGCAGAGGTCCTACTGTATTTCTATTTTGTGAAGTAGAGCTTGAAGGTAACCAAGCAACCATACAGTTGGGATAAGGTGAAAATTCATAACAATATGGTTTTCAAATCTCCAAGTTAGTATTTTTTTGTCTCTTTCATCACACTTAAAAATGTTATTTTTTTCTGTGCTGCAGAACAAGAGGAATGGTACACTTTCCTACCTACCAGGAGCCACGGTGTTGACCTACAAAGAAGAGCTTTCTTCAAACCACTCCACTACCATGCAGGAGCTGCTTGGCCATCCTGGCGATGCAGAAGGATCTTCCAACAGCGAGGGCAGCCACGAAACAGGAGATTCAGGACGCTTCTCTCATGACGAGACGGAGCTGACCAACTCAGGTCCCAACAGCCGCCCGCCGTCTTTGACGGAGGAGGACGGCGGAGACTTGGACTGCGGCTGTCCTTCTACAGAGCCAAGCGAGTCTTTGCCGAGGAGTCCGGCTGAGCTGAAATTAAAGGGGTCTGTTGATGGCGTCTACGGCCCAGAGATATTCTCAGAGTGAAATCAGTGTGTAGCCAAGTCTGTGAGGCTGAATGTAGGTGTGAGTGTATTTGAGGTAGTGAGGGAGTGTATGTTGTGCAGGTGAAAAGTAGATTTACACATTCTTTGCCTCATCTGGATCATTTGGTGATTATGAGCTACCAAACTGTGAATACTTTACTTAGACAATGGTAACAAAATCCAGCCAGAATCCCACTGGAGGCTCCACTGATGACGCAGCAATAATATGAGTTTATCTGGGAAGAACATCAACATGATACCTGAGATTATGTTACCCTTGCGCTTTGCTAGGTTTAGATGATCAGAAACTGACCAGAAACGCCTGCTAAAATGATCACAATGACTGAGAGTATGTGTGAATGAGTTGTGTGAGCTTGCATTTATTTCTGTTTTGTTGCTTCTTTAAATTATCTACAGGAAGCCAACTAAAACAAAAATGATTTTTTTTTTCTTTACTGTCTGTTTTTTTTTTTTTAGGTTTTTTTTTTGTGTTGAGTATGTTTTGGAACAAAAATCTCACCCACCATGAATGTTAAAAAGGTCGTCTTGAATGTCAAAAAAATTAGGCATTTGGGAGATTATTTATGAGAGTTTATCACTGGAGCAGAAGGGAAGTGTGAATCCTTTTTTGCTGATTTATCTACCTCGGTTTGTCTAAGGGCAAACCTTCAATATTTAATAACTCCTTTTTTTTTCTTCTTTTGTTTTTTGTGATGTGCTGCTTCAGCGTCACCGCTTGTACTTCCTGATGACTCTTTTGTCTGTTAGTAATCCCCTTTATGTTGTCAGTTTGTGTTGGATTCGGCGAATGATAAGGGCACTGCAGCTACCTCCTCTCGCTCCACCCGGTGTGTGGAAATGAAGTTTTTTTTAAACTACACACCCTTTTTTTCTAGTTTCACCCCCTCAGATGTTGCTGAGGTACTGAGCCAGTATTAATAATATATGTGTTCATTTTTGTCCCCGTTACTGATGATGGGTGTGAGAGAAATGATGAATGTCAGCGTGTGTTCTGCATGTCGGTATGCAGTCTGCCCCTTTTTTTGTTTGTGTTTTATACTACCTCGTTTAAGAGTTGCTTTTATTGTCCTCTTCTTTTCTCAAACTCAGGGAACAAGGTTTAGTAAGTTTAAAAAAATCATGTAGTATTACATGGTGAACTGACAGGGTATCATAGTACTGAACTGTTTTATTGTTATGTTGCTTTTATAGAAAATGTATTGAATGTACCTCTTAACGTTGTGATCCTGCAGCTCAGACGTTAGATAGAGCCCCCCCCCCCCCTGCAGTGTGTGTTTTTACAAGCTCCTGTGTTCATTTGATTTGTGTAAACATTCACACCAGAAGTGCTTGCAACAGCATATCCGAATAGAAAAGCTTTAATAATTGGCCTTAATGTAGGAGGGAGGAGCCCCATGTGAGGATGCGACACATGAAGAATGATTGTAGTGGAAAGTGTTTAATCAGAGACTGAATTGAAGAATGAACACTGAAATGTTTTACCTCTAAAAAAAAGTCTATTTTTCTTAGAAGATGCTATACTTTAGAGGAGTACACTGCGTAGTAACTTTATAGTTTGTTTTCTCTGCTAGCCTAGGTGATGATAAGCACTTGTCCGCCACGTAGTTTATGCTGAGGGCAAATATGCAGCGGTGACTGTGAAGCTAATACCCAAAGAGTTGTTTGCTGATTTTTTTGTTCTATTTGAGGCATCTCAGCTGATCTTTGGAGAATGGAGAAGTAATCAAAACAGACCAAAGAGGAATGGTTGCTTCAGAGATCAGCTGAGGTGCTTCTCCTCAAACAAAGCCTTGCACATTAGTGGCCTTGGCCTGCGACCAATAAGTCCTGAGGGTCGTGGGCTGAAACTCTGAGGAAGTGTCCAGCTTCAATGGAGGGATTTTTAATAATCAAAATTATGCACACTGATTACATTTTCCTTCTGCTGAGTTCCTCATAAGCAGTTGCAAACAGATGTAGGTGATTTTAAAAGATTTTATTGATTAGTGTCTGTGTTGCAGCTGCGCAGTTGCATGGAAATGTGCCCCCTATAATTGTCCCTCACAGTAATTTAAAGAGAATACTTAATTCAATAGAATAAATGTTTAAATATGTGATTTTATTCCGATTTATTGTCTATATTTTGATAATGTATCTTTTTAAAGAGGTCACAAAAAATAAACGGAGTGTTTCTTGTGGCTGGTGATAATGTAGACAGTGTGGGTGCACATGCTTTGTCGTGCTTCTGTGTTTTTAATCAGAGGACTCTGCAGAGGATTCAATCATATGAGAAGAGAAGAGACACAATCAGTTTTAATTTCTTTTCAAAGGCAAACAATATGAACCAAAGATTTTATTTCCTAATCCTCACCGCTGCATATTGGCCCAAAGTTCAGATAATATCCCATCCTCGTGTCAAACGTTATTATCAGTGTTTTAATGTTGTTTTTGTCTTTATAATGCGTTTTTTTTCTGTGAAAGAGCATTCTGTAAACAGTCTTTATTTCTGATTTGATTTTTTTGCGCTTTTTAAATCAGTTGAAAATGTTGTTTCACATAAAAAAAACAGTTTGTTTTAATTCCAATTTCTTTGTATTTCATGTATTTATGAGGCTTAAAGGACCCAACTTTGGATCTGACAACCTTTGACTTTTTTCTAATTCCACAGCTCTATAAAGCAAGTTATGCAGTCACAGAGATAACCTCCTTGTTTCAAACAAATATATAACTGTTATGTATCCACAGAGGTCATAGTTGGGTCCTTTAAAGCATATGTAGGTGAACAAGTGCTACCTCAGATGTTTGATCTGTCCTATTTTAGTTTTCAGTGCTGAACGTTTGCTGCTCTTCATCCCATTAAAGGTGTTATGTTGGAATGATGTTCCTGTCCGAGGATGTGAATTTAAATGGAAAAAACTCAGAGTGACCCGCTCTCTTTTCCCTTTTTTCCGATCGTAGGAGCACTGTGGGTCATTTACAGTTTCACTCAGGGGGACCCACAGTCACTCCTCAATCAAAAAAAAAAATGGTCTCAAGCTTTGAAATTGAATGTATTGTTTTCTAATTAATATGCTATGTGATATTTACAGTTGTTTTGTTATGTTTGTCATTAAAACTACTTGCAAGTTGTTTCTTTTTGGGAAATTATTTAGAAAGAAGAGTTTAGACAATTGCCTTACTATCAAAAATTCTGATTCTCAGTTTAAATAAAAGTATGAAAATCCCTAAAGAGAGTTGTTTTTATTTACTTTTTTTGGCATTTGATTAGTTATTTATTCATCAGTGATCAGTGAGGATAAGAAGTATTTCCCCCTTATGTGGTCAGATGAGACCAAAATAGAACTTTTTGGTTTTAATTCCACTAACCCTGTTTGGAGGAAGAATAATGATGAGTACCATCCCAAGAACACCATCCCTACTGTAAAGCATGGTGGAGGTAGCATCATGCTTTGGGTTGGGGGTGGGGGGTTCTGCACATGGGACAGGGCGACTGCACTGTATTAAGGGGAGGATGACCGGGGCCATGTATTGCGAGAATTTCGGGAACAACCTCCCTCCCTGTTTGAGCATTGAGGATGGGTCGAGGCTGGGTCTTCCAACGTCGCAATGACCCGACGCACACAGCCAGGATAACCAAGGAGTGGCTCTGGAAGAAGCATATCAAGGTTCTGGTGTGGCCTAGCCAGTCTCCAGACCTAAACCCAATAAAGAATATTTGGAGGGAGGGAGGGAAACGCCATGTTTCTTAGTGACAGCCCAAAAACCTGACTGATCTAAAGAAGACCCGTGTGGAGGAGTGGGCCAAAATCCCTCATGCAATGTGTGCAAACCTGGTGAAAAACTACAAGACCTCACACAACATTTAAATGCACACAAAGGCTACTGTACCAAATATTCACATCGATTTTCTCAGGTGTTCAAATACATATTTGCAGTTATATGATAAAAATAAATAGTTAAAAAAACATACATTGTGATTCCTGGGTTGTTGTTTATTTCTAACAGTGGACATGCACCTACAATGTGAATTTCAGATCCCTCCATGATTTCTAAGTGGGAGAACTTGCAAAATAGCAGGGTGTTCAAATACAAAATTTTTTCACTGTAACTTTTATTTGTTTATACTATTTTAGTCAAAATTATGAATTGTCTTTAGCTGCTGAGTTTCTTTTTAGAAAGATCTGTTCATTGATTCAGAAAAAAAAGTGTACACAATACAAAAAGCTTAAACACATTTAACAGAGGTTGTTTCTGTTAAATTATATTTAGGGAAGGTCAGAGTACACAGACCCTGAAACAAACAGCAGAAACATTTCATAGGACCACATTGACGGTATGACACTTTAATCCAATGCAAAGTAGTCAGTTTAGAGCTGGCAGAACTAAATTTGCTTTTCCTTCTGAATACCTCAAACACACAGACATGGCTAACTTGCTGAAAACTGAATAAAAATGTCCAGATTGTACTCGATTAGCTATTTCCCACCCCTGGTGTAATGTGACGTTAGAGTTAGAATGTGTTAGGTGTGACTGCTGAGCAGATGTTTTCCATCTGGGCTTAGTGCTCTAGTAGCAATAGGCAGATCAACATGGCACCTTATAGGGAAATACCTCTCATGATGCTACTATTTATAATGCATATGTCATTTTTTTAAATAAATGAATAATAATGAAAAGATTAAAACCAATCTCTATTTCCTAACTCAATCCTGTTGGATCATTTATGCATAAGGACTTGACAATTGTTGCTCTACATAAAGAGGGCCTAGGCTATAGAAAGAGCCCCAACACCATGAAAACAAGTTGGGACACGATGACCATATAACAACACAGGGTCCACTCACAGCAGGCTTCGCCTTAGATATTCAATCCAATTAGATTTATAGTGGTAACAGCCAGATTGGTACAGGGTTTTTTTTATCTAAGGGAAACCAGCTGATTGAATTGACTCTTCAGCAATCCCCCACACTAAGCTTGCTTGTAGCAGCAGTGGAGAGAAAAACTCCCTTTTAACAGGAAGAAACCTCCAGCAGAACCAGGCACAGTGTGAGTGGCCATCTGCAGAGGTGGAATGGGGTTCACGGAGACGCCGAATAAACAGATATTGACATAAATGAAATAGTATCTTTGGTATTCCGGTCTATTTAGAACACTTTGATGCTGAGAATCGACATTCGCTTGGAGTAACCTAGGAAAAGAATTAGAGTAGTATTCCCCTGTGGCCCGGACACTGGTGGAGAAATAAGCCAGAGGGTGAGTGGGACTGAGAACAGTCTGAGATTTTAAAAAGGAGGTGGGGTTGAGGTGGGTGAAAGAAGGGAGAATGTAGGGGATTATGAAAGATGATTGGCTTCGGAGGAAGTGTGATCCAGACGTTTATTGGCTGAAGCTGAACATCACAGGTGGTTCAGGTGACCTCATGTAGAGACATAACTAGTTCTTCCATCAAGAATAAGGGGCTTTTTGATGACTGTATGTTACATTGTTTTTATCCAATGAATAAAAACAGTGTCATTGGATTATCTGTTTGGCATAGCTGATGCTTTGTGCATGCTCTCCTCTCTTAATCAGGACTGAGCAAGATGGAACAGGAACGTTTTGCTGCGCTTCTATTTTAATTTTGTCGTTGTGTCATACTTTTCCTCTCAGTTATCATTCCATTGATCTGATTTACAGTTCATTTCAAATTGACTCTTAGTTTTTTGTACTGTTTTTACTTTACTTATTGTTTTAAAAATATGATTGAAAAACCTAGCCCACGAGCACCCTCATTTACATTTTCCCCTTAAAGTTATGATATATGTTTACATGATTTATTGGCTGAATCTAAAAACATCAAAGATATTTTCAATTTAAACATAGATATTAAATAATACAATACAACCTACAATAACTTAAATCTGAATGTACTAGGTAATCAAATCATTTCAGTTTAGTCTGTCAAATAAGCTGCCTGTAGTGTTTTTAAATGTCCAGCAGGTGTCAGTATTCTGCGAGACAGTATCAACGCAGTATCAATACAGTTTGGAAATGTGTGGAAACGCTTCAAGATTCCTCATTAACCCATCACTACTCCTCAGTTACTGATCCTGCAAGAACACGTTCTAGATTTTCTGGACCCGGTGCAAGAGAACTGAACATTTTCTGATACCTATTGGAACTGTAATAAAATGCAAAGAAAACATTTTTTTTAACATAGATTGCAGAGAAATAAGCTGTATTTCAGCACAGATTTTGAATCCAAAAGTTGACCTGAGTATAAAGATCTTGAGTTGAGGTTGGTTGTTTTAAACAAAACTGCTTTTTACCCAACCTAAACTCTTTGGGATTTGTGAAACACAATCATAGATCATACCTAATCATGATGTTTTTAAATCGAGGTGTTACCAAGAATCAGTTTATTTGCTTTTTGCCGTTAAAAAAAATCTTATGTAATTAACCATCCTTATTTTCACTGTAATAATAAATAAAATCATAAACTTCTTCTATCGTAAATACACTATAATTAGATTCAGGCCGTTTCAGTCAGGCTTCCTTGTTTTTTTTTTTTGGCAAGATTTGCTTGCTTTTGCGCCATATGGTTGAGCCTGTTTGACCACCGCGCTGCCTCGCGGAAAATGTAGTTGTTTTATGTTTAAAGAACCTCGTTCACCATGACAGTTATACGACTCAAAAACTACACTTCCCTTCCGGATTTCTGCTGCGAATGTTGTTAACGGATAACTTGTGGTTTTTGGCGATCTTGCAACTGTGGAGGAGCTTGCAAACAACACTGTGCGCAAAACACCGGTAAATAGAGCAGATTTTCTTTGTTTCACTGCCTCCGTTGAAGCTAAAATCACCTTTAAAATGTAACGGGCGTTGTCTTCATTGCTATAATTGCATGTTGTGCTCATGTTTTGGGAAGTGACGTTAATAATAAACATGTCTAGCGAGTTAATAAGGAGAAAACGATACGCTGGATGTCGTTATTCAATGTTTAGAACCGCAATGAACGGTTCCCGTAGCCTTTAGCTCCAGAAGCCGCTGATGTCGGATTTTTCTGGCTGTTTTTGTTTGTCAGGCCGTGCTGCTCGGTTCTATCTGGTTGTTGTAATATCGCTTCGTCGCCACTTGTGGTCGCTGTTTCACTCTCCTGCTTGTATTTTATTTAAAAGTTAAACTAAAACTGTACGTTTACATTCTATACCTATAGTAGTATGCATTTCAGAAACTTTAACCTTTCTTTGTTCTTTAGAGCCTTGATTGTTGCTGATAGACATGTCAGACACATCGAGTGATGCAGAGTCCTCCTGTGGCTGGACCATCATCAGTAATGAGGTAAGATCTTGTAGTTTTTGGCAGAAAAACTTGGTTGTAATTTCCTGCATATTACATCTTATATCCAAAGCAAAATTATGTTGTAATTAAATGGTAAATGTTTACAGCTTATATCTGATTGGATATTCACCAATCAGAGCCTTGTGCGAGATATTCCAATTTTGATTGCATTTTAAGAATGTGTCAAGCTATGAGAACTAAATTTAAAAAATATTTTCTTAGCCTGCCTATCAGAATTCATTATTAGCTTACATACAAGGCAGAGGTCATGTTATACCTGTGTGTTTGAGGACATTTTCTATAAAACTAAATTATGTTTCCTTTAGGAAGGCAACATAATAATAGGGAGTGTATTTTAAACCAGATCTATTTAAAATGGGCACAGCGTTACACAGCTAAATTTACAGAAGGAGAAGTCTCTTTGTGTATTACTTAGACAATGTAGATTCTTATTTAAAATTTCCAAAGTTATCCTGTTCCAAGATTGAATGGAGCAAGAGGGGTAACTTTGCTGTACTCTGTTCGACCTTCCTGTTTACTGCTGAAGGTCTTGCTCTCTCTTAACAATCTCACAGCTCAAATGATATTCTAATAGTTTAGCAAAGGCTGATGTTAGTACCACAGGGTAGTGCTTTAAGATAAAACCAAACACATTGAGTCTTTTAGTTTCTGATTAACTGGTCAGGGATGATTACACTGAATTTCATTAGATTCTGGTCAACACTGGATTTTGTTTAATTGTTTGTTTTTGTTTGTTCTCTTACTAACACGGTGATACTTATACAGGCCCTTTTTTTTGCAGCTGAATTTCTGCTCAGAGATGGATAATGCAATGTTATAATCATACATATGAAGTAGTCCTTTAACCTAATCTCTGATCTGCTGCTGTAGGGTTCAGATATAGAGACACTGGGATCAGAGGCAGCAGCTGAATATGCCACTGAGCTGTCAGAGCAACCCAGTTTGGAAGAACCACAGCTGCTTGAATCACAAGCCTCATCACCGGCTGGTAAAAAGCTTGATAACTGTTCTTGTTTAAATAATTACGCAATGCTGGTTTCAATGCTAGTAAGTGAAACAATGTTCAGCCCTTCAATTGAAATATATTTTACAGTTTAAGCGACAGAGTGGTAGTGCAGAAACCAGAAGGCAATATCATCATGATTCTCTTTTTTTTTTTTTTTCTTTGATCATTTTCCTCTTTAATATGTATTTTGTTAATTACCAGTTTATATGGAACCTTAGCGTTGGCCAAATTAATGTTCTTTTGAATGTTTGTTTTTTTTCTAAGCATTTTATTATAAACATGTCAACGTCGTTATGAAAATATGTAAAAATGTAAATCCCTTTACTGACAATGGGCAAATTCATTCTCTGCATTTAACCCATCCCCTTGGGGAGCAGTGGGCTGCAACTGTGTGGCGCCCAGGGAGCAGTGTGGGGTTAAGGGTCTTGCTCAGGAACCCAGAGTGAAGGCTGTGGGGATCAAACCGGGAACTTGCAACCTTCTTAGAGCACGAGCACAATACTCTAACCAATAGGCCAACACTCCCCTAAAATAAGCACATTTCTGATAATTTTTATCCCTGTCATTTCAGTTTTTAATAATTTCAATCTTTACGGTATTTTTGTTATTTGTAGTTCAATTACATTTAATTAATTCTATTTGAAGTTTTAATTTTTACAGTGTTGATCTAAATGAGTCACATTTATTTGATATTTAACTTTAGTTAAATGTTGAACTTTTATACTCTATATTAATTAGCCTAAATGGCTATGTTTGTGGACATAAGTCAGGTTTATTGTGGCTGTGCATAAATATATTTTTTTTAGTTTATGTATTTATTTATTTTTTTACTCTTCCAGCTCTGGGTGTTGAAGAAATCTCTCTTGATGACACACTGGGAGAGCAGACTGTTGATGAGACCATGTGTGGTCTTGAGGTGAGAGGAGATAAATGTATATAAAGCAAATGTTAAAGTAAAACAGAACTGGTTATTAAATGGTTATTACCTTCTGAAAATGTGTCCTGCAGGCTGGAAATGATGCCACAGTCAAAGAGCATGTTTTTTCCTCGAGTGATCACTCTGACATTGTGACCTTGAGAGACCTGAGTGAGGGCCAGCATGGGGAGGAGGAGGCAGCCAGCTCTGAGGAGCTGTACCTCGGCACCTCCAGTAGCAGTCATTATACCTTCACTGCCACAGAGACAGGTACCGCTCCTTTTAAATACCTTCTAAATAGTCAACAGCAATACATCCGATACAAAAACTTTCTCCTGTGTCTGAGCAGGTTTGTTGTTGAGTTACTGGAAACTTCACCAAACTCTGGTGAACTTGAGCCGCCGCCTGAGATGCCAGCTCCCTGGTAGCTGCTTGTTTCCTAATTTAAATTGAATTTATTCTAGCATGACCCTAACCTTGTTTAGCAGCTAACTAAACTAAATCTGATGGCTGCTTTTCAAGCCTGAGAGATGTTGTGATGTAAGTTTGATGTGTGCACGAACAAAAGTCAAGCCTGAATGGAAACTGTGGAACACTACAGACTTACAAAAAAAATAAAAATCCTCAAAAATTATTATACCTGGGGTTTGCTTTGGTGGCATCGTCGTGTGGTTAATGCACACGACCCATGTATGGAGGCCTTAGTCATTGACACGGGCGACCCGGGTTCGAATCCGGCCTGTGGTCCTTTTCCGCATATCTCTCCTCCTCTCAAACCCCCTTGTTGTTACTGTGGGGATGCTGTTTTCAGGGTGATGTAAAAGTTGAGTTTTCTTCCACAGTTATTTACACTTCATGATGTTCAGTTTTGCTCTCTGTCCCCATTTTTGATGTGTCCCCTTCCTATAAAGGAACCATGGTCTGGTTTATGTTAGATTGAAATCTGGCATCCAGGAGGTCTGAAACCAACAGAGCTGCAAACTGCAGATTCTGGGTGCAGAAGGACGATCTGTGATGATCTCTGATTTTCTGTGGTGTTCCTTAACTTTAAAGATATATTCTTTGCAGCTTGTCAGTCATGCCATCTATGGATGCATTTAAAGATTTGCTTTTTATAAAACGTAAGTCAAATTTATAACGTAAGGTGTTTGAAGGATGGTTAGTAATGTGCAGAGTGCTTTTTGCCATTTTGGTTCTAGAATGAATAGCCAAAATGTTAATGCAGATTAAAATAATTTTTGTTAGTTATTTGCAAAGTAAATCAGTATAAATGACACTTTTTCTATAGCTTATATTTTTATTGATATTTGATGAGAGATTTTCAAACATTTCTAAATTTTGGGGTTTGCATGTTAAGTAAACAGTTCACTTCACATGGTTGCATAATGTCCACCTCACTAGCATGTGGTGGAAAGGAAAACAAGATGGAAAAACAACCATGTGCCATTCAGTAGCTTCAAGAAGGTGCTGATTTATAATTTTTACCTGAGTATTGAGCTGGGATAATAAGTATGAACCGTTTAATCAATATTAGAGAAATCATACTTGGCAAATCTTTGCAGCTTGATGGAAGATGGCTCAGAAACTACTTTAAATGCATGAAGGGATGAGCATTTTGGGAGCTCTTGCAAATTACCACATGAATTTCCTCAAGGTGTGTAAGACTATTTGCTTTGGGCTTTAAACTGCAAAAGTGTTACACCATCTAACTGCAGACAGCACACTGCACAGCATTAAACTATAGGTACAGTAAACACCCTCACCTACATCCTCTTATGCTGCTGATAAAATCAGGAAGGTCTCTTTTCAGATCTGCTCCTCCACAGTAAGGCTAAACCTGATGGTAGAGGTGTGGAAATCTCTGAGACATTTTTCAGATTTTGAAGAAAAATGTAAATGCAGATGTGATGGCTATGGTTCAGCATAAGGGTCCATTATATTCAAAATAATATCCTATTGGGACATTTGATAAGTACCAAGTTCTTGCATGATTTGACAGATAATTGCAAAGCTACCTCTCTGAAACTTTACACATGGACATTAGACAACTGGGGAATGAATCCCAGAAACACCCAGACAGTTTTGAACAAAGCTTGAGGTCATAATGGGTTGGTTTACTTTCCTCCTTTTGGTGTCAACATCCTCATCTGTTTTTTATGTGGAATGTAGCCTTTCCAGCACAGCAGCCAGCGCTGACAAACTCCAGCAGCAGTGAAGACGAAGATGCACGAAGCTCCAGCCCCATTTTACGAAAGCGAAGGGTTAGGAAGAACACCACGAGCATTGTGACCGATCCAGAGGAGGAGGAGGTGTTGCAAGACTCACTGTTTAGTGAGCCAGAGAAGAAGGAAGAGCTGCAGCAGCAGGCTGACTGGGTGGAGGTGAGACCTAATGCTGCTCATGACGACCGAGAGCAAGGCTTGGATGGGAACATCCTTAACAAATGCATCCTGCTCGCCCTCATTATCGCTGTCAGCATGGGCTTCGGCCACTTCTATGGTAACTCCACACTTCCACTCTAACATGCATAGACGTGCACGTACAGATAAGTGGAAATAATCAGTTTGACCAATTTCTCCTGTAGGAACGGTCCAGATTCAGGAAAGACAGAAAACCAGTGGAATTGAGCACATGGATGTGAGGGATCTACTTAAGCAGCATGATGGAGATTGGCATTTAACACAGCAGGTTGGTTATTAAACATAATGTTTGATAAACGTCCATCAGTAATTACAATCACTGAAGGTCAACTTAGAAGGCTAAGTAAATACATTTGGTGCTTCTTCTTTTTATGAGAACTAACTGAGTGAAAAAAAGAATATATATATGTATATATTCTACTTTCTCTGTAAAATGATTATGAATAAACTGAATTCAGTATTAATAGAGATATTAGCATTTACAGATTTTTACAAAAACCAGGATATGTGTCCCATTTCACTTTAAGCCCTCACACCTCGCCTCATTGTCCGAGGCTTCATATCTCTCATTACATGTGATGGAGCAGGAGAGTTCACAAAACTTCTGTGGTAGTTCACAGGTCTGTACAGATTAGTCATTAAAGGATTTAAAGGCGTGTGGTTAGACTGGTTGTCTTGCAATGCTGTAAACCTATCACACCCTGGTCAGGCTCCAGTTAGGGTAATATTACAGGCTTGGTGGTGCAGCTGCTGCTGTGCACACAGAGTCCCATTGCTAGTCTGGTTGTAACTAAAAAGATCTCACCAGTTTCCACAATTATAAATACAACACAGTAAAAAGGCCACCTTAATGAATGTCTCAAAGAGTCGACTAAATGCACTCAAATACTGTCGCTGCAAGCTCATCCAGGGGAAGCATGTCTTGCAAGTCAATGACTGGATGCAGTGGTTTTCCTTGACATAAACTTTTACCAATCTGACCGTATTATCTCTGTAAAATAGCCTGAGATGACATGAGTTGTGAATTGGCACTATATAAATAAATACAGCTGAATTGAGTTAATAGGCTGGGATGCTCTTGATTCCTTGCTGCATAAAAAAATGTGCACACCACCAAATTGCACAAACTTTGGTGTATTATTTAAGTTGGGTTTGTCAAATGACAAAAGTACTAGTCAGGCTGGGAAAAAGGAAAAAAAAGATCATGATGAGGTGGATAACCTGAGCAGGTGTGTTTATGAAATGATAGTAAACCAGAATAGTTCATCCGAACACCCCAAACAAAGCAAGCCCTCAGCACTGAGGCATGTTAAATGGGATCTCTTTCACACTCCAGATGAATTTAGATGCCATTTTCTGCTTAACATAAGGGGTAGGAGTGATGATAGTGGTGCAGAAACCTTCAATTATTAAGGGAAAGAAGACTTTTTGAATTTTCTTTTTGAACAGTTTCCGGAGGTATACTTTATAAGTAATTGGAGATTAAGTGTTGAAGAAGGGAGAATAAATTCATAATTTAGACCTAAATAATTCAAGTATATTGTCTTGATGATTTGACTAATTAAACTTTTTTCTTTTTATCCTTAACTCATGAATTATCTCACTCAGTTTGGCCAAGATCATCCCGAAACGTAGCAGATTATAAATTTGCTCTCAGAAGTGATTAAGAAGATAAAGGAAGAAAACAAGGAGTCTGAAACAAAACCTTTTCAAATTTAGATAAATTCCCATAATCTGAGTTATTTAACACTAGAACTCACAAGGCCACATTTTGACGCCACTAAGCTTTTAAAGGGAAAGAACTTTATTTGGATTATTCATATGTTGCTCATGTTAACTTGACTTTTCCTGTTTCTATATTTCCTTAATTTTCACATAGTTTTTTTTTATAAAATAAAAACCTAAAAATGAAAATGGTTCATTCTACCGCAATCTCCCACAGCCATTATTTTGACGGCTCTATTAGTTGCATTGTAAATTCTCACCAATTGACGTTCTAGCTAGAACTCTTTGGCTTATACCGACAAATGGCTTTTAGAAGAAAATCTTACAACGAAACAGGCTTTAGAAATGCTTCAAAATATTGGTTATAGCATTTCGGGTGGAAAGGGAGAGACTGATGATGAGGACTGGGTAGGAAGCGGCTCAGATTCTGACCCATACATGGGAAAACGCAGACAAATTAGGGACCAATCAGACAATAGTGAAACTTTTGCTCAAGGTTTGGACAGCACTGCCCGCCTCTCAGCCTTTAAAAATGTATATATTAGACCTTATATAATGTCTACATATCCACAATGATTTTATATCGCACACTAAAACCATTTCATATGATGACATCATCACTACTCATGCATTCCATTGGGAAAAATGTCACCCGTCAAATTGAAGGCCAGTGGGAGTTCTAGTAGGATCAGAATCCTGGGAGTCTTAGTGTTAAACAGAAATGATTGGTTACTTAACCTTTAAATGGATAAGCAGAAACTTATTTTTCTGTTCTTGTCAAGGTCCAGAGAGATTCCCTGGAAAAGGTTCTGAAACAGACCATGGAGGAGAGGACGGACGTCGTGTCTCAGCAGCAGCGTCTAACAGTTGAAAACCTCCAGCTGAGAAGCTCTCTGGAGCGTGAGGAAAAATCTCTGTCCGTTTTACAGGAGGAGTTGAAAAACTTGCACTCAAAGATTCAAGATCTGGAGGCTAAGGGAGTGGATTCACTGCTGTCAGAAAACCAGAGGCTGAAAGAGCAGCTGGAGGAGGGGCAGTGGATGATCAGAGACTTTCAGGTTCAGAGGAAAGACATGATGGCAGAAGCTCATATGCTCAGGATGAAGCTGGACAGAGAGAGGAAGGTCACGGAGGAGCTGAGGAACGAGCTGAGTGCTCTGAGGAGTCATGTTTCTACATCTAACAAGGAGAGCGGGTCAGAAGCAGAAGATTGGGAGAAACGTCTGCTGGAGCTGCAGAAGAAGCTGAGTTTCGAGCAGCAGCGCTCCGACCTGTGGGAGAGGCTGTACGTGGAAACCAAAGAGGAGAAGGCCAAAGGAGACAGAGAATCCAAAGTAAAAAGAACCAGACAGGGAATGGCCGGGAAAATGAAGGAGACGGTTGATGCTGTGAAAAACTCCACCAAAGACTTCGTCCACCACCATAAGGAGCAGATTAAGAAAGCCAAAGAGGCTGTGAAAGAAAACCTGCGGAAGTTTTCTGATTCGGTCAAATCAACATTCAAACACTTTAAGGATTCAGCCTCAACCTTCATCAACAAAGCACAGAGATTTTATAACAAGAAGCATGACAAAGCAAACACTGAAGAGTCATGGCAGCATCCAGCCCAGAAACCCCACCACCGACACAAAACATCCTCCTCCCACAACGACAACAACACACGGAAATCAGCCGGGAAAGTTCTCCAGGACCAAGAGAGCAACCAGAGGAGAAGCATGAAAGGATGCAGCGGGGTCTTTGACTGCGCCTACCAGGAGTCCACCAGCCTCTTCAACAAAGCCACGGAGCCGATCAGAGCCGACGAGTTCAACCTGCTGCTACAGAGCTACCTGCAGCAGGAAGTGGACCACTTCTACCACTGGAACGAGCTGGGAGCCTTCATCAACGGCTTCTTTCATAACGGACTCTTCATCCACGACCGCATGCTCTTCACAGACTTCGTAAGCAAGGTTGAAAGCTACCTGGCTGACATCCAGGACTATCATGGCTTAGATGACGACATGTTCAGGGACTTGGACGACTACATCTACAGGCACTTCTTTGGAGAAGGATACACCAAGAGTTCTGGCCCGCGGTAAGTCTCCTCTGGAATCACATCTCAAAAACAGAAACTCGATGACCTTTATGCAACATCTGAGGAATTTCCTGCTAGAAGAAACCTAAGCCTAAAAACACAAGGAATAAACAGGCTGACTCAGTGAACTCATCACTAAACAACTGGTTTAGTACCGAGACTAAATTACTCTCAAGAAGGTGACCTCTGAAGGTGATTGATTGCATTACTTTATTTACTGTCAGAGGGGGATGAATACTCAAATCATTTTGAATTTTATTTATCAAAAATGTAAACACAAAAAAATATTTCCCTTTCACCTCGCACTTATCCATTACTTTTTATGGCTCTATCCAGTAAAATTCCAGTAAAACAAATCAAGTTCTGCTGTTTCGATCTAACTAAAATGTAAAAAGACTTATTTGATACAAGTTTTATGTCTTTAACTGTGTCTTTCTATGATTTTTTTTCTCTGATCTTAGAGGGCCGTTTCCAAGGCCCGACACAGACTCAAAGGAAGACTGGAGAGCAAGGCATCAGCAGAGGAAACAGCCGAGGGGCAGATCTCGTCCTCACTGTTCTCGCAAGATGAGCCGATCAGGAAGAAACGCAGACAGACTCATGGCTGATGTGAAAATTGAACTGGGCCCGATGCCCTTTGACCCCAAATACTAAAAGAAAATCATCATGAAAGCTTTTTTTTTTTTTTTTGGCAATTTTGCACAATTCTTTTTTTCTTTTCAAGCTACTGAGCGTCCCAGCCCTGTTGTATGTTTTAACAATTTAAAGGTTTTAATGGACGATGCGGGACTTTCCTGCTTTAAGTTAACTCTTGGATTGTTTCCATGCCTATTGAAAAAATATAAAATAAATGTAATTTAAATCAATACTTGAGCTAATCATCCACCTGTTGCCATGCTAAACTCAATCCAAGAGGTTTAGCTTGTAGGTGTATGAAGGTTTTCTTTGACCAGTTTGTGACGTGAGTGACTTTAGAGTTCAGCTGTTTTCTAACATTCCACCTCGTGTCTCGTTTCAACTGGAGCCTTTGTTTTATTTCAGCTTAAACATCTCTTTAAAAAAAGACTGGAATATAACTTCTTAGTTAAACTGTAGATGGAAATAAAATGTTAAAAAAGTAAATATTAAATTTAAAATATTTATTATAGGAGCAAACCGTTACATTGTCACAGAATATTTTCATCATTGGTGTTTGTTTCTGCTGCTTTGTCAGTGCCTTTCATAAATAAATATGTTTCCTCCAAGTCTTCCCTCTGGAACATGAGTGTGAAATATCTCTGCTGTCCTCGTGAAGTTATTCCCCTGCAAAAATGTGTAGATTTCCTACAGGAGAAAACAGAAATGTTTGAACATTGCACTTTTAGACAAATGCAAACAGATGGTGTAGCCTTTCCCCTACCTTTTCTAAGACGTCAAATAAAACCAGATGTGTTGGCAGGGAGGATTTGTATGGAAAAGAAGTCCTGAGCCAGAGGAGAGGATTGTTGTAGAACTGTGCAGCTTCTTCAAAGTAGCCATCCTCTCCAAGGTCTGGGGGACATTCCAGAAACCTCATCTTCAGAGGACAGTGGACGTGGCTAGGAGGAGACAGACGTGTGTAAATAACGAACTGTTTCTGTAGGTTTAATCCAAACACTATGTTTTGCTTAAAAGCAGCAAGACTTTGTTTTTCAGGACTTCTGAAGCGCAGATGTTTATAATTTTTCAAGTTAATAAGAGATCTAATGCATTGTTATTTAAATATCGCCAATAAAAAAAAAAGTCCTTTTAAGGCCTTTTACAGAGATAATTCAATTAGATCAAACAGATTGTTAAAGTTTTTTTTTAATCTAAGTAAAGCCGCTGATTGCATCGAATCATTGGACTTACAGGTCACACTCCTGGATGAGCTTGTGGCAACTAGAAATTCACTTGCATTTTGTCATCTACTACAGCAATCACTCACAATGAGCATGCATGCAGCGACAGTGGGGAGGAAACGCTGCCTTTTAACAAGAAGAAACCAGATGAGCAAGGTTCTGTGCAAGCGGTCTTTTCCTGAGGTCAACAAGTTCAAAGAGACCACAGTCCGTGTAAAGCCTGAGATTTCATTAAAACATTGACATCATTTTCTGCTAAGTTGTCAGTTCAGCACAGTCAAAAATCCTTGATTATCCCTTTAGGATCCTTTTAAATGTCTGAAGTAATAAGATAAGAAAATTTATCAGAAAAAAAAACAAGCAGCAAAAATTTTTTTGCAGTAGTGTGCATATACATCTTATATAAAAGATATGGGAAAAATGATTTGCACCTTTAAAGAAATACAAGCTAGTTATAAATGGCAAAAAAGTTAGACACTATAATGTTGGAACTTGCACCTTATTTTTACAATTAAAACCTTTTTTTTTAGCAACAGATACAAGATTATAACCCGATTGCATCTGAAAACATCCCACAATGCTGAATTAGAACAATTCAACAGCTTCATTTAGTTTATTTTTTTTACTTACATTTTAAACCGGTTTTAGCTACTTAAATCGATGCAAATATTTAACTCAAATCTAACTGTCCCTTGGAAGTGCTTTTGTTACATTGAAACCAATTAACCTAAACGTATTTTAGGGGATTTAATGTGATAAACTGACACAAAGTTTTATAACTAAGAAGCTTAAAACCAGTAAATAGGTGTTTGATAGATGCCAAGAGGCCCATAATAATGGAGGAGTTGCATATGATGAAAGCCATTGCTGAGAAAAGCCTGAATTGTTTACAGAGATGTCCATAAGTCGCATAGAGGACATGGTACCGATGCTTTCAGCTCCATGAGACCAAAACTGAATTTGTTTGGACTTCAAAGAAACAGCAGATCCCCCTGAACAAAGCAACTCCACAGTGAACCATGGGTTTTGGTTGTACCTGTAGAATGGCGTTGAGTGACAGGGCATGAGGAAGAGGACGTCCGACTGCGAGCTGACAGCGTCCCCATTGACCTCACAAAGCGTCTGAAGGTGGCTCATGACATCTAGAGTACCTCTCTGGTGGATCAGACCGGTGTACAGAGCCAGAGCCAGGTTGGACACCAAAAGGAGAGCTGCAGCTGCACGTCTCCACGCTTTGAGGCGAGTCAAAGATATCCCTGCAATTACACACCTCTGATATGAACACATTTCACCAGGAATAGAACGCATACTGGGATTAAAGAGTTGAAACAGGGAACTGACCACAGAAGATCATACAGAATGGCAGCACAGGGTAGATGAACCTGAACTCCTTGTGAGGAAGCAAACTGAGCAGAGAAAATTATTTACTTCAACCATTTTTCATAAGTAGTTTTTCCCAACTCTGCCTTCTAATCAAATTACCTGTACACAGCAACAGTCCACAGAACCGTGACCAGCAGGATTCTGTATTTCCTGAAGGCCAGGCTGCATCCATGTAGAAAGAAGGGAAGATGAGGACCGATGATGACGGGGAAGCCCTGGGTGAAGTACCAGTGCCAGGGGTGGGAGCCGTAGAAACCGGCCACGCCGTGGAGAATGTTGAACTTGATGAAGTTGAACTGCACCAGCGTCCACTGGAATAGAGGCCAGCTGTTGCCATCTTAATGTAAACATAAAAGCTACTCGGTTGGTAGGCTGTGTTTTACCTTTTCATAGAAGAGACAGTCGATCAGTGCTGAAATTAGAACCGCCAACATCCTGGATATTTAACAACATGAAGCAGTGAGGACAGGAGCAAAACAATGGTGAGAGCAGTGGTTCTCAAACTTTTTCTGTCATTCCCCACTTTGGACAAGGGGGAATTTTCAAGCCCCGCCTGTCCCCATCGCCCCAACACAATGCTAATGAAATATGCAACAATCTTAAAATGTTCCAATTTTATTGAAGTAACAAGTAGTATCTAAATACAAACTATCTACATCAAATAACAGCAAGCTAAAAAAAAATAAAATAAAAATGCAGCTGTGTCAAAATTTGTATCAAGCTCAAAGATAGAAAAAATTAAAGTGCCACTCTGCAATCTGTTAATCAAAGAAAAGAAGTTAAATCCATCTGGCAAGACAGGTCTATTTATCCCTGCATTAGGGGCTGCAATGAGCCTGTTTTGCATTGCACAGTTTCTCAAAACGGGGTTGCAGGCTTGATACTGCCACTCTCAAGTCATGCTCAATGTTCAGCTGAGATCTGTATTTTGTTTTCAGTGAAGGATGTGAGATATGACACTATGGCGGAGTTACAATTTTTTAAAAACTTTTTAAAATGTTTTCTTTTTTCCCTTTTGGTCCACCAAGGAGCCTACAAATCACGGTAAAACATGAACATGTGGCTGTGTGAATCAAACGCTGTTATTTATTTAAGATAAAATATTTCAAATTCAGTTATTTATGATCAACCTGCGCCGTCAATCCCGGCGCATATGCGCTTTATTTGCAGTCTGGACGCTGAGGGTAAACATGCTGTGTCTCTGACTGCAGCGCTGAGAGGGACTCCTGCGATAGCGGGGGAGAATGGGGTTGGGACGGAGGAGGCGCCCCACGGCAGCACCTGCCGCTGGAGGACAAGAAAAGGAACGATACGTGCTTTCACGTAAGAGTCTCCAAAAGTCGCTAATTTGTCGCTAGTCGCTTTTTTGAAAAAGAGTCGCTGGAGGGGTCTGAAATATAGCGACAAAGTCGCTGAGTTGGCAACACTGGGGCGCGAAAGTTTATTCCGTTACAAATAATATGCCGACGTCACGTCAATCATTATTTTGGCACTTCAGTTCCAGGTGAAATTTTTCTCATATCTAATGTTCTTTTAATTAGACTGCATGTAGGCTAGTAATGATTACTTTGTGGGTTTGATTGGTCTAAAAAGCGGCAACATACAGCTATAAGGACAGTTTGCTCTCACATGTTCTACATTTATAGTCACACACACACACACACACACCGGAACTTGGCGCGCCCCACCTGTCACGTCTCAATTCCCCACCAGTGGGTCGCGCCACACCCTTTGAGAACCGCGGGGTTAGAGCATCCATGAGGCTGAGAGCACTTACCCTATAGGAACGTAGCTATGAGTGATGAGTCTCAGTTTGTCCGCTTCATGCCAGAAATGGTACATTAGCAGAGGGAACCAGACAATCAGGGCTGTCGGCCGTACGACCACTGCCAAAGCCACCAGGGACAGGTACATTTTACTGGGGAAATCAAGGAAAACCAGTGAGAAATAAGACACTTGAAGATTAGTAGAATAAAAACGGTAACAAGCTTTTACCTGCTGGATAATTTAGACCCTGGCAGAGGAAAGTAAAAGAGAGCCAAACAGGTGAGGGTGGTCTCTGTTGTGTTGGTCAGAGTCCTGGTGCAGCAGAACCAGGTGAACCAGGAACACAGGTGGCAGAAGAGCTGGAGAGCAGAGAAATCAGCAGACAGTAAACAACCCTGACATGTGAATTAAAGCTATCAGGGTTTATTTGTTGCAGGTTATACAAATCTGACATTTAGCTTTGGCTTTTCAGACAGTGTAGATTTCATATATTTTATAAGATTCAGTTTGAATTAGATCAGCTCTGTTTATGACCAAAAAGCCAACTTTAATCTAAGTTTAACATTTGAAGAGAAGCTTTTTGATGGTTGAATGAATGTGAATTAAGCCCATCAGTGACATACCATTGTGATTTGGGAAACTGAAGCTTAATATTATTAATATAAATCAGCTGAACAGAATAGAAATGAAAGATGGGAAAAGTCTGGGAAATATGTTATTTTTTAAAAGGAGGAACAAATACTTTTAAAAATCTTAGGTAATGCAGAGACTATTTCAAGACATGGGCGAATGTTGGTCTAGTGGTTTGGGCAGTGCGCTTGTACTCTGAGAAGGTTGCAAACAACCCATTTGATCCCCACTGCTTGCACTCTGGGTTCCTGAGCAAAACCCTTAACACCACACTGCTCCCTAGGCGCTGCACAGTGGCAGCCCACTGCTCCCTAAGAGGATGAGTTATATGCAGAGTTAATTTCTAGTCTGAGATCTATGAAGTTCAATTTCTATTTCTAGACTGAATGAATTAAAGGTAGAACAGCTTGATGCATGTAGATGTTCTGCATAGACTAATCTACAGGGTCCATTCAGTGAGTTCCTGATTGCTCTGCAAGGATTCTATTGTCAAGTCCAAGTTTGGGAGGTGAAAACAAAACCCAGTCACAGAACAGTTTCTCAGTGAGATGTAGGATTATGACAATAGGCTCTTTCTACCATCCATCTCGTAACATCCTCGGTTTCTAGCGATCGGATGAGTAAGAAGAATTTAACATCAGCGAATGCAGCCAGGAGAGCTTGAACTATTCGAGGAAGCCAAATCTGCAACAAGAAAAACAACAACACATGAACTCCATGATCACAAAGTCAAATCAAATCTTTCCAAGAAATAAAGCAACTCACAAGGAGGTAGACTGTGTCGTAGTTTAGCAGGTGTAATATCTTGTATAGAACTGCAAAAAACAAAGGATAAGCAAATCCTCTGATTCCTGCTTTCCACTCCCAGGTCAGGTAGCCATAGGTTTTACTGTTAAGGTTCCCGCCTCAACAAATAGATCAACCCAGAATCAAACCAGGAAAAAAAATTTTTTTTGTTGATAAATATATGTGAACCACAAAATTAATACCACAACAGCTGCCATTTTATGTGAATAATGAAAGAACCTTCAGATAATCAAACAAGCATCAGTGGCAGGAATTAGTTCCCCTCCTTAATCCAAATCCGGTTTTCCATATCCAAACTGGCCGTTTTTATGCACTTTCTTATCGTTAAAGCCTTCAAATATCAGGCTTTCACAGATTAACCAAAGCTTTCTTATAGTTACTGAGAACTTGGACCTTAAAAGTTTCATCCAATCAGCTGTGAGAAGAGACTCAAGTGTCTAAGGAAGTCTAAATGAGCCATTTTAATAGGTAAAACGTAGATTTTTATCTTATTACAAATTGAAACTGTAGCCATGTAGAGTTTTGTTTATTTTACCACTGTTTAGGAGATTGAAAGAAGTTGGGGATATAAAGGGGAATATATATAAATAATTAAATATTAGTGTTGCGCCGATGCCATTTTTTGGCCCCGATACCAATACCTGGCTGTGCAGCATCAGCCGATAACGATACCATCTGTTTGAAATTGAAGTGTGTGTTTATATATGAAGAACTGCACACTACTTGGATGTATAATAATTGCCATCATGGCTTTGTCAAGCTGCTGCCTACCTTTGTGAAACAGGAAAATACTAATACAAAGTGAATCCAGTAGAATTTTTTATTGCCAACCTGGAATCGGTGACAATAGTTGAATAACCTTTTGGCTCTCAAAATGCTATCGGTGCCTATTTGTCAGTACTTGCCGATACCGATACCACCATTTTAGTGCTGGATCGGGGCCCCAACTCAATACTGGTATTGGAATCGGTGCAACACTAATAAATATATCAACATAAGTAAAAACCTCTTGTTTTTACCGGTCAGTCTACGTCCCTACTCTCACATAAGGTTATAACATTTAAATTATGTCCAAAAGAAATAGATCCTGGATGCAAGTGGCTGAAATGACCGTTCTCCATAGGTTGGCTGGACACTAGAGATAATAGTCCAGAACTCGGTCATTTGGAAGAGGCTCGGAATAGAGCTGCTTCTCCTGCACATCACAAGGAGTCGTCTGAAGGGAATCGGACATCTGTACTGGATGAAAACTGGATGCCTTCCTCAGGATTGTTCCAGGCAAGTCCCGGGACATTGCAAAGGACACAGTGGACAGACTGTCTATTGGCTGGCCCTGCAGCACCTGGGAATCTCTTCTGAGACTGCTGCCCCCCTGACCCAGTCAATTTCAACTGAAATTCAATTAAAAGATACTTGATAATTCCAAAGGGAATGAAATATTGCAGTAACTCCTAGGGTTTTTTGCTTTTGTTTTTTTTCCCTCCGAGTTGTTGTAGCTGTGGATAGCTGTAAGAGGAAGGATCTTCTCTAGTAGTCTGTCTTGCACCAAATCTACCCTCTGACTGAAGATACTTTTCTGTTCAAAAATCTTCTGAAGTGGATGCTTACTGTTTTCCATAATGTTCTACACTTAATGGAGAATTATCCTTTGTGAAATCATCCCCAGAGGTTCAAGAGGAGTTCCTTGAACAGAACTGACCTTCTTAATTAGCTTGTTGGTCTTTTTTAAGTCATTTGCCCTGATGTCGTTACCCCAGCAGATGATCCTGTTACCCCAGCAGATGATGAAAGAAGAGATCACACTCTCCACAACAGATAGAAGATATGTAACATCTTGTTGCAAAGGCAGAGGGACCTAAGCTTCTTTATGAAGGCAACAATGATGTGAGATGGAAGAAGAACAGTGACAATGGATACTAGTCACTTTATATGTGCTAATTTTTTTTACAATGGTTGTGGTTGTTTGGGTTATAGCTAATAATCTTGTAATAATAATAATAATAATGAGTTTTATTTGTAATTCACTTTACATTTGAATTCAAATCTCAAAGTGCTACAGTTAAAAAAAGGGAAGATTAAAACAAAGGTTAAAAGACCATAACATTAAAACAGAGTAAAAGACAATCATTAAAATCAATACATTTGAAGGCATGCGTAGCCTATCTTAGAAATATATTAAAAAGTAAAAAATTATAAATATATTAAAATAAATAAATCTTAAAATATTTAAAATCTGTAATTGTACTGCTTTTTCTGAAATAAAGTTATTCATTCGGTCACTCATTCACACAGACTGAAAAAGGAAATCAAAGGATATTTAAAGACCATCCGGTGTGACACCTCCAAGGACTGCCAGTACTCATCAGGGACAAAGCTGGTCTGAACCAGGACACAGTTGATCAGTCTGAAGAACACAATGAAGACAGCCACCCTCAGTAGGCCTGTGGAGATAAGTTGCTTAGTGATTTCCTGAAAAGGAAGTGTTTAATGGAACATGGAGCTGATTGAGCTGCAGCACCGTGGTTTAAAAGCTTCCCCTCCTCCTTGGAGTAAAGCAGGGACCTCCGTTTCCTCAACTTCACGTCCTCTGCTTTGCTCCCGAACTTCAGCCGAGGGCGTAGAGTCTCCATCCTCATAGGATAAGGTGGGAATCACCTGTCAGAGCAGGACTAGGCTCATATCAAATTCATCGAGGGGCTGAAACTAAAAAAAAATCAGGGGAATTGCCTTATCTCATGTCTTAAATAAGCTAATTTAAACAGAGGTTGTAGTTGCTTTGGTTTAACCAACTTCAATTCCTTACATTTTAATCTCTCTCAACTTCCGAGTTAGGATACTGTGACCAAACAAACGTCTTTAACATTACTTCCGCCCACACTCAATCTTATTTCCGGTCTTCCACACTTCAATATAAAAGCTCTCCTTCTTTGTGGCGTCTATTCAGGTTTGGTAATAAACTAAATGGCTCATTACTGCCACCAACTGATGAGGAGAGAGACTGTCGCTATGTAGATTTAACTTTCTGTAAATGTAAATTAGTTCTAGCTTGATTTTCACTAATTTAAGGTATCTTATCCCGTAAAACAAGCATACTTGTCATTATTTCTGTTCCACTTACTCTAAAATTAGCATTTACTTTTTCTGCGCTCATCATATTTATTTAAAATGTGTATTTTTATATAGAGTCCGGCTGCAAAACTGACCAAAGAGGAAAAAGTAGTTGATCTTCCAATCTACGTTTTTATTTAAGGTTGATTAGGCAACACCGAATACGTTGTTTTTTCGCCATTTACTGGCAAATTGATGTATGTTTGAATTATTTTTTTGTTTTTCCGGCAAGGAATATAAAATAAATTATGCATATACAAAATAAATGTCTTTAAAAATTTAGATATATAGTGACCCAAAAAGTGTTCAGTAAACTGTATAACACCCGAACAATACTTCTATTCTATTCTATTCTATTCTAATGTGTTCTGTTCGACATTTCTTGATGTATTATGAGTGTCAGGATAAGTTATCTTGAAAACATAATTCAGACTAATATCAAAGTTTTTAAACAAGCATTCCGTATATTTAATGAATTTTGTCAGTTTTTTTTTTTTTTTTTAAGTAGTTTTTGTACTTGTGTGTGATTGAGAGGATACAGCTTTATAGGATAGAATAGAATAGATGTTTTTTTTAAAAAAATGTGATATACAGCTCTGATTGAGCTGTCCCCTCTAACGGTTGAAGAATAGATTGCAAGCTTATTTTCCTTATTTTGTACCGATTGTCTGCTACATAAACAAATATAATTATATTCCGTATCTATTTAGATTCCAGTTAAAGCAGATATGTTATATTGACAGGCCCACAAAAGATCACCAATGAAATTAATCCAAATGAAAAAAAAAAAATAAAACCAAAATATTATTCAAAATTTAAACATTACGATCTAGTTTTTGGGAAGAAAAGAATATGAATTTACCACGCTACTCTTATTTTAATTTAATTTTCCCGCTTCAACGTAGCTTTATTGACAGGCCATACTGTCTTGACCCATCGTTTTTCTCTTACGCTAGGTGGCACTGTTCATCTTTCTTCGCACAGTAGTTCTCAGAAGAAGAAAGCTCTCTCTATACGTAAGTATCCTCCTGTTTACCTTTTCTTGGGCATTTTTATCCTTTTATCTGACTTCCCCTCTGTCCGGGGTAACTACAGACTCCTCCTATAAAGTGCTATCTGGTGAGTGAAATATGTTGTAGATAATTATATCCGTAATAGTCATGTTTGACCGATGTTCAATAAAAAAAAAGGTTAACGAACTGAAAATTAGAACAAGATTCGGTCGAACATTGTCAATATCCGGTCGGGACTTTTCAAAATAAGACATTATATTTGGATATGCTTTTGGTAAATATTTATATGGAATATCGCGCTACCTGTTGATGATGTACTACAAATCGGTTTTACACCCACCTGAGTTCTACATTTAGTGTATTTAAAGTCAATATTTGACAGAATAAGACATCTAATATATTTGTATATGTGCATATGTATATGAGGTGTCCTGTGCACATATTTTAAAATGACAAAATTCACTGTCAAGGTAGAAGAAAATAACTGAATCTCCACTCAAGGGCTTTAGGTCTCACTGCATCAGGTTCTAAATTTACTTTAATCTTTTTTTTTAGGATAAAAAGCTTAATGTGTTCACTAGGGCCAAAGTCCTGAATCGGTTTGATTTTGATTCATACAGTTCTAAATCGATTAATTTCGATTCGATCTTATATTATATAAAATACTTAACACTGCATCCTGAAGTTAATTTGGATGCACTTGTTTTGTTTTTTTTATATTTAATAGGGGGACTTTTTTTATGCAAACTATTTCTAGCAACACATGCTTGTTTTCTTGATACCCATGTATTTGAAATGATCTGCCATGTGTTTGTCTTTCTTTCAGGATTGGTAGGGATCTGTAGATCTTGATACCTTGTAAAGCAGGAGCAATGTTTCGACAAAGGCTGCCTTTCTCACAATTGTTCTTAGCCGCAGCGCTTGGGGTCGCTGGGGGCATTTACATCTACAGACCATACTATGAGTCACGACTGAAGGCCTTTGAACAGCAAAACAAGGATGTGCCGAAGAAAGGGAATGAAATGGACTGAAGCACTCCCAGGAAGCACTTAACAGACTGAACAATCAGAACCGCTGATGCCAGACTGGAGGCCAAACAAAACACAAAGCCTGTGCAGTTACATTTCTGCTACTGTGGGGTATGGCATTTTTTTTAAATGCCTTGACATATTTTAACACTCACCTGCCTTATTTTTAGCAGATGTATTTGTAAATGCATTAAACTGTGTAACCGAAAGATATTGTGAACCAAGAAATAAAGTAATGTCTTTTTGTGGTGAGAAAAACACAAGTGTTGGTACATTTTTAATTATTCAATGATTTCATCTATCCACAACCTGAACTTACTCTGGTTATCTTTTATGTGAAAAAACTGTTCAATCTAAAACTTTTTATGACAAACAGAAAAAAATTCTGTATGATAAATGGACTGGATGATAAATTCAGATTTTTCTTTTCAATTGTGACCCGATTAATCTCTTAGTTTTATCTTCAGTTATACAGAAGCTACATGCATTTATTAAACACATTTTTGACAGGATTAGTATTTCATTAATTTTTGATAAGATTTACAAAAAAAAAAAGAAGTTAATTAGAGTCCGTTCAAGATCAGGAAGCTCAGAGGTTTTGGAGTAAGTTTATTTCAACATGATGGTGAGGCATTTCAATACGACACCAACTGTGTCACCAACTTAATAACTGTGTATAGTTCATTAGACGGTTGGTAAAAAAAAATACACTACAATATGTTTCAAACAGCAATTAAGATCTTAAAACAACAATGTATTTGAGTATTTTATTTTTTACACTACAACTTGGAATTGGGGTAATCCAGAGCGTCCAATAAAACCATAACTGTTGCGTACAATGTGTTAAAGATGATGGATACCAAAAAGAAGTACTTAAGCGGATTCAAGAAAAGAAAAAGCAAAGAAGAGCTGCTGGAAGAATGGAAAAAACTTCCCAAAAATAAACACGTTCTTTCAAAGAAACGAAGAGGGAGAGGTGGACGTTGCTGCTACAGTGAGTGTTGTACTTCATATGGGGCCTACCCAGATAATGTTGTGTCATTACATCATTGGGTCCAAACATAGCATAAGAACACTGTAATATTTTGATATGGCTGGAGCCGGTCAAGTTTCCTCATGTACAAACATGATGCAATAATGTGAGATTTGATGATGTAGTAGTCTGTGTTTATAAAATGCTTTTTTAAAAACTGGTAATATTTTAGTGCCTCGTGGTATGCTTACAAGATTACAATTTCTTGTCATGTCTCATATTCATTCAATACTTATACATATATATATTATTTAAAGTGTATTTTCCTAATGACCTCTTCTCAGGAAATAATCAGTAAAGCTTAACTATATAAACAGACATAACTTCGGGGCTATGGCCCCTGATGGCCTCTGTCTAGAACCGCCCATGGGGCCCCGGACAAGTTTGAGGCCGCTTCTGGGAAATGCTTTAATAAAAATGGACCGATGGAGGATTAAAATAGGAACCACATAGTCACCCGTTCAATTTCTTGGCTCGGTGTTTTAAAGCAGACCACCTGCAGGTCGTCGTCGCTGATCGGACGCTCGCCTCGCCTGTTGATGCAGCGAGCACCGCTGGGAGGCGCTGTTTCTCACCGGAGGGGCTGAGAGCACACAGCCCCGGAAAGTTAAGGTGGTGCTTAGAGCGGGCCAGGCTGTCCTCATGTCCACTGACGGGCTAGAAGCGACGGGAAAAAGTCAAGCTCCACTTAGATCATTTCATTTCAAGTTTTCTCCGGTTGTTTGAGGGTTTTTATTTTATTTTTTTTACAGAGTAGGAGGCAGCAGCAGCTACGCCCTGGGGCTGGTGAGTAACTCTGCTTTCAGGAAATGTCTGCCGTGGGAACCAGGCTGGTAGCATCTGTCAGGAGTTAGCAACTTATACCTTCACCCTGGCTGCTGTTTGCTTCACAGAAACATTTAAACATGTCATCCACTCTTCAGTTAAACTTCAGGCCTCCTGGGTTTTTTTTATTCCACCTGCTTTTTCCTCATCTGTTGCGTTCACTGACCGACACAACACGACGAGCCAGAGATCATCACTACTACTGACTAGACTTTTTATTAACTTCTGCATTTTACGTTTTCATGATCCTATATGATGGGAGGCTGACCTTCAGTTGGGGATGTCAGGATGGGTTTAATGTTTGTCTGAAGGGGGGGGGGGGGGGTTATTTTCCATCTGATTGGTCAGGTGACCCCCCCCCCCCTCCACATGAGGACCAGCTGAGCATCATTAGACCCCCTGTTTCTTTAAGTTAACTGATTTATGATTGTGATGCTGCTGTGGAAATCGGTTTGAAGTGCCTTTTTAGAACCTGTCGCTGATTTTCCTCACATGGTGCTGCATTTTTAAAGATGCACATTGCTGATGTGAAACTGAAGTAATAATCTTTGGACCAATAGAGGAGAGATCTAAAGTTAGCACACAGCTTCAGTTGCTTCAGCTAGTAACCACTGATCAGGCCTGAAATCTAGGTGTAGTGCTGGATACAGGCTTGAACCTCCAAAAGCATTTAAAGACTATTACAAGGTCAGCTTTCTGTCGCCTGAAGAACATTTCCAGGATTAAAGGACTAATATCTTAGCATGATCTGGAAAAACTAATCCGTTTATTTTTAGTCAAATCGATTACTGCAACGGTGTTTTCACAGGTCTGCCTAAAAAGTGGATCAGACAGCTGCAGCTGATCCAGAACGCTGCTGCCCGTGTCCTCACTAAGACTAAGAAAGTAGAGCACATCACCCCAGTTCTAAAGTCCTTACACTTAATCATGGGAAGCACTTTGCATTGTCTTTGTACTGAATTGTGCTATACAAATACATTTGCCTTGCCTTGCCTTGCTCATGGGCCCCTCATGGTATCCTCAGCGGTCACAAGTTTTTCACATTTTGAATATATGTATATGTTTTGTTTCTTCTATTGTTTTTGTTCTTTTTCCCCAGAGTTAGTTCCACTTTAACCTTGAGCTGCTGGCATAAGGATCAGTCTCTTTGCAAGAGACTGTTTTATTTTAAACTGATTTGTGACAAATAAAGAAGTCTAAGTCTTGTGTCAGTTTAGTTGCTCAAGATAAGACGAATGAATTGAATCTAAAGAAGGCAGCAGAGTTTACTCTGTGTTGCTCTGTAAATGACCACACTGTGGCCTTTTACCAGGGAAAGTCTGCTTCTATGAGAGGCTTCAGTCTTGTTGAACAGGGATTCGCTTGTTGTCGGTTTTAAAAGGTTTTGCGAAACATGAGACTGTCTTAATGTAATTTCTTTCTGCTTCCAAGTTAGATTAACTCCCACACTTTCTGAGCAATAAAGACCTGTTTACTAGAGTTAACATATTAGACCCCTACTAAGGCTGCAGCAGACAGCAATGATATGATTTTGTATTCAGCATTGGATGGATCGATGGATCTGTCCAATTTTTATTTGAACCATTTGTGAAGGAACCAGTTTGATGTTACTTATTTGGAGAACTTGCTGTCTTGTGGATGTGGGAAAGCTTCTGAATGACAACAGAAACTTTAGTTATCTAGAATAATTGAAAGGGCTGTTTGCTTGCCTAACTCACCCGAAGATGATGATCTGGCTTCCTTTTTCACCACTATGGTAGAACCTGGGAGGAACAAGGTGAATTACACATGTTTCTGCAATTCAAAGAGTCGGCGTGTTAGAAAGGCCACATTAAACTCTGGTCTCTATTTCCCTGTTGGTCTCATTAGTTTGAGCTTGAAAAAGACTTGTTAGAACGGAGTTTGGTGCTCTGCAAGGGAACGTCTGATTAGCCAGATATAATCTGCAGAAACATGCTGACGCAATCTGTACTTCCAGCTCTGTGGTTTTGCAATTCTGTGACCTGCTTTTACTTTTGCTTATATTTTATACTAACTGGTGTTCATTAAGTAGGTTTTTGATGCGGACAAAACCGGTGACTGACATGTGTTTGGTTGTATGTCATGTGTCACTTTTTTGGATTATGGTTTGTAATCCGTAGGGGACTGCACTGCAACAACAGTGTTCTTACTTAATCTTTTAATATTCCTGTAAGGACATACGGATTAATTGTAAACACTTTTTTTCCCCAGGTGTTTACACACATCTTTTATGATGCAACACATTAATTTTCTTTGAGTTTATTCTGTTTTAGATTATTTAGGATTACCAATATAATTTTCTGCTAAATTACATCTTTAAGATAACCTTTTCCCTTCTTTATAAGTTTAGTTTGAGTCACCAATAGGCCCACCTTAGGATGGACACGCTGCTTATTTTTCTGATTTAATGAAAAGAAAAAAAAAATCCGATAAGAGAATTGGGAAGATAGTTTTGGATGGTCACGAGTTCCAAACATGTTCAAACAATTTTATAGAAGTGTAGAAAGCAAAGGAATGTGCAGGAATAATACTCCTAAAAAAGGGGTCCGATAGCTAAACTTTTTCTGGTGGGGAAATTTGCATTTAAACCGAATGGAATAAAAAAAAAAAAAACACTTTGTGAAGATTCAAACTGATATGGGTAAGACTGGGTTATTATCAAATGAAATCAGTCCTGAACCAAGTGGGTTGCAGGGCCAATCAGGAAGGGAGAATCCGATTCTTCCCTTAAAAGTTAACTATATAAAATGCTGTGTGGAAATTTCAGAACAAAGTTTAAAATGATAAACTCTAAAATTCAAACATTTAGCATCAAATAGGATATTCCTGGCTGTACTTGTTTTTAATCAAGTGTCTATAAGAATATGCTTTCAGCTCTAATTTATCGACGCGTTGTTCTCACAGTACTATTCATCCGATTAGTTCCAATCACAACACCATCTGTTGTTTAACAGGCTCAGGATGGGCAATAAACAATTATAAAATGTATTGCCATAGACTGCTTATAAAAAGCCTCCAATAGATTTTTTTAGAATATAATTGCACTGAAATCTGATCAAGAACTCCTAGGCATTCTGGGGGATGTAGGCAGAGAAGGAATTTAGGCTCTCATCTTAAAACCTTAGCCTCTTACAGCCAAGCCGATCCTTATTTCAAATTGAAGAACTAATATTTACTAATAAGCTATTCATGATACGTTTTCCAGCCATATTGCACAACCCTATAACTGCCACAGATATTATTAAAAACATTATACACTGGGTCTTATTAAAGAAATTATAATGATCACATTTTATGGAAACTAACTCAGCCTCTACAAATGCAACATCTGGGTCTGTGTGGAACACATCTGTAAAGAGACTGTTAAACTCTTGGGCTAAATAAAGAAATTGTAACCCAAGTCTTTCTGGACATTCTGTTTGTGGGTCGTTGAAAGAATTATCTGTAATTTAATCTAGATTTAATCTAGCTAGACCCAAAAAAGTGGACCTGGAGCTGCATTCATTCTCTCTAAAGAAAATATGTAATCCTAAAAGAGTATGTGGAGTTTTTATCCTGAGCTAAAACTCTTACAATGACTGAATGCTTGGCTTTATGAGCATAACTTTAACTAGTTTTAGATGTAAATGATGGGCTTTGAGTTTGTCAGTGTAACATGGGTCAGTTGATCTTTTTTTTTCTTCACACCCATAACTAAGTTAAAGGTCCCAAATGCCGAAGCTGTTGTCTGTTTTGTTCATTAAATAATTTTTTAGATCCACATTGGACAATCAAAACTAATTTACAGGCAATGGTTTTTGACTTAGTGTGTTTTAGGTTTGACTTTTAAACTTTGTTGAGGAAAGGTAAAAATCCTGTCTTAAGAATAAAAATAAAGATGTTTTGAAGCTTTGGTTAGGTAATTAAAGAGTTAAACAAAGTGGTGTTTGACATCTTATTTTCATAGTTTTTCTTCACTGTATCTGCATAAAAAACTGGAGATGCATAAAAAAATAAGATAACACAAATCTTACAATAAGAATTGTGTTTTTTGACAGATTTGAGTTGGGTGAATCAATTCTTTTGCGTGTGTAATTGTAGTAATTTCTTTTAATAATACAGTTTTGTACAAGCTGATGTCAACTTCAGTAAAATACTCATATTTCTAAATGCTGAAATAAATGAAAAATGGGTTACATAAAAGGTATATTTGTACAGCAGTTTTTTTATATATATATAATATTGCACTCAACAAAAATACAAAAGTAACACTTTTGGTTTTGCTCCCACTTTTTATAGCCTAAGGCACACCTGTGCACTAATCATGGTGTCCAATCAGCACCTTGATATGGCACATATCAAGAAGCAAATAAGAAGTGCTGTTACAGATTTAGACTGGTTTGTGAACAATATTTGAGGGAAATTGTGATATTGTGTTTGTGGAAAAAGTTTTAGATCTTTGAGTTCATCCCATTAAAAATGGGAGCAAAACCAAAAGTGCTGCATTTATATTTTTGTTAAGTGTAAGTCAGTGTGAGGAAAAATATAAAAACGTTTAATATGTTTTTATAATGCAGTAGATCCCCAGGTGGAGGGTGATCAGTGTAATTACAAGGCAAGGTAAATTTATTTGTATAGCACAATTCAGTACAAAGACAATGCAAAGTGCTTTACGTGATTAAAATACAGGAAGATAAAACAGAATCAAATCAAGTAGGAAAAAATAAATAAATAAAATAAAAAATGCAGAAACAAAAAAGAATATTAGAAACAGTTGGACTAAAGAAAATATGTTTTAGTTTAACTGTTTAACTAGAACAGTCGAAGGCAATCCTAAACAAATGTGTTTTTAGTCTTGATTTAAAGGAAGTCAGGCTTTCCGCACTTTTACAGTTTTCTGGAAGTTTGTTCCAGATAAGTGGAGCAAAGGAACTAAATTCTACTTCTCCATGTTTAGTTCTGGTTCTAGGTATGCAGAGCAGGCTGGAGCCAGAAGACCTGAGTGGTCTGGATGGTTGATACACTGATAGCAAGTCTGTGATGTATTTAGGTGCTAAGCCATTCAGAGATTTATAGACTAACAGAAGTATTTTAAAGTCTATTCTCTGAGATACAGGGAGCCAGTGTAATTACAGGAGGGGAATGGTAGAAATGAACTGGATAAATGACCAGTTTTAAGAGGAAATTAAAAAAAGTATATGTGGCACTACTGAATTTTGTTGCGCAGTAAAAGAAGCAGTTAAACCTAAAATAATTGCACATTAATAGTGGTAGGTTTGTGATTTAAATGAGATTGTAGGGCAGCTTTCTTTTTTTTGCTTGCAAATATTTTTCAGATGAAGGCGCAATCTCTGTTTTAAATCAAGAGGGGTCACAAAGAAAAGTTTGAGAGCCACTGTTATAAGAAGTGTGTTTTCTTCCAATGATTTTAACACAGAAAGTGAAGTTTAGATGGACTCTAAGCTCACCTCTTATGGTCAAATCTGTGTTTCTTTCCTCCCTTTACAGCCCAGCACATTTAACACAACCCTAGATTTTGCACGGGACCCTAATCTGCTTATGGGTTCAGAGGAAAGGCTCAACGATGCATGCAGGGAAAGAATGTAAGGCTTGTCTGAAATGTCAACTAAGTGATCATATGACACATTTCTGCCTTCTTCAAGCCTTTTTTTACCCTGCAATTAGTAAAGTGTTGCTAATGGGAGTCTCGCATCTCATAGATGAAACAGTACGGGTCTATTTACTGGCCAGTTTGTGGCCAAAATTGTGACATTTTGCAATTTGCTGGTGATTTGAATTTTGACCTACATTTGGTGTAGAGGGATGCATATATTCTTAAGTAATACACATTTATTCAAGAATGGAAATATAAATATGCCTTTATTTTCTTACAAAGGGGATGTTAAATTGTGTCAGCAGCAAATAAGGAAAGACTTTAGAAAATAAAAAAACATACTGTACATTTATTTAAATCGATACACTCGGTTTTAGTTGAGTAGGGTAGTTTAGAAAGCATACAATGTTCAAATTTGTGCGTATACAAATAAAATCAACACAAAATGCATAAATAGCAGTAGGATTTTTATAGAGCGCATTGAAAGCAGTGATGGTTATGGAGGCTAGAAGAAAGGATATGCGTTTGCCCTACTTTGTGCACCGAGGGTGCAGTACTCTTTCATGTAGACATTAACCCATTCCGTTTAGTACTGGGTTTAACCAGTGTTTTGGATATGACAGAGAAGTAGACTTTAAGAGTTTTTTTTTTTTTTTTTTGTAATCAATCCAAATTATTAGGATTTGTTGCAAAGAATAAACATTTTAAAACAAGATTTTCTAGACTAGAGTAAGCCTACTAAATTCCAGAGTTGGGGTTATTTATCAATTAGTTTTTGGGTCTGGAGATCATATAGAAAAAAATAAGCTGAGCAGTAAAATGATGATGATGATGATGAAGCATATGTATATTGTTTAGTGCTAAAATGCATCACTTGGAAATTAGCAAAAACATATAAACAATAAATCCCCGAGGTTTATTGTTTTGTAGGGATTTTGTATAGTCAACCAATATTAAAGTGATGTACAATGATGAAAAAACACTGTAAATACAGATTTGATTTGATAATTTTCTATTGATTCATGATAATGTTGCTGCTAATAGCCTTTAAAAACAAAGTGCAATCAAAGCACAATAAGTGGACCCTAAAACTCTTTGCTTCGTTTTACCCACAGCTGTATGCTTTCAGGTGTGGTTTCGAATGGTTTTACATGGAGCAGGTTGTTCTGCCCTGCAGCGAATGGCTAACTGTTACATGAGGTGCCTCTGAATGCAGATTAAAATCTTTAAGCAAATGTTCCAGAGAGCACTGAGGAAATGTTGCATTAATCCCTGCATATTGTTGCAGCAATGATTAACTGTGTTGCTAGATTCTGCTGTGTTTTCATCATGCAGTATAGCCAAGTACTAAAGGGATTTTCACTGAATCCTGTTGTAACGCTGGTTGGAATTTCACAATGTAGGTGATGCGAGGAGGGTTCAATTGCAGGAAATGTGACACAATTTTCAGTTTTTGACACTAGTTTGTGCTTTATTTCTACTGGTCAGAACCGAACATTACTCTGGTAGACAGGAAAACATAACAGGCTTCGTGCTGTTTCATTTCTAAAGCTTAAAAAAAAAAATAAAAAATAAGTGCTTCATTAATAAACTTGGTTTATGATTAAACCTTTCTACATTTATAGTTGGTTTCATATTTTGCTAGATTCCACTGCCCAAACTGAAACAGTGTACTTGGGTAATAGTTGAGTGCTTTTAAAGAAAATGTTAGCATATGTTTCAAAAGATGTGTTCCAATGAAGCTGTTTGATTTACCTGAAAATGAGGTGGGCTGTTTTAAAAACAGTCTAATAAATGGCCTTAAACATTTTCATTTGTACAAGAATCCTCCTGATTTCCAAAATAATCCTACCCTGAATGAGTTTGAGCTAAACACTACAGATCTTTCCTTTTCCATGTCATCAAGGATTAAAGTAGCTGAAATACTGTAATGCTAAGAAATTCCTGCAGGTATAAACAAGGAAGTTATGTTGTTTATTATTAAAATTCCCAGCAAAGGGATTATTTTTTTCTCTTAAAAAACTCTGCTACTCCTTTTACATTGCATTGTTTGCAAGATATTTAATTATTTTCTGTCAGGGGAAAAAAGGCTGCTCAATCAAATTAAAATGGAAATAGAAAACTAAACCTTTTCGAGTAATGAATAAATTTGGGATTCCCTCTAGTAGTCTGTAGATTTCCTGTTGGATGTAAAGGAAGTGAGCTTTAGTCTTCAATGATGAACCCAACATTAGAAAAGGTATTTGAAGGATTTTTTCATGCAAATATAAAAAATGTGTGCATTCAGTTAAAGCTTGATCGTTTCAGGTTTGTGTATTTTGAAAAAACAGCTTTATCTTCTGACAAACAATCACCTGCTATTACTACTATTGGCCATAAGGGATGCTTGTCATTTTACCTTTCATTTTTAGAAAAAAACTTGTTTAATTTGATGCTGTGACCAATATGAATAAAGACTTTCAAATGCCATTGGTCAGAAAAGGTCAACTTTGAGCCATTTATTTAAATAAACTAGACAGAAGGGCATTTGTTCTTGTGGTAACTGTGTGCATGTGCTCTATTTGTATAAAAGTTGGATGCAATCTAGTGCAGCATTGAAGGCTACTTTTTTTTTTTTAAACACTACTAGTTCTTACACAAGTTGTTTTTTTTTTTTGCTACCATTTGTTATTGCATTTCGGGAAAGATGAGTAACTTGAAAGTGATGTCGGTCTAAGCATAATGCATACAAGCATGCAGGGTTTTTTTTCTTCAAAAAACTCTCAACTCAGTCAGTGTGTTACTATAAGATGGCAACTGTGTAATGATTTCTCAGGTACCAAGTATTTCAGAGTGAAGTGTGGCATTATAAGAAAGTGAAAGTAATTCCTGAAGGATGGCAAATCAGCCATGATGAGGTAAAACACACATGATCACAGAGCTTTATGCAGACCTAATGGCCACAGACCTTAAAACTTCATCTGGCCTTCAGCTTTAATCAAGAATGATCTGTAAAAAGCTCCACGCCATGTTTTTGTTTTATATACATTTGTTTATTGAGGAAAAAGATTAGTCATATACATCAAAAAAATGGAAAATGTCCCTCATTATATTTTCTTGTTTTTGTGTTTGCAGGGGGAGAGGGTGGGGGTATTGTTCAGAAGGCAAAGTTTGAAGTGATTTTCAATATTCCATAAAGTAACCCCATTTATTTGGGAATCCTTTCAGTGCAAAATGTATTTTCTCCATTTTAAGTAATGATAGAGCACTGTGAAACCACTGAGATATTAAAGGTGCCTTAGGAGATTTCTGAAAAAGCAAAATTTTTCATCTACCAAGTGATGTAAAAGTCAATAATTTGGGATGAAAGGGGTCCTTTAATACAGACTTTACTGGGATACCAACACACCATGGTTTTTAACAGGGTTGCATTTCCATCCCCTGTTGTCATCACCGCGTACATGCAAAGCAACAGACACGCCCTACTGTCTGAGTTTAGGGCAGTAAAAACATATTCACTGGAAATTGAAATCATTCCTCCATCCCATAGAAAGGTCTGGGTTTGGTGGTTACCTGACTGCGTTGCATCAGATGTAAGATCTGGTGATGGGAGGATTATGCTGCGGGCCTGTTCTTTTGGAGCTTTGCTCATTGTCTTGGTTACATTGAGAAATGACTGTTGCACACCAAAATATTTTGTATAATTCCATGCTACTACTTGTGGGAACAGTTTAACGATGGTCCTTTCCTTTCCCAACATGACTTTGCAGCAGTCCTCATACATCCATGTATGACATCTATGGAATGCCTAAATATTTTTATAAACACATTGCTTGGAAAAGCCTCCCTAGAAGAGATGAAGCTGGTATTGCTGATAATGATCAGTTCATATTAAACCCTATGGAGTAAGGATTGAATGAGTGAATGCTTCCGGCCATATAGTCATGAACCCTCAGCACACTGACTTATTAATAGCAGCTTCATTAGCTGTTATTAAACCTTATTACTGTTGGGGCGGCTGTGGATCACTGGGGAAGAGTCTCATCTGGTCATGCAGAGGCTGATATCATCAACCTTATCCTTTTATCTTAGAAATTAACACAAATAACGTTTTTCTTTTTCTTTGAGTTTTAAGGATTGTTTTCTTGTCATTTTTTGATTCAGCCTCCTTTTGTGTTTCAGAAATTACGGACTCACTATGTCTGATGGGGAGTATGATTACCTTATCAAGTTCCTAGCGCTGGGGGACTCCGGAGTGGGAAAGACCAGCTTTCTCTACCAATACACGGATGGCCATTTCAACAACAAGTTCATCACTACAGTTGGAATAGACTTCAGAGAAAGAAGAGTGGTAACTAATCCTTTTTTTAATTTCTTCATTGCTGCCTGATTAGGGGTTTAAATGCATTCCCTTTATGTCAGGCAATACTTGTTGGACAATAGACTACTGAAGGATGCTCTGCGATAGGAGGTATGACTAATGTAGGGTAAATAGCAGGCAACACCCTCCTCAGATTAAACACTTCAAACCATTGGCAAACAGCTAAGTCTTATCCATGTTTACAGTAGCTATCCCTTAGTGCTGCTAACCTAAAGCTCCTGAAGTAGATCCTGTTTTTCTTTCATTTATTTAGCGGAAAAATCACTCTTTGATCTGTCAAAGTTGATTTTAAATATTTATTAATACAGCATCTAATCGAAAACATAAGTTATGATGAAGTAAATAAGCTACTAATAATTGCAATGTGAACACAGAAGTGTATTTTGTTTCAAGATTTAGCAGTTACTTCTGTTTTTTTTTTTTTTTAAGAAAAGAATAAAACCGCAGGAAAATATAATTACACAGTAGCATTGATGGCTTATTTGAGGGTAATTTCTTTACATTTTTTTATTAGGCACTGCTAATTTTAACTGAGAATTTGACATCCTAATGTTGAGTGGCAGAATAAAAATTAAGAGGTAAAAGATGGGAGGTAAAACTGACTTTGAGTTGTACCGTTAGGATAAACTTTTTATTGGGGATCCTCTCAAATACAACCAGTAAAATGATTTTTCATGGTTAGAGCCTCGCTAAGGTGTTTTTACAATGCAAAAAGGGGCATAATTGACATTATGTATAGGTATAGGTGGAGGTTGCGTCATGCTGTGGGAGTGCTTTTTTCCGGATGAAGCTGCTAAGAGTTGATGGAAAGATGGATGAAGCAAAATGTAGGGCAGCACTAAAATAAAAACAATGTTCTAGCTTAGGTAACGCTATGCAGCGAAGTTGGTTGGATCTGAACCTAAAATTAAGAAACAATATTGGAGCACAACCAAATCTTAGAAACAAGCTGTTTTTGCAGCCATCGGCAAATTTTGGCAGGTTATTTTTATTTTTTTTCAGGATACACTTCATTCAGATTTACAATGGTTTTAAATATCTATTTGAACTGTTGTCTCTGTTTCCATCAGATCTACAATTCAACCGGTCCAGATGGAACTACAGGCAGGGGACAGAAAATCCACCTGCAGCTTTGGGACACTGCAGGACAAGAGAGGTTAGTTATCCATATTCTAGGATTGGATTTAATCCCTACTGACATTATTCACTTTCCTAGATAAATATCTGTTTCACCGTTCTGACCACCTGCAGGTTCCGAAGTTTGACCACAGCTTTTTTCCGAGATGCCATGGGTTTCCTCCTCCTGTTTGATCTCACCAATGAGCAAAGTTTCCTCAACGTCAGAAACTGGATGAGTGAGTCCTGAAGGGTCCAGCTGAGACAGAATCGGAACACATTTACTTACATTTGATTTATTATATCTGATTAATATGAGCTGAAACAAGAATGATGTCAGACCCCTAAATAATGTGATCATCTTCACTGATGAACATCTTGTTTAGAATTAGTGTTATGAGCTTCATGTGTATGAGTCATGGTTGTTATTAAAGCTGGCTGTTTCCCTCAGGTCAGTTACAGATTCACGCATATTGTGAAAATCCTGATGTGGTTTTGTGTGGAAACAAATGTGACCTGAGTGACCAGAGAGCCGTGAGCCAGGAGGAGGCTCGAGAACTGGCGGAGAAATACGGGTGCGTATGCCTGGTTTCTGATCCGTCTGCGCAAAAACCTCTCCCTCAAAAGTTTGCTAAGAAGGCAGTGGCTGCAGTGTTTGCTTAACGCTGCTGTCCAGGCTGAAGGACCCAGCTGGTCCTCCTCGAAAAGCAAATATTTGCCTACATGTGAAAGATATCCTGGTCTCACAAAATTAGGCACACCTTTACTGAAGGTAAACTAGACAGTAGTTCATAAAATCTGTACTTCGTAGCTTCCTTGCCCTGGCATGATACTGCCACCACCATGTTTAACAGCAGGGATATTAGATTTCTAACAAATGTGTAATATTATAAAGATCCGTTTAGCTCCCATCTGGACAGAGCCATACCTCTCACGTGTTTTTGTCCATAAAGCATGTTTTTTTTTTTTTTTTGCAAAACGCAGGCAGGAAAGTTTTATGGCTTTGATTTAGTCCTGTCCTCACCCTGTTTGCTGTCCCTCATAAGGGGGCTTTTAAGGTGGCTATCTAATTTGAAAAGGAGAAAATTTGCACTTCACTCGTACGTAAGATTTGAATCCGTTTTAAAGCTGCTGTGCCTCCTTATACAGAATCACATACTTTGAGACCAGCGCTGCAAGCGGCCAGAATGTCAGCGAGGCTGTGGACGTCCTGCTGGATCTGATTATGAAGAGGATGGAGAGGTGTGTCGATAAGTCCTGGATCCCAGATGGGACCGTCCGTGCTAACGGACCTTCCAACCTGGACCTCTCTGAGGGCTCTGATAGAGGCAAATGTGCTTGTTAGAAAGAATATTTTGTTGCACACATTTTCATTTCTATAACAGGTGGGGGGAGAAAAGGAAGATGCCCAAGCAAAACACAGTGGGAGTTTTATTACATTTTGTATTGAGTAAAACTTTATCATCTTCTTCAACAATATATATATATATGCCACTTTACCCCACAATTCAGAGTATTACTTGTTTACTGTCACTGACTTGCTGAGCAGTTTACCAGCTAAGTTGGTGCTCTTTGTTCTGAATACATTCATATTATTGTGATTTTTGGGGTATTTATTTTCCTTATGGTTCCTAATGAACAGCTCCAGTTTCCACATTGAGTTAAAGATATTGATCCTCGATTCAAATAATAAAAGAACACTGAGTCTGTTTGTTACATGTGCTATTATGTTATCAGGAATGCTCAACTGCTGTGTAAACATTTTAATGAATGTACTTTAGGTCACCAATGTTGTGTTACTGATACTTTAAGTGCCTCAATGAATACTGCAATCTTACAGGATCCTGCCAGAGAAAATGTAGCTCTTCTTGGTGGACAGTAAACATGTTAATGTTTCTTTAGTCTGTACTCTGATTTGAGTGCAGTTTTTGCCAACAGCATAAAGAAAAATTATGTAAACATTTTAGATGAGATGTGGGGTATCTAAGGAAAAACAGAGTTCAAGGACTACTTTTTGCCATCATTAATTCTTATATAGACACTAGATTATAGGCCTTTTTTTATCTTGGCCACAAAAAAACACACAATTTGACAAATTACATCTAGAACTAAAATAAAATTTCTGATAAAATGTGCAAAATAAATGAATAAACAAACCGAAAAAAGACCTTTTTCAATTTGATCCGTTCTCTTATCTAGAAGATACAGGTTTAATAACCCCTCTACAAAAACAATGTAAACACTTGGATTTAAAAAGTAAATGTAGGCCAAACTTTAAAATGCATATGATATATTATTAAAACCAAGTGACTGGGTGGCACTATTTGTCTTTAGCTGTTTAGATGTGAAACTTCTACTGAAATTCATTATTGTTCTATATACTCTTCACAGAATGTATACTGTATACCAAGTGCCAAATTAATAAAATCTTATTTTTTTTTCTGTAATGGGAATAAGTTGATATTTTCCGAGTTGATGTAGCAGGTTGTTCCTATAGAACAGATAAGCTGAGCCTGTTCTGTTGGCACATTTTATGAATAAGCGAATCAGAATATTAGCTGGAAATGAATTCATCAGACCTGAAGACCTCCTGTTTGTTGAGCTATTGCTTTTCTATAAATCTTAAACACTGGAATGATAATTTTTATAGTTTTTCCACTCTTTACTTTTGTGTTACACTTTATTTTGTATGTTTAAAGGTAGACAGTTTTAGACTATATTGTATTCTTCCTCTGAATTTCTAAGCACAGATTTAAATATTGGACATTCTTCCTCTCTAAGTGGGTTTAATCATATTATTAGGATGTATCAGGCTGTCACATGTGCCTTTGCTCTTATTAAAATGTGTATATTAAGAATAAAACAGTTGTATTTATGTATCATCTCGAGTCAGTGTCTTTATTCAATACATTCCGGTTTTAAAAGAGCATTAGACAAAAGGAGGACATCAGGGCACTGATAATTTGACAGTATGGAAGAGAAAAGCACATCCTAGAGTTAAGGTACCCCTATGAGATGACTGCAATGTAATAAATGAGGCTGTTCGTAATAAAGGGGGAATAAGAGCTACCAAATAGCTATGTCAGGTAAGAGTTTAAACGGTTAAAAAATCCTATAACATTTGGTGAGCGGGAAAATTATGAATTTTGGTCGAAATAACGACAGAAGAAGCTGTAATCATACTAGCGTTGATATCTCGCCTGTATTTCCGATAAAGTCCTGCAGGGGGCCTCATGTCAGCTTTACGTCTCGAGCCGCTTTCCTTTTGATCACACGAAGAAGAATCCGACGAAGTGGTTGAGTTTTTCTTTAAAGGTATTTAACACGATTTTTACAAGTGTCACGGTGCAATTTTCGGAAGTCGTCGTGATTATTATGTATAAGAGGGTAAACTCAGCAATTGTTTGAAGTTACAAGCTGATATATCGGCTTGTCATTTTGAATGGTTGTTAGCCTAGCTAGCAAGACCGAGCTGAAGTTGGTTTCCTGTTTCTATGGACAGTTAAAGGAATAGTACACCCAAAACATGATTAGCCTTCATTTTCTACTCACCTCCATGCTGAACAACACTCTGGAGTACTTTTTTGATATCTCAAATGCATCTGGAGATCTGGGAGGCTTCTTGCTGTCTGCTGACATTCAAATAATGGAGGTCCATGGCGCCCGAGACAGAAAGGTCCATAAAAGTCCACAAAAACGTGTCAATATTCCTCCATACTGCTCGTCCAATGTAATCCAAGTGTCCTGAGTGGGTAGCATCCAGAATTTACTCGAAACGAAGTCATTTAGAATGTTTTTAGAGCATAAACAGTAGTGTATAGGATTTCCTAATAGCGCCCCCATGCGCGCTCACGATTCTACGGAAGCCGGCAGACCAAACCAGCGCATTCAGCTCGGCAAAGAACTCATGCTCTTCCTCAACACTGAAGTCCTCAGACATTTTTCTTTCGTTGTTTCTTTCTTTGCACAGGTAAACAGCACATTTCTTCTTCTACGCTTGCATTATCGGCAGACCAGACGCTGAATGCGCACTTTCTTCCGGTTTGGTCTGCCGGCTTCCGTAGAATCGTGAGCGCGCATGGGGGCGCTATTAGGAAATCCTATACACTACTGTTTATGCTCTAAAAACATTCTAAATGACTTCGTTTCGAGTAAATTCTGGATGCTACCCACTCAGGACACTTGGATTACATTGGACGAGCAGTATGGAGGAATATTGACACGTTTTTGTGGACTTTTATGGACCTTTCTGTCTCGGGCGCCATGGACCTCCATTATTTGAATGTCAGCAGACAGCAAGAAGCCTCCCAGATCTCCAGATGCATTTGAGATATCAAAAAAGTACTCCAGAGTGTTGTTCAGCATGGAGGTGAGTAGAAAATGAAGGCTAATCATGTTTTGGGTGTACTATTCCTTTAAGGGCAGTTCCCTGTATTTTAACTACCTACAGCATCTCTTATTATAGTTTTAGAACTAAAACAGTAAGACCTTGCTAACTAGGAAATAACCTAGACTAGAGTGGAATATTTTAAATCTCTGTTTAGCTTTTTGAAATCTTTATTTGTATTGTAAAATAATTATCATCTTTTTACAGCTCTGTTTACATCGGATAGGTCCAAACTCCCAATTATATCACTCTAAAATTATACGTGTTTTATCAGAGGAAAATAATATATATTCTCTCATATTCTAAATCGTTTTTTTCCTCTCTGAGCTTAACATCTGTAGTTGAGTTATTCTGCAGGTAATTGAGGTTAAATGTTGAATTATTGTCATCCTGAAAGTGAAACCCAGCTGATTATTTATAGTATGACGACTGTTAGTACTTTTTCTCTGTAAATATATATATATTTTTTTTTACATTGCTTCTCAGATAATGATGATACATTAACAATGTTCTTATGAGTTTGTGTTTATATATCAAATCAATTATTTTTAAAAGCAAAAACGTATCCATATGATACAGGTACAGTGAGGAAAATAAGTATTTGAACACCCTGTTTTTTGCAAGTTCTCTCTCTTAGAAATCATAGAGGGGTCTGAAATCTTCATCGTAGGTGCATGTCCACTGTGACAGACATAATCTAAGAAAGAAATACAAGAATCACAATGTATGATTTTTTTTTTTTTTACTATTTTATTGATACAGCTATAAAATAGTATTTGAACACCTGAGAAAATCTATGTTAATGTTTGGTACAGTAGTCCTTGTTTGCAATTACAGAGGTCAAATGTTTCTTGTAGTTTTTTCACCAGGTTTGCAGACACTGCAGGAGGGAGTTTGTCCCACTCCTCCACACAGGTCTTCTCTAGATCAGTCAGGTTTCTGGGCTGTTGCTGAGAAAAATGCAGGGGGTTTGAACTTCCTTCAAAGATTCTCTATTGGGTTTAGGTCTGGAGACTGGCTAGGCCACACCAGAACCTTGATATGCTCCTTCCAGAGTGACTCTTTGATTATCCTGGCTGTGTGCTTTGGGTCATTGCCATGTTGGAAGACCCAGCCTAGACCCATTATCAATGCTCTAAATGAGGTCATTCTCTCATTAAAGGAATAGTACACCCAAAACATGATTAGCCTTCATTTTCTACTCACCCCCATGCTGAACAATACTCTGGAGTACTTTTTTGATATCTCAAATGCATCTGGAGATCTGGGAGGCTTCTTGCTGTCTGCTGACATTCAAATAATGGAGGTCTATGGCGCCCGAGACAGAAAGGTCCATAAAAGTCCACAAAAAACGTGTCAATATTCCTCCATACTGCTCGTCCAATGTATTCCAAGTGTCCTGAGTGGGTAGCATCCAGAATTTACTCAAAACGAAGTCATTTAGAATGTTTTTAGAGCATAAACAGTAGTGTATAGGATTTCCTGAAAGCGCGCACGTGCGCGATCACGACGCTACGGAAGCCGGCAGACCAAACCAGCGCATTCAGCTCGGCAAAGAACTCATGCTCTTCCTCAACAATGAAGTCCTCAGACATTTTTCTTTTGTTGTTTCTTTCTTTGCACAGGTAAACAGCACATTTCTTCTTCTACGCTTGCATTATTGGCAAAGCAGACGCTTAATGCGCACTTTCATCTGGTTTGGTCTGCCGGCTTCCGTAGCGTCGTGATCGCGCATGTGCGCGCTTTCAGGAAATCCTATACACTACTGTTTATGCTCTAAAAACATTCTAAATGACTTCGTTTCGAGTAACTTCTGGATGCTACCCACTCAGGACACTTGGAATACATTGGACGAGCAGTATGGAGGAATATTGAAACGTTTTTTGTGGACTTTTATGGACCTTTCTGCCTCGGGCACCATAGACCTCCATTATTTGAATGTCAGCAGACAGCAAGAAGCCTCCCAGATCTCCAGATGCATTTGAGATATCAAAAAAGTACTCCAGAGTGTTGTTCAGCATGGGGGTGAGTAGAAAATGAAGGCTAATCATGTTTTGGGTGTACTATTCCTTTAATACAGTGCAGTCAAGTTTTGCTAATTAGACCCAAGCTGACACTTTCAATGACTATGAATTTCTGCTTTTGAATTCAGATAAAATAGCACTTATTGTCTTTAGACCAGAGTCTTTGACCAGAGTCGATCATCAAAACAAACTTTTGTTTCATTTTTGATCTTGAGTTTCCTTATAAAGGGGTATATTATACAGACAAGACCCAAAACCATTTGATCGTGATAAAATAAGGGTTTTTACAATAAGTGTCCATTCTGATTTGATAGCTTTAATAGAACTTAAGCACCATGTGTGATTAGCAAATATAAATAGAAGGGGCGCCATCTGCTGGAAAAGTTGTGGTTCTACCAGAAAGCCACACCATGACAATACGCAGCAGCATAATAAAGCCTGTCCTGCAGTGCCTTGTGGAAAAGCAACAGCTTGGCATGGTCGGAGACTAACTATCGTTAATTAAATAAACCTATCAAAAGCAATTCTAAGTTCTAGTGCACCCTCTCCACAGCCTCATTTGAGAACATCTAGGGAAACAAAAAAATCCAGTTTCTAATAAACGCAAACGGGAACACAGCATCAAGGTAAATATTTTTAATGACATGTTTTTAAATGTAATAGATTAAAACCTTTACAATAGAATGAACACAATTACACAAATAAAAATTCCTTCCTATTTAAGTGTATTGCTGATGAGAACCTGAATTGAATTAAATGACGTAAACCATTCTCCTTGTTTACCCACTGTGAACATGCATGGTATTCTAACCCCAGTCTAACCCCAGTGTTATAATATTCACAAAGGGCTTTATTTACTAACAAAATGAGCAAACACAAAGCATAAAACACAGAAGTACACCCCAAAATTGTATGCAACCAAAGTGCGTTCATGGAGTATAAATTTAAACAATGTCAAATATAATCTGACTGTGCTCCTTTAAATCCCATATTAAACAGGTTTCTACAATTTTCATCCTTCATCAAATTTAGAAAATATCTTGTCTGTGGGTAATGCTGAGAAACTAGTTCATGCTTTTGTTATTCAAGGCTGGAATATTGTACAAAACGTAATAAAAAGCCTTCCCCAGAGTTAATATGAAAACTTAGCAGTTTACTGTTAACTGCACTTTTCCAAGCTTGAATATTTGGACCTTATCTCCTTCCTCTGCATGGAATAGATCAGACAGAAACAGGCTGTATCTCCGGGAAGCAATTACTTTTTCTTATGAACCGCCCTCCTTAATTTCTCCTTAACACTTCCCCTCTGAAGGCAGCAGACGGTTTGCCAGAATCTCTTTGAGGTCGACTAGTACTCTATCATCATGGCCGTATCAAACTCTCCAAAGCCTGAGTTTTGCAATTGTCGGGTAGCAGCACTCTTGGATTCACAGTATGTTTGCTTCCTATGGAGTCTCAGAAGCCTACCAGGATCAATAGAACTCCTTCTTCAGCTTGACAGCATATCTTACTGCCTGTGTCTAACACAGAGTTTAGGGGTTGCCCCCATGATAAGCTCCACAGGCTTTACGGCCACAGCTACAGGCAGCTGCATGAACTACAGTGACAGAGAACATGGCCCATTCAGATTTGATGTCTGGCTTTCTCTTCTTCCACCGTTTCCAAATCGCCTGTCCAGACCTTCCTTAAGCCTTTGATTTCTGGGATCTCCCCAGAGGCTATGTTGTTGGAAACTGGTTGGCTCCAGACTCAGCACTTTTGAAAATGTGTAAACCATTTCCTAAAGCCATATCAGTCTCATGTGAATTAGAGAAAATCCTGCATAACTTCAGCCCCCAAATTCTTAATTTTAAGATTTAATTGATGGTTTATGATGTATAATTATATCAACACCAAAACCAAGAATTCAAATGTAATAAACCTTTAACCAAAGTGATATCATTGGACCCGAAAGAGCTGTCCTTTTATTAGATAATGCCTGGTTTTAGAGTCTTGCCTTAATGTGCTATCAAATTTGAAACCAAAGCTTCCTCTGGAAAGGTGCATTTATATCTAAATAGCTTGGAATTTTTTTTAGATAGAATAAAAAATGCGTTTTGATTTATTTATTTTTTTTCAGCAAAGTTTCATGTTCCAAATGATCACAGTGATACTTTGTTGGTTCATCTGTAGAAGTTCACACCTACCAAGGTAGATGTTATGAAAGATGACGTATATTTGCTCTTCTAGGATGCCTTTCCGTTTTTGCCCCCAGTGTGGGACGAAGCTACAGCCTGACTTTAGGTTTTGTCCATCGTGTGGAGAGAAGCTTCCCTGTTCTGCCGATGAAGCTGGGCTTATGAGTTCGCCTGCCTCTATAAAAGATGAAACAACAGCCACTAGCCCTGCTTCATCCCTGATCTGTGAGTCTTTTCTTTTTCTTTAGAAATAATTTTCTGTTCTCTTTGGATGTAAAGCATTTTAGAATTCTGAATGCTTTCATTTTGCAGCCAAGGACAGTAAGTCTCCAGTTTCACCTCGTCCTGCTATAAGAAAGACCCGGAACAGCCTGCAACTGGACAAAACTGTTAAATTTGACATCCAGGGTTCAGTTCAACAAACTTTACTTTCATCACCTCCTAAAAGTAAAGAGGATGAAGGTAAATATAATTTCTTAAGGCTATTAAATCACAAAGAAATCAAAGAGCTGTAGCATGGCAAGAAGACAGCTTTTGATCCTTAATCTAAGCGCCTTTGGTCTGTATCAACAGTTAAGACTGTTGGGAGTCAAACATTTGACTCCAAGAAGCAACCAGAGGTAAAAATAACTTCAGAGGTTTTGTCATCTCCAGCTGCAAAATCTCCTCGACCAGGTAAGCAGAGAAACAATCTGTCTAGTTAATTTGTTTTATTTTTATGCATAGAGTACCTTTCTAAAGCATTCTTACCCGCCTTTAACAATTCCACATTATTTTCTATTTCAAGCAAAATCATTAATGCATGTTTTTTAGATTGACCCTGACAAATAAAGTGTAGAAGATGGATGGATGTTACAGCTATAAGCTCACCAAAACATGGCTGTCAACCTAACTGACCAGTTGGACAAAGAGAGCTTTAGGTCGTTTTCACACCTGATAGTCTGGTAGACTGTGATTGATTGGGGGACAAAAACTACAACGTTGCTACTTTTTTCATGTGGTGCGGTTTGCATTTATAATGAGCTTTGTCAAACTGAAACAGACCTTTTGATCCATCCGTTTACCGTCTTGCGCTGCACCAAGAACCACCTTATAAAGATTGTTGGTCAACAACACAAAACTACTTCCTTGTCCGTGGAAAGGAAAACATCATGGAATGACAGCAGATTTCAGCAGCGTTATTGCTATGCTGTGTTTTGGCAAGTTTGCCAGATACAGTGAGGAAAATAAGTATTTGAGCACCCTACTATTTTGCAATTTCTCTCACTGAGAGGGGTCTGAAATTGTCAACGTAGATGCATGTCCACTGTGAGAAACATAATCTAAAAAGAAAAATCCAGAAATCACAATATGTTGTTTTTTTATCGTTTTTTTTAATCGTGTTAATACTGCATCCTTTACAGTTATTGGCGTCTACCAGAGTAGTTTTTCTTTTGCTCTGTCTGGCTGCACAAGATACTTTTTTTCAAATGGAGGGTTTTGGGGCTGCTGTGTACCTTCACTTGTCAGTGCATAATTTTAATCACAATTTTCAGATCAAGTGGCTCAAGTAGCTTGCGAAACTTCTTTTAAAAACAAATAAAAAACATATAAAACAAACTGCATTTTTCTGTTTTAATAACTTGTGAAGATGCAATATTTTTATGCTACGTTCACACCAAACGTGAATTTAGCAGCAAAAAGCATCTACTGTTTCTATGTGAAGCTTTTACACATTATTTATTTATTTATTGATTGATTATTGATCTCACGGTGGAGAAATTTGCTTATTACATCAGCCCAAATTGTCAAAAAGAGAAGAAGAATGTGTCCACCTATGACAGCCTTTTTTTAAATATTTTTTTTAAATAGAAGGATTATTATACAGTTATTGCACACAGTATTTACATGGGTATTTATATGAGTATTAAGGTAAGACGTGCCTCAAAAGCATCTTTGATGCTCCTGAAGTGCGTCCAGTAAAGTGTGAACAGATGCATCTGATGCTTCTGCTGCTCATGTGTTCAATGGCAGAGAGTGTCTTTGCTGTCTGTAAAAAGTAGTTTTAATATACTTTTAAGTTATAGTCCATCTCAAAACATTGTCTATGCAGTCAGTTCATCAAAATTACTGTCCTGCCTTAAAATATTAATTCGGTGTCGGAGCCGCACAGGGGGTTTCAACTACGGCTGAGAATAGATGGTTGCGTTTTTTAAGTATATGGTACAAAATGCAAGCACCAGAATAGAATTTGACATTTGAAGTTAATTTAGGCATTTATAAACTGATTCAGAAGAGTGATCATAGTGATCACTCTCCTGATGATCAGTGATCATCTGCCTGAGCAGTGCTGCACTGGAAAAACGATCTAAAAATAAGTAAAATTTTCTTAAATTAAGTTTATTTTCCCTTAATTTGAGTAGGTAAATGAGATAGTTTACCAATGGAATGAGTATTTTTACTCTTAAAATAAGATAATTAGATAAAATGCACTTGAAATAAGACAATGCAGTTGTGTTTTCCTATTTTAAGAGTAAATTGTCCTGTTCCATTGGCAAAATGTCACTTTTTGCTACTCAATCCAAGAACATTTTAAGATTATTTTAAGAAAAAATTACTTATCTAGATTTGGGTTTTTTCCAGTGTGTGTCCGTCTCCCTGCCAGCTCCCAGATCTCTTTCTCTAATTGGTTGATGAGGCGCGTCGAGCAGCAAAATTTTAATTTTTCCAGCGCCAGCATCTGCTGCTTGTTAAGCGCGTCACAAGCCTCAGATGCTCAGAAGCTCATGAGGCGCTGCTCAGATGCATCAAGATACACTGCTCCTGCTGCTGGAAATGCACTGCACGTTAAGCATAGACTTTGCATGTTAACAGGCTGCTTCTACTGCTTGACTATTGTCCGTTTTGAACGCAGGCCTACAGAGCCAGTATACTGTATAAGCCTGTAGACTATTTTCCCTAAATTTACTTTGGGTTGGAAGTTCCCGCTCTGTTCATCTAATGTGACTTCAAGTGTGTCCATGTTAAATGGGTGCAACCCGCTGATCTCTATTTTTTCAATAGAGATCAATGGTGCAACCTAGCATACAATAGAAACGTTATGTTCAAGTTGGATTTTGTGGATTCTCGGAAGCAACCAGCATCCAGTCTCTTAATATTTCTTATAAGAAAGAGTAAAGTAAAACGTAGCGATACTTTTATAAGACACTCTGCAGTACTGCATGTGGTTCATTTAAAGTAAAAATGTATTTAATCTGTCCAGTCAGGGGACAAGCCAAAGTTTCAAGTCCTGTTAAGAGGGAAGCAGAAGCATCTGATAAAACGACTGCAACGGCAGAAGCATCAAAGGTTGAGCGTGCAGCTCCTTCCAAGTCTCCTTTGAAGGGTGAGCTGCAGCAGTCACTGATCAGTTTTCATTCTATCATCAGTTAAATATGACCAGAAGTATAATTTTATCCTGCGTTATTTTTGTTTTATATGTTGTTTTCAAAGGATCATTTTAGATTGGGGCAAATTAAAAGGTGGTATACTGCAGGTTTATAAAAGGATTAACTAAATTATTAATTCTGAAATGATGAGATTGTAAAGAAAAGATTGATCAGATTAAAGATACAATAAATGATAAAAGCAAACAAATAATTTAAACAAAATTTAAAACACAGTTAAATAAAATAAGCAAAAAGTATGTCAAATTTCCATATCTAATTTAAAAAGTATATATTTATGTTCTCAGTTTTAACTATTTGTTTCTCTGACTTCTCCAATACTGCATTTTCTGTCTCTCTAACAGAAAAAAAGAAAAATCAGTGAAGCTTTGATGGAGCATCCATTTACAAATTTTTATTTGTTTCTCATTAGATGTTTTAACTTGATTAATAATGAGTCTGCTTTTGCTTGGTTTATATTTCCTTTTCCAAACTTACAAACAATTTTGTATAAACTATAAGACGTCCAGTTTCTTTGACTCATTAACATCTATGATGATTATTGTGTTTATATATTTATGTATGTCTATATGCTGCAATAGGAGGAGGGGGTAAATCGAAGAAGGCAAAGCATGCGTCATTATTAGTGCCGCTGCAGGAAGGGGAGGAGCTAACAGACAAGGCTGGCAAGAAGTGGAAACTGGTGAAGTTAATTGGTCAGAATGTGATGGAGCTCCTGTATGAAGGTGAGAGAAAGTAATGATAAAGAAAAAAAATCTACCATAAGTTGAAATGTCACGATTTTCTTTTATCCTGAGATTTAAATGTGGTTGCAGACAAATTAGTTTCATCCCCTTAGAAAGGGCTTTGAAAAATGGGAAAGAACATTTTCATTATGGTTACATTGCAACATTTAAAAAAATCCAACTTCATTTTATTTTATCTATGTGGCTTGTTAAGAAATATCTTTCTAACAAAATCAGTGTTTCCTTTAAACACATTGTGCAGTTTGGTTTATTAAATGTAGAGTAAAGGTGGTCATTATAATGACTTTGTCTTGTTAGTTAACTCTTCTAGGGAGACCTTTCTTTGGTTGTTGTGATGAACTTCAGCTGGTTTGAATTAAACAAAAAAAAAGAAAAATCTAAAACATTTAAAGAAGGTTGGCCCTTTTTATCACCATGATAATACTTCAAGTATTAATTGTTGTGTTTAACTATATTTTCCTGTTTTGCTTCTGATTTATTATCACAGCTCCTTTAGTTCTGAAGCACTTAGCACGTTTGTAGATTTTAAATAAAGCACCAGGACATTGATATTAATGATTAAGAATAATAAATGTCGGGGGTTTCTTTCAGTTACTCGACCCACATCAAAAGAAGCGGATCACATTCTCAAACTGGTCAGTGTAATCATGATTTATGACCCTCTTTTTCATAAACTTCTTAATAAGCACACATTAAGTGAGCTGTGCTATATCCTTATTTTTGGTCTACTCTATGTTTTTTATAGTGTTTATTTTACAGAGGAATTAAACACATTTTCTCAATTTCAGGGAACTAAAGATGGGCGAATCTTCACTGAGCAGAACTTCCTTCAAAGAGCGGCTAAGTCTACATCTGGTGAGGGTTCAGTATGAGTCGATAACAGATTCATTATGTTGCCCCTAATGTTTCTACCCATTTAAACAGGTTCATTCAGTATTTTACAGTTCAGCATCTGTTCAATCTTAATCTATGATCAGGCTAATAAAATGTTAGAGGGGACAGGCTCCATTTGTGATGATAAACTTACCTCTGAGGCTGGTTTGTTGTGTCTGTAGTTGAAAAGTGGATCAAGCAGAACAGGATGGATTTTCTGGGGATCCCCTCCTGCGTTGGGTTTGGTCTTCATGCAGACTTATACAGGTGTGGAATCAGGCTAAATATTCACCCTTTATGTCACAGAATTTCACACTGAATCTCAAGTTTTGTGATTTTATTGTAAATTTTAGGTTTCTGGTTTTCCCCAACATGGGATGCTCCCTGCAGTCTGTTCTAGAGGAAGAAAATGAGCCCCTCTCTGAGAGAGCTGTTCTTCAGCTCGCCTGTAGGATAGTGAGTACGGCCTTGGTGGATGAAGACAATCTGCATCCACTCAGTAAAATAATCTTGCTAAAATTTAATATGTCTGCTTGCTTTCAGCTGGATGTCCTGGAGTTTATCCACTCAAACGAGTATGTTCATGCGGACATTAACGCAGAGAACATCTACATCAAACCGGGAGAGAATTCACAGGTGAAAGAAGGCTGCTTAGTGGGAAACATGACCTTGTGTTGCCTTAGAGGGATGAAACCAAACATACATAATTTTTCAATTTATCATGTAATTTTAAAAGAGTCAGCGCCCCAAAGTCGAAACCATTTCTTGTTAAAATCAAGTGTGTTGGTGTTGGGCTTCTGTTATAATTCAGATGGTTTAAGATTATTTATTGGCAAATGTTTATTTTTTTTTCAACATTTAATGATGTATGCAGTTATATTATGAGAAGCCTATTTCCTCTTTATATCACAATAAGTATTTTTTATGTGTCTTCATGCTGAGCTGTTTGTGTGTCCTCCCTGCTGTTTGTGTCTGGTGGTAGGTGTACCTGGTAGGATACTGTCATGCTGTCAGATACTGTCCAGGAGGCCAACATGTGGAATACCGCGAAGGCAGCAGAACACCACATGAGGGCGCTGTCCCGTTCATCAGCCTGGATGCACACAATGGAGCAGGTGTGTCTGGTCCCCCCCAACCTTCCTTTATGGTTTAGAAAAATCTTTACATATATAGAGAAAAGATTGAACAATCAAATTATTACTGTTTTTGTAACTTCACATTAATTTGTAAAAGGTTGATTCTCTCTTTCTTGTGTCCTGTGCTTTTTTTGCCTTTTCTTGTGCCTCTCTATCTCCCTTTACTTTCATCTTTCCTTCCATCAGTCCCTCCGTCCTTCCTCACTTTATTTCCTTAATTTCTTCCTTCACTGCTTTCACGTTTGCTTCTTTCCTTTTTCTCCTTGCATCCAACTTTTTTTCGCCTTTGTCTCCTCTCTTCCTTCACCTTTTTGTCATTATTCCTTTTTTTTGTCTCTTAACTATTTCCTTTTCTGTCTTTAAATCTTGACTCCATCTGCTATCCTTACTTTCATCCTTCCTTTATATTTATCTTTCCTTCATTCCTGCTGTTTTTATTTGCTGATGCAGTTATTAACACCTCAATTGTATTTTACCATGACACCTTCCTTTTGTTAATCCGATTTCTTTTTTCTTTCTTGCGGTGTTTCCACCTGGTATTCCTTACCCCCCGGTCCTTCCTTCATTACTTTTCTGCATTATTCATGCCCTCTTCTTTTTTCATTTCTTAAACCCTTGCCCCCTCGCTTCCGTGCTTTCTTTCTTTATCCCTCCTTTATGTATTTTCTTCATCTTGCCGTCCCTCCTGACCTTACCTAAACATACGTTGCTCAGGTGAAAATGCCTCATGATCTGCATTTCAAAGATGCCAGCATTCAGTTTCCTGCCGGTCATTAGAAGGATGAATTCCTTTTTATATTGGTTTTATATTACTCCATGGTACTGCACCACCTCACAAGAAAAAAAGGGAGAAACATAAATACTGATCCAAAAATCATTGCTATAACCTTTACTTAGTGCCATATCTGAAAAAGTTAATCTGTATTAGAGGTAGGTTAATAAAGAGATGTAATACTGATCTCTCTTTATATATTCCTTGGCTGATTCTGAATCGGCCAAGCAATAGCTCCTGCCTTCTTTTCCTGACTTGAATAAACATTAGGAATGCTGATGGATATGAAAGGGACTCTAGTCAGCCTTCAGCCTCATGGATGTCATCACGAGATAGGAACAGAAAAAGTTACACCAATGCAACAAATGACAGAAACTCTCGATTATAGAATTCAAAACATGGAAGGGTGAACATTAGTATGTGTCACACAGAGTACACATGAGGCATCCTGCTTCCTTACCGAAAGTACTATTCAGACAGCACTTATATGGCGGCTCCTGTTGGGTTTCTCTTTTGGCTTAATTTTCCTTAGCAATTTCCACAACTTGGTTCCAGCTCTTATTGTATCTAACATTGTTTATCATATACAATTTCTTATCCTGTAGAAAGAACTCTTTAGCGCTACTCTCAAATAGGGGTGAAGAAAAAAATCGATTTGAGCACAAATCGCGTTTCTAACATTTAAAGATTCAGAATCGATTCTCATTTTCTTTTTTTTGTGGGTTCGGATGTGCCTTATCAGGCACCGTAGTGTTTGGCGAAACCAGTGAGCAGCGTGAGCTATGAACAGGCATGCAAGCGTCAGCCTAGCAGGCTACAGAGTGGCGTGTAGTGTTGTGTGAGCTATTGTGTTTGTTGCCGCTAAAGTATGAAGGACAAAGAAAAAGAAATTCAACCGCCTCCACGGTCTTTAAAAGCAACCATTTGGAAACACTTTGGATTTTACCTTCAACATTGTAAGAAAGGGCTTGAAATGACTCATGCGATTTGCAGATATTGCAACGGTAAATTTAAGTATTTCGGGAGTACTTCAAATCCTCGTTCTCATCTCGAAAGACATCACCCAGAGTTGTTGGTAGAATTTACCCTTCGGTGTTTACATTATTGCAATAAGTAAAAAAAAATTTAATCGTTTCTGAATCGAATCGTTTGGATTTAAAAGAATATGGAAAAAATAGAATTGTGACCCCAAGAATCGATTCTAAATCGAATTGTGGGAATCCCAAAGATTCACAGCCCTACTATCAAACTCTTTGTGCTTTCCACTTCATATCCTCTTTGTTCTTCTGACACAAATGTGAAAATAGTGTGAGGAAGAGCTGTATTATTTAATTGATGACTGAAACATAGTTTTATGATTTGATCATGTTACATAAAAAAAACATTAATAGCTATGTTTAACTCCTCCTGACCAGTAAGTGGCGCACTCACTGTCCCCTGACAAGTTTTATACTGTTTGCTTGCTTAAGTCTGCACCAACTTATAAAGCTCTATTATTGTTTATCCTCGCTTTGCCTTTATTTAAGCTGTATGGAGGATACGTTGGGTAATGCTACTGTTAAATGTTTTCTCCTGTACAATAATCATTGTAATAAGAAGCTGTTTGGTGCACTGGTGACATCTGTTGAATTTCTTTAGTGTTTTCGTTTTAGTTTATATAGTTAAACCCAGATAGAGGCTTTCTTTCTTTTTTTGGCCCACTGGAATATTAATACACCACGGCCAGATTTATTTTTCTTCCTCCTGCCTGGTGCCCACACTCCATCTGGCCATTTGGCAGACATAATCACATTGATGTTGTTTTCCTCTAGCTAATACAATATTCATGTTCTGCAGACTCTTTAATGCAACAACCAAACAAACAGGATGATCTCTGCACCTGTGGCATGCCGTGTTTTGTGTGTATATGAAGGTAAAATGTGAACCTTGTTTATTTTTTGTATTTTTTTTCAGCCCCGTCTCGTCGCAGTGACTTGCAGTCTCTGGGTTACTGCATGCTAATGTGGCACACAGGAACACTGCCATGGTCCAAACTGACCCAGCCGGAGCAAGTGGCTGCTCAGAAACGGTGGTAATGAGAGAAAATCCCCATCTCACCTTTATCCTAACTTCAGAGGACTAGAACTCTAAAGTTTGTGTTTTTCAGGTATATGGATGATGTGAAAGCCCTGCTGAGCCACTGCTTTGGGACAAAAACAGTTTCATGTGAGTTAGAACATGTTTTTCCATCACTTCCAGCTGTGGTGGCCTACTGCTTGGTAATATCCATTGTTATGTGTCTTGTATAGCTGCATTTCAGGCCTTCCTAACAGCAGTGATGGCTCTGCAGTACACAGAGCAACCCAGCTACTCAGAGCTCCAAGCTGGACTCAGTGCTGCCTTACAGCAGCTTGGGGGGTCAGTGGAGCAGCCTCTACATATGTCCATATGTAAGTAACTAAACCTGATGCTGGTTCTACCAAACTCTGTGATATCAGGCGTCTCTCTCTGCTGTTATATTCCCCCAAAACTAAGAGTTGAAGTGTTTGTTTGTGGGTTTTAATGTTATTCAGTTCAAGATGGCATCGATTGATTTTATGAAATAGACCAACATCAAGTAGTGCTTCACTGTGGAATGGAAGGATATGCTTTATTTTCACATACAAATATATGTCTTTTTTTATTTGTTTGACTCTGAAGTCCTAAAAATCTGTGCAAAAAAAGTGACCTAATTAGTGGACAGAGTCATCTGTGTGTGATTGAATGTGGATATTAAAGCAGCTGTTCTGGGAAAGCCTCAGTTAGAGAACATTAGTGAACAAAAACAAACAAAATTTAGGCCAATAAATTCAGTATTGATGTGTTTTAACAGGATATTCAGTCTTTGTCATCTTGCATTTTCAGTGTTGGGAATTCTATATTTGCAACTGACTTCCTGGAAATGTCTAGGGACGCTTAGTGGAGGGGTAGTGTTAGGAAGACGGGGGGCCCAAAAGAAGAAGATATCAATGTCTTGACCTTGTTCTAACCCTTTTTGACACTTGACACATTATATGTTTGTGTTTTAGCCTTTATTTAAAATAAAGTTTGTGAAAAACAAACAGAAAACACTGCATATCACCTTAGGGAAAAGCTTGGACTGCTTTGAATGTCAGCTAGTTGTTCAGATTAATTCATCCAGACTTTAAAAAAGTAAATTACCAGGCTGTCAGACAGATTTGTGTTATCTTCAGAATTTAAGTGGATGTTTTATCTTAGATTTGACCTAAAACTGCATTTTATCATTTAAATTTCTGTTTCCTTCTCTTCCCAGAAATCAAACCACAAGATGAGAATGGCGACGTTTTACTTGGTTTTAATGGCTAGAATTGACTTCTTTGTGCACTGATGTATTTGTGGTTCAACGTTTACTAATCCACTGTAGTTCTAAGTGTTGGAGGGTCAACATTTCATGCATAAAGGATTTCAGTGAGATTCCTAACAGAATGCACTGTTTTTTCATGGTTTTAAAGTCAGGGATATGTTCACATTGTGTTTCTAATGTAACATTATTCTAATGTTTGTAAGATTGATTAGGTTACTTATTTTAAATCTTTCTGAAGTTTAATAAAGGATAAGATTTTCTACTTTTCTTTCATTGTTTCAATATGCTGAAATTAAACAATAAGGGGAACTGGTTGGGGCAGAAAATGTAAATTTAGTTTAAAATATTGGCTTTTATCTTCCTGACCATACTTAAAGAACTTTGCTTCTGGTCTTTGTTTTGAGTTTGAAAAAATGTCTTGTAATCAAATTAACAGGAATTTTCTTGGGTAAAAATGCTTGAAGGGACGACAAAAAACCCCAACTACATTTCCTGTCTACCTGCTTTGAAAAGTAGAAATATAGGCAATTAGTTCATTAAAAAAAATCTTAATTTAACACTTCTAGAAAGAAAAAGAAAAAAACTCCTTTACAGAAGAAATGACCCACTATGTTCTGAATCTCATGTCTGGATGGGGTTTAATGGGGTTCCCACTTCAGTAAACTCATTGAGCAATTCCAAAGATGCTGGAGGTGTAAATAGAAAAGTGCAAAACTACCGTTCCAATTCAACAAAATATGCGGCAACTTATTTTTTCCTATAAAACTTTAGGGACCATCATCAGTATTTTCAAAAGAGCTGAAAGATTTGAGTGTGTCAAGCAGCTATCAGGACCCCTGCAGTTTGCTTATCGCCGTGGAGTTGGAGATGCCATCATACACCTGCCTTAACAAACCCACTGTCATTTAGACAATGGCAGACAGCTCTGTGAGGACCATGTTCTCTGATTTCTCCAGTACAATTAATACAATTCAACCTGACTTACTTTGTGAGAAACTTCACAAGACTCAGGTGGAGGCAGCAACAGTTGCCTGGTTCAAAGACTACCTGATAAACAACAGTTTGTTAAACTGAAGGGTTAGCTGTCTAATCAAGTAGTCAGCAGCACAGGAACACCACAGTGGAGAAAATTCTCACCATTCCTTTTTACTCTGTACACGTCTGACTTTCAGTACCAGACAGTCATGTCATCTGCAGAAATACACCAATGACTGCAGTCACTGGGTGCATCAGAAATGGACAAAAAGCTGAGCATAGAGAGCTGGTGAACCGCTTTGTGGCATGGTGTGAAATCAGTCATCTGTTCCTGAATCAACAAAACAAGGGAGATGATTGTAGATTTCAGAAGAAACAGAATCAAGTTGAAACCTATTACGGTATCATGGGGGAAGAAGTTAGAGAGGGTGATAGTTTCTTCCATCATCTGCTGGAGTAACAGTAATAGAGCTTATGGCTTAAAAAAAGATCAACAAGCCAATTAAGGAGGCCTGATCTGTTCTAGGAACTCCTCTAGAACCTCTGGAGATTATTTCACAAAGAATAATTCTGCATAAAGTGAAGAACATTATGGAAAACAACGAGCATCCTCTTTAGAAGATTTTTAAACAACAGACTGTCTTTAGTCAGAGGCTTCTCCAGATCTGGTGCAAGACAGACCACTACAGAAGATCCTTCCTGCCCACAGCTATAAACACCTAAAACACCAGTTAAAAAAATATTTATGAGCAACATTTAACTTCCCTTTGGGATTAATAAAGTATTTTTTTTTATTTAGTTTAATTTGAAAAAACCAAAATCAGTTTTATTGGTTAAAGCAGGTCTAAAACATTCAAATGTCATAATAAATCCAGTAGAAATATTTTCAACACAATAAATGACAACCTAAAGGGTGAGTTGGTTTTAAAGAAACTTTTATAAAGTTCGAACATTTCTGAACATAAACCTTTTGAACAGTTCAGGACATATACAATTCTTATTATGAAACAGTAAATATCTCTCATTGTGCACACTCCTTAAAGTGAATCAGAAAATAAACACTGCCATCAACCACTGGTGGCGTTTAAAACCTTTAAAACATCTCTTATGTCACTTGAGGCACTTTCTGATGAAACAGGTAAAAGCACAACAATAAAAGACCACAGAGCCCCCATGAGGCAGTCTTTTTTTATAGGAACACAGTGGCTTTCTTGGAGCAGAGCCTAGCTTACACACTTAAACCGATCAGTTAAGCTTCATTATTATACAGACATGCTGGCAGCATGAGACGGCTACACATGCAGGTTTAAATATAGTTGCAAACTGCAGATGGTTGTCATCTTTGCAAACGCACGACCCAGAATGAGTTCTTAACTCCTGAATGTTCGCTGATAAGAGAACGTGTTCATTCAGCGTCAGCGCTGAGAGGGATGTTGAAGGAAATGATTGTTTTCAGGGAGGATTTCTGGTCTGCAGATAAACATCACATGTTTGTAGCCTGTCCTCTGGTAATGAAAGAGCATCAGGCTGATTATATCCACTGGTGCTGTCTGAATACCTTTAAATGCTTCTGTGTAGATTGATAAACAAAAACTTAAAATCATTTCAAAATAATTTCTTATATAAAATTCATGAACAAGCGCAAAAAAAATTAAAACAGAAGGCCGCTTTGATCTGTTCCTGAAATGTTTTTGGGACGCTGAATCCATCACATGATGGGAGAAGTATAGGAAACATGTAAACTGCTGTTCAGTGCCACTTTAACACAGACAGCAGGATGCAGTGAGTGCAGGAGCTCACAGGTTCAGTTTTCCTGGTAAACAAGGCAACAAACAAGCGCAAACTCCACCATGACAGGCAGAGGTTGTTTGTCTGATTGTTGAGTGGAACATCCTCAAGGCCTCCATTTCTGCAGAGCGAGAGGGAGCGCGATGGCACTGGTATGTCAGGACGGAACAAATGGATTGACTGCGGCTCCACACAGTCAAAAAAAAGCGACAAAAAAAAAAAACAGCAGTGGCTGACTAGCTGGGCGTGGAAGGACTCCCGTGCTGATCATGAGAGCTTTCCTCCTCTGAAAGATAAAACAGATTAATAAGCTCTTACAGCTAGTACCAGCTTCCTCCTCTGTTTACTAACAGCCTTCTTCTCTCACCATGAGGTCCATCTCCATTTTCGCCGTCTTGCTTATGTTTTTCCTCCAGAATTTCCACTGGGCCAAAATCTTGCACGTCTGAAACACTCGACTCCTTGAAAAATGAAGAAAAAATATTTACTTGAAAGCAGTCAGAGCAACATGAGGGCGACCCTGAGGGCTCTGTTTACCTGTGATTCTGAGAAACGGTCTTCATCGGAGTTCCTAAATCCTTCTGGAGCCTCCATAAGGAACTCCAGGCCGTCTGCTTCCTCCTCATCACTGTAATGACCAAAAAAAATTATGCAACTAAAGCAGACTGTGCAGTCAGAAAGAAATTACCTCCTTACAGATTTGTTTGTATTTTGCTTTTTCTGGGATCAAATTAAACTGAAAATCAAACAAAATGTATTTTTCAAACTATCATAACATTTATAACTGACAACTGAGGTCTGTACCACTAAGTGGGACTGCTGGTTTAGTGAGACAACTTCAGATTTAACCCCGTCTTTCCTGTACCTCAAAGCTGCGATCACTCTTAGCTAGGCTTGTCACCATGGTAACGCGCCTGTCAATGGCAAAGCTGCTCCGGGGCAGGCTAGCTTTCAGGATTGATCTGAATCCTAGAAAATGCTCCCCCTCCAGCCAATCAGCTCTTATGGAGACAATTACGTTCCCTTTCACTGAAGACTCAATTTAATTCAGAGGGAAAAAGAACTTAAATAAAACAACATCGAAATAAAGGAACTTAAAATCCAAAAAGCTAAAAAAAAAAAGTTAAAACTAATATGTCATTAACAAATTAAATTGTTTTTAATTTATTTATTTTTCCTCCTTTTTGACATACCAACCATTTACTATTCTGTATATGTTTCTGTATAATGTCCTCATAAAGCCCTGGCATTCACTTTTTTTTTGTATAATTGATATATGAAGCTAATAAAATCAGATTGCAAATTGTAAGAAGATCCTTTGGATCACTATTACAGTATGACTGATACAGGTTTTCAGGGGCCGGACTGGCATATATGCCAGATCCTAGAAGAGTGTGTTGGCTCTGTGACCCACAGAAGTTCGGCCCACACTGTACCATAGACTGTATGTATGGTCATGCCATTTTACGCAAAAGTCACAAAGTCATCTTCACTTCCAGGGGACACCTGGTTAATATGCAGTACATCGATTGGGATGCAGTGTGTGTTAAATGACACTGATGTGTAGCTTGCTCATTTACGCAGACAGCAGTCCTTTGCTACACTATTTGGCGTCCCTTTCGTGCAGCCACCATGTTTCTTTTTTATTGAGATTGTTTTTTTCTCTTCAAATTTCTCGGAGCTTTTTGTTCCTCACAGGAGAAATATGGCACTCTTCCTTCTGCGCTCTTGATTCAGATTGATCTGCTTTATACATGGGCGTTCATAGATTCAAGATCCGCCCAGGCTGGACTGAGTTAGCGAGTTGAAGACCAGAATCGTGGTTCGGCTGATCCTGATTACCATAGTGGGGAATTGATTGAAATAGTTTGAGCTCGCTTCGTGGTACTGGCCTCTGGAGCTCTGTGAAATGTTGAATCATGAATGTGAAAGAATAAGATAAACCACTTCCTCCTGCTGATACTAACCTTCCCTCAGAGCACACATTCTCCTCATCATGTTTTTCTTCTAATATTTTCTCCTCCTGGGTTTTATTTTGGTCCTCTTCACATCTTCCCTCTAGCTCTTCTTTCTCCTGCTGTTGCTGCTCCTCCTCTTCTTCCACATCTGAAAAGTTAAGAAAGTCAAAGCTTTCGAGGGCGGTCTCAACTTCCTGATTGAAACTGGCAGAAGTAGGAAAAGGCGCCTGAGGACAAATAAAGCAGAGGGTTAAAAAGTTGCAGTTAAACACAGTTTTTATAGAAAAGAGCTGCTGTGTTTAGTTTTCAGCCCACCGCTGGAGTGTCCTCTGTTTGTTTGCTTTCTTGGACTGGTAGATGTGCCTGACTTTGAGTCTCCTGGAAAGTCTCTGCAGTGATTTCCTCAATTTCAGCCTCCCTCCCAGCTGAGGACTCCTCACATTGCTCAGTCTGCACATCTGCAGCCAAAGTGTCCACCCTTTCCAGAAGCTCAGCTGAGGTCTCAGAGATGATGTCCTCTGACTGAACAGAAGCTCTGTCAGCAGCACCACAGTCTGAACAGGGGGCCTGCAGATGGCCGTTAGGCACTGCTTCCTGCTGAGGGAAAATATCTACGCCTTCCGTCTCATCCTCCTCCTGGTTGGATGAGAGCGACGGCGTGGACACGCTGGACTTGTGTGGTGCGAGCGACAGCTGAGTGGTGGGAGTAGTTTGCAGCAGGTTGGAGGCCATCAGCCTCTGAGTGTGATGAGCCAGTGCCGGACTGGAGGAGTCGTCTGATGATTCAGAGGAGTTGGACCAAACGGTACCGTTCTCCATCTCCCCCTGACGCTTCAGCAGGGACTAGTGGTGGGGTAAAAAGGATCCCAGTCACATCAACATGTACTGTAGGTTAACAAAACAACTGAATTTAACTCATTACAGTCAAATAATGACAGAAAATGAAACAAAGGATTAAACTGATGGATGAAAATGTCAGAGGCAACTGGATTATAGATCTATAAAACTAAAATCACATTTTAAAGCCCAGATTTATAATATATATAATGTATAATTAACTTCTTCCTGAGAGACTGAGGGATTGAAAACAAAATATAAAATCATTACGTTTAACTAAGGTCTTTTGCACAGTAGAAATATCCACTGTTTAAGTAGCTCAGAAGAAAGACAGATTGAAACAGTCCTCTGAAGACTAGAAACCTATTCCCATGTGTCATAAGTGCATTCATGTGTTTATTATAAGAAGAGCCATATGTTTCAAGTAAAAACAGAAAATCTGGATCTGGTTTGCAGAGTGAAGCACTTGAAGTCTTTAGTAGAGACCAAAACTCAGAGAGGAATGCTCTGACTTTGCTGATTATGTGAGGGATGCTGGATGTTTGGAACTAATTTCTACTTAACTCTTCAACATGAATTGAGGGACGGATGTTATAAACTAGCTGCCGAATGAGTTCCTTTAATAAAGTTCAGAAGGGATTGTTTTTAAGAACATCCATGACATAATCATTTACGTAGCTTCCTTTTTTGCTGTTTTGATAATATTGGCAATAATCAATCGACTACAGATAGCTTTTTATTTCCTGAATGTGTAACTACACTTCAACCAGTGTGATATTTTTATAGTCGCAGAGAAAAAGAAAAATAATAGCTTCACACAGATTTGAAAATAACTTTAATGTAATTGGATTTAAAAACAAAAAAGCATCAAGTATTCCTACCATGTTGATTAATAGCCTTACAAAATAAATATAATATTTATTTAGTGTTATAACTGTGATAAATAATGTTTGCCTTGCCTTAGTATGTTTTATTGGGAATGCAAAGCAGTGCATTAAGGTAAAGTCATGGGAAACAAACTTTTCCAATTTGTTTCTAAATATATTCTGAAAAGTGTGGCATGCATCTGCATACATCCCCTTTCCATCTGATGTCACTGTACAAAAATCTAACGCAACCAATTGCCTTCGGATAACCAAATATATTTGACAGAGTTTTACTTTGGAGACTTCAGAGGCTTATTAGATAACATTGGAGACTAAACAGAACCATGGAAACAGAGTTAGATCCTAAAACACAGCTACAGCTTTGAACACCTCATGCAGAACTGTTTAATCAAGGTTTAGAAAAAATAAAGTTTGGCTTATCTGTAGCCATACCAAGACATGCCCTCTGCCTGGCAGGCTGGACAAAACAGGAATTATTTGGAAAAGATTCCAATACTAAAGAAGTTGGAAAGGTCCCTTGCTTCAATTTGAGCATCTGTTGCAGGGTTCCTACAGCATAAGGCAAGTTAAATTCAAGACTTTTTAAGACTTTTTAATGCCACTTGAAATAAAAATTTAAGACCAAATTCACAAAAAACACAAGAAAAACCCGTTTGCAACAGCTTAACCCAAAGGTTTATTTTAAGATAAACCACTGCACTAATGTTTCAAATTTTGAAAAACTTCCCATACAGGAAGAAAGCTAAAAACACACAAATGATATACTGGTATATTTTAACAATTATATAACGGAATTCACAAACTTTGTTTTAGCAGGGAACAAAACAAATCAGTTTTAAAGCCACAACATAACAAGTGCTAAGTCTTTTTTGCAGTTATTTTTATTTGTATCGTTTTCTTAGTATGTTTGATTTGGTGAGTGGAGGCGTTGCAGAGACAAGGGTGGAACAAAACTGAGAAATACCGGCTGTTTCTCTGTAACTCGATTTTGATGCTTTGTGTTTCGCGCTTCGCATGTGAGACTCCACTGCCTTAATTCCCATCGTTCTGAGCTTGAATTACTTCTTGCACAAAATACACTGTGCTTCATGTATGTTCCCTGGTACTGGTTTTAGCCATGGAGAAAACCCTTGGCTGGATAGCCAATTTTCATTACATTTACAATTGCTCATATTTTCCAGACAAAAAGTTAATGGCGCATCTCACAAATGTCCCGGCCCCAACAACGTTTTTATTGGTTCCGCTATCGGGACGGAACCAATAATGGCGAGCTGTTATTTTTTTTAAATAAAAAAAGAATTGTCAATTTTAATGTTTTATTTAGATTACAAAAATAAATCATAATAAAAATGATCCTATTTATGATGTTTTAAAAATTAAGACCAACGAAAGACTGATTTAAGACATTTTAATACCAATTAAGGCCTTAGTTTTATTTTGAAGAATTCAATGCCTTTTAAGACTTTTTAAGGACCCACGGGAACCCTGTGTTGCCATGACTACTATTAATGATTCACACCAAAAATCAGGTCTTAATAGTGGCAGGAAGTAAGAAGGTGCTGAAAAGGTACCACCAGAAATCTAGCTAAATATGTACGAAAAAGGCGCTCAGGTCAAGTGAGACAACAAGTAAACCCTAAACATCAAGTCCCCAAAGAGAAAAAAGGTGGTTTCAGTATCATCTTGTGTGGACGCTGTTCCTCAACAGGGGCATAGAAGCTGGTTATGGTTGATGGAAAGATAATGGATTAAATTTCATTAAGTGGATTAAATTTCAAGAAAATCCTGAAAGGAAATCTGCTGGAGCCTGAAAAATAGGCCATGGTTTGGATCAAAGCACAACCATGTGTTAGAACAGCCAGAGTCCAGACAAGAATAAAGAATTTATGGCAAGAAATAAAAGATCTATTACCATGAATGCCCTCCATCTAATGCCAATGAAGCAGAGCTATTTTGTGGAAGATTGGAGAAGTACTGACTCAGGGTTCTGAATATTGAATCAAATCTAGATGTTTTACCAATATGATGACCAACAGATACTCACAGGTTCATTTGTCCATGTAGCAGCCATGCCTTGAAATCAACCACATCATATAATATCCATTGCTAATGTTTACCTTGATTCATTAATAAATGTTTCTTTTTTGTCTAAATTGAGACATGTGTAACATTGGTTATCGCGTATAATTTTTATCATGTAAATTGAGGACACACAAAAGTAATATTGGCAGCACATGTCAGGGATCTGGTTAGACTGATGTCAAAATAATCAGTATCAGCCTTAAAAACCCAAATTGGTCAACCTTTTATCATCATCAGAACTGTATTGAATATATTTTCAAAATAATGCATCATTTTCCTACCATGACAGACTTTGTGTCAGTTTATTAAATACAATAAAATACACAAATTTGCTCTTGTAATGAGAAGTTATGAAACAAATTGAGGAAAGTGAAGCTATTTACGTTTTTTTTCCCCGCCATTGTTTTGATATTAGCTTGTTAATTTGTTAAGCTATCTGCACAAGTAGCCATTTTACCGCTATTGCTTCCAAGTTGTACTTTTAAACAGATTTAGTTTATTAAGAGTGATGGTGTCTCTCTTTTGTTCATTTCATGATTCTAAATATTTCTAAAAAAAAATAAATAAATAAATACAGCAGATTTTAAACTTGTCATGATTGAACCCTTTCCATTGAATGGAAAAATGACATGAATACTCCACTTAGATTAAAGACTATGGACTAAGCTACAGCTACGGCCAAACGCACCAACTGTGATGAAACGATGTGGGACTCTGCTCGCCTGAAATCCCATCGCAGGGACGCGTCAACACCTGGAAAAGCCTCCACCAATGAGCGACTGTGGTACAGCCCACAATGAGACACGCTCTCCGTTGGGGTGAGGAAGAGGAGGGACACTTTGGAGTACTACTAAACCACTATCAAACAGGTACAAGTGCCACAGTTACGCTCAAACAAACTGTCGCCACCACACAAAGCCCTACTGCCGACATTCGCTCTCCCACATCCACATGATCGGCCACACAAACCTCTGGGAAAATCCTCACACAGTTCAGAGCTACAGCTACACACAAAACAACCAGGGAGCAGCTGAAAGAAAGGAAGCCAGTGAAATGACAGTAATTAACAGCCAATTGGTGCGATAGATCATATAAACTCAGACAGTCTGCTGTGTAAGAGCAATCATACCCCTGGAATGTATTTTACTGGCAATTTATGCATCAGACCTATGCAAAGCAGAGCATGCTTTCAAATTTAAAGAAAAACTCAACATTATTTTCACAGCTGTAAGTCTTCTGGGGTTTGTCTCTAACAAGTTTCCAACCTGTAGCATGTAGAGCGTCTGGACAGATATGCTCAGAATTCCCCAACGGTTCTCTACTGAGTTGCGGTCTGCACATAATCCATAGCTCAGTCCACCTTCCCATGTCCCTCTATCTATGCTCCCCTTAGCATGATGCTGCCATTTCATGTTTCGTTATGGGCATGATGTGTTCAAGGAAAGGTATAGAGTTAAGTTTTCATCCACACGTGTCGTTTTGAATGTTGGCTAAAAACATTTTGGGTAAATCCGACCACAAAAATAGCATTCTCAACACGTATGTTCAACTAATTTATTTTTTTCTTCTTTTTACCAATATCACAATGCACTTTGTAGAGTGCATTACTAATAGTGCCATTTACACAGACTCCAACCCAAACCAGAAGCTCCTCTAGAGTTAATATGAACCTCTTAAGTTCGTCTCTGATAAATGCTCCCTTTAAACAGTTTAGGTGGACACCTATGTCTAGTAGTGTTTTAGCTTTACTATTCTCTCTCTTCATGTTTAGATAAATGATTAAAGAAAACTTTAAGATGTCAAAAAACGTAAAAAACATAAAGAAATTATAGAGATGTACCGATTCAATACCTGGATCAGATACCAGCTACGATATCGACTAATTATTTGGATCAGATATCGGAGATCCAATCCAGTGCACTTTATACCGAACTATTATTGCTTTCTTTTCACTATTTTTTTTATGGTTTATATTATTAATTCATGCTACAGTTGAATTGGATCGGTATCGGCCGATACGCTCAGTCCAGGTATCGGCATTGGATTGGAAAAAACTGGATTGGTGCATTTCTAAAAGAATATTTAAAATCAATGGCTAATATTTCCTTACAGTTATGTGCCCTATACATCCCAATAAAAAACATTAAAGTGGATGGTTGTAAAGTAGAATGCATCTTAAAAGTCCAAATTGTGCAGGTACTATTCTACCACTGTAAATAAAGACAAATTTTAATGGGACTCACATAAAACACCTGCTCACGCATAGACGGAGTGTCAGGAGGGCTTTGATTGGACAGAAGTCGTTTGGAAACAGTGTTGGACGAGGACGTCTGGTCATCCCTATCAAACGGACTGAAAAACAAAGAACAAGGTAGAGTCAGACTTAAAAATTAAAGTAGCAGTAACATTGGCAGGTGTGCTAAAGGTGTGTGTATGACCTCCAGGTGACCTCCAGGTTCAGCTTCACCGTCCCCAGGTCGTTGATGTCCACAGCGAGTGTCTGTGGCAGTGGGCAGAAAAGATCTAGCATCTCACAGGACACACTGCCCACCACCACATGATTGGCCAGGCTCTTCAGCTCTGTCACCTTGACAACAGAGGAGAGCAAACATGTGAGACACAGCCGCTCAGAAACCATTCAACATGAGAGATAACCATCTAAAGCGGCTAACCACAAACAAAACATGAGCCGCACATTTTCTTGTATTATCTGACTGTTGTAGATTATCTCCTATAATTTATCCTAGGAGGACGTCTGCAGTACAACAACAAAAACATTTAATCACTTTAATCATTAGGTTTCCTTTATCCTTTAACATGACTGAAAATTTAAAAAGAGGGATCATATTTCTTCTATTCTAGCTTCCCTTTATGGGTTTAGTATATGGTCTTAGTACTGCTCCCCAAGGGGATGGGTTAAATGCAGAGGGAGATCCTCTAACGTGAGATCAATAAAGTTTAATCATTATTATTATTATGAATTTAAAATCCTCCTTCTCAGTTATAAAGCCCTAAATAACCAAGCTGCATCTCATATCACAGATAGGACTGTTCCTAATGTTCTTAACAGAAATTCACTCTCAATGTGCTTCTAAAAGTAAAATAGCAAATATTTTAGTTATCAGGTTCCTCTCCCATGATAGATAATAACTACCAAATTTAGTCTGTCAACGACACCCAGTCTACTATTTAGTGTTGTGTTACAATGTTCTATTTTAAAAACCTTATAGTTCTATTGGCTCAGGTTATCCTTAGATATCTTTATATGTATGCTTCTATAGGCTTAGGCTGCAGGAGGACATAGGGACCACTTTTCATCAATCTGCAGTATTTGTTATTTCAACCCCTAAGTTTAGGTTCTCTCTGCTTTTTCTAATCATAAAAGATTTATCTGGCATCTCCTGTTTGGTACTGAGACCATCCTAGAGCAAAATATCACCTGGCCCAATGCCATTAACCCCTTTAGATATAGATGACAGAGTTGGGCTTGTTTCAGTGTTAAGTCTGGTTTCTCTCATAGACATACAGTAGTTATTGGCTCATAACTTAATGTGCTCTCTTTAAAAACAAAAAAGTATAGAGTATTCCTACCACGTTGATTAATAGCCTTAGAAAATCCCTTTGACATGAAAATTGGCTCAGAGCTCATCTGCTTCTTTTCTAGACGGAGCAACCTGTGGAGCTGGTTTACCTTTAACTTTTCTAACATAGAAATTAGTTATTGGTCAGTGCTTTTTATGATCCTTTTAAACAGCTGCTTCTGACTCCTTGAACTCCTTGTCTGTCTCAGCAGAAAGCTTCTCATGCTGGGCCTGGCTCTGCTGAAGGTTTCTTCCTGTTAAAGGAAGTTTTCCCCTCCACTGTCTCTGCATGGATGCTTGGTATGAGGTATTGCTGTAGAGTCGACAACAAAATGGGTATGAAGAACTACTGTGGCCACATTCATCCAGGAGTAGCGTGTCCTGCAAGTCAATGACTTGAAGCAATCAGCTGGTTTTCATTAGACAGAAACTTTAAACCAATACGACTGTATGATCTAATTGAACTGTTCCTGTAAAGTGCCCTGAATGACATGTGTTATGTGTTATGAATTGGTGCTATATAAATAACCTGAGGTAAAACTGAATTGATTTATGTGGAAAAAATTTGATTTACATAGAATTAGTTATATGGTCAAATATTGACCTCATAACATGTCCCGGCCTCACTCCAGTGACTTCCTCTTGTTACTGGACCAGATAACAGTTTCTATTTGTTGGCTTTGAAGGTCCTGTAAAAAGGACCCTTTGGAGCATCACAATCCATTAAAAACTGTTGATATGTCAGATGTTTTAAAATGTTTCCTCAGCCCTTTGAAGCAGCTACTTCCCAGATGAAACAGTTGGTGATTACAGTAACAAAGACTCAGAAAGTATGAGAAATAATGAAAAGCCAATTTTGGTTTAACTGATACCAGTAAACTAATCAAAACAATCACAAATAAACCTAAGAAAAGTGATGATCACAATCCCTTGAAATAATGTAAAAAAATGTAAAAAAAAAAAATAAATAAATAATAATAATGAACCAGATCCATGTTTATTTGCAATGTTTAACATTGCTGTTCTTCAGTGTTAGTAAAAAAAAAAAAAAAAATCATATGTTTGTCTGACTTATTTGATCTTTCTCAATCAACAAAACTCTAACACCTCTTTCAAACTGTGCGTATTAGTGGAATAAAAATGTAGTGTTTATTTTTGTGTGTATTCATGCTCAAGTGTCAGCGTACATGTGGTCAGACAGGCGTTTCAATTGCTGAAAATTTTTGAAATCTGCATTTTCTGTTAAGCCTAAAATTGTTTAAACCTTTGCAAATTAAAGCTTTGAAATCAGTTCTAAAGGAATCATACCCTGGTATTTTACTTTATAAGCATTCTGAAAATGTCTTTCAATTGATATTTAATCATTTTATGGGGGAAAAAAATTAAATGGAGCTTGCTTGGACTGCTTTTTATTCCCCCCTTTCTTTTCTCGCAAGGGTGCACAAAATAATGTGAGTTTATGTGGATGCAGCGTTATCTATATTAGCAGTTTCCATGGTTTGTTTACCATTGCATCCAGTTCTAAACAAAGAGCAACATGGAGTCTCTGGTTGTTCCTTTTTGATACACAGAAACAGGAGTGGGGATGGCAAGATGGGCTACTGTTAGCATCCTTCCATTATTGATGTCAACACAGGAGGAGAGGGCATTCATGTGAGCTTTTCTGGTTTGAACAATCAACCCAAACAAAAAAAAAAGTAAATAAAATAATAATCCCCTCTCCCACTTCAGACACAGGCTTCAACAGATTTCAGTGTTATGGCTCCTTTAATGAACACAGAAATTTGTCAGAAAGTAAAAGGAAACAAGCATCTCTCAGAAGATAATAAAATCACTGAAAAGGGTGCATTCATTTGTTCAAAAAAGTATTTTTTTTGTACATTATAATTTTAAATAATGGGATGTAAAATCTAATTTATAGGCTTCTCAATAATCAGTGGAAATATGCTTATTGGAATAAGAGATATCAAACCCTTTTTGTAAGTGCATAACAGAATTTCTTATATTTCCACTGTTATTTTAAGGATTAATCATACTTTGTTTATTTGTTACCATCGCTACTAATCTTTAGTTTCCCTTCACAGATTATCGAAGGGACTCAAGCCTCAACTCTGACTCCATTACTTCAAATAGTCAGAAAAAGCTTGCAGGTTAAATGGTATGGCTATAATTTACAGATAATTAACATCTAAATTAGATGTCTCTGAAAATTATCAAAGAAAATAAAATAAGATTAAAAAATTAGGTTATTTTTAACAGATATATTTGGTGTCTTTAACGGTTTATTTCTTTGCAACAAATGCTTGTGGCTGGGGCTCCTTTACATGAACTACTGCATCAGTGGAGGCGATCAGCCTGTGGTTCTACTGAGGTCCAGGAGAAGCCCAGGTTGCATTTAAAACATCCTGTCTATATGATAAATAAGTTTCACTTTTTCAAATAAGTGACAATAGACATCTACGATTTTTACAGTATTAAATTGTGTTAAGCCGGGCATACGATTTTTTCAATTGTTGCACGCAGCTACAGAGAGCTGTAGCTGCAGTGTGAGTTCATAGCTCACGATGTATGTGCAGCTGAAGCGATCTATCTGCTCGCACTGTACGTCTAAAAACCACATCGGGCTGAGCTCCGCAGTGAGATGAAGCTGCTCTGACTCGTTCAAGAGGAATATGAATCTCACTAGGGTGCCTTGGCAATTTGTGCAATTTTGTGCTGAAAGCTCTAAAATGAAAAGGTGGCGACATATTTGGACTTAGACATGGCTGAGAAAACATGGCTACTACCCGCCATGCTGCTGTGTTTACATCTGAGAGGAAGAAGAAAAAGAAAAATCCCATTTTGGGCATGCCCCCTGAGCATGTTTGATCATCTCTCGACCTCACGATTCCTGATCGGGAGGTGGTCGTGAGAGGCTCATCGCATCTTGTTACCCCCTGTACACTACACGACTCACAATCAGGCTGAAAGTCGGCCTGATCGAAAATTTCTCGCACGACTGGAAAACCTCCCTGAAATATTTTTTTATTTGTATAAAGTTAAACTCAAGAGAACAAAGGTAAATCGTAATAATTTGTTTGGATTTTTGTACTTTTGAAATAAAAACAAAAGCTTTCCATTTAAAATTGCCACCTGGCCCCTATATGTTTCATTTACACTTTGGGGGGATCTTTGAAGTGTTTTTTTATTTAAACTGCCTTTACTAGCATATATCCAGCCCTTGCTGTAAAACAAACCCTGCTGCTAGATTTACTGTTGTGTTAATGTTCTTCTGCTTGGATCATGTGGTTTGAAGGAAACACTGACTTTACTACATCGTCAAAATCCTGTAAACTAATCATTTGTTTGATTACCTTGATGGACAGAAGTTCTGTGACAAGAGGCTGAAAAGTGAAGTCCTCACTGTCCCATATCTGCTTGTTGCTGACCTCCACACGGCCGCGTAGCCTCCAGCGCTGCCGCCCATACCTCATCAGCACCTATCAGGGCCAAACATAAATAAGCAGATAATGCCGCCGCAAGCAAAGGGAAACAAAGGGTGGGGATTTGACCAGGACTGCTCATGACTGTGTGTCTTACCTCATACTGGTCACCAGCACACAGTCGTGCAAACCCAGCAAGGCCTGAGACATCAGAGATCAACCAAGAAATGAGAAGTGGACTGATAGACGGAAGTATCTGAGTAAGTGTGAAGAGTGACTCACCCTTCATCTTGACATGAAATTCTCCCATCTGGCTTTCTATTTCATTCTCAAGGGAGCACATGTGCTACACAGACAAGAGGATACAGGCTCAGTCTATCTCGCATATAAACAATTAGCTGCTTCAGTAACTCATCAATAATTAATCAGTTCTTAGAGTTAAGCAGTATTAAACACTTTCAACACTTGCTACTGACAAAATGACAGACATTCAGAAGACCTGAGTTTAGCTACTTGCCTCTGTATACTCTTTATAGCCCTTATTGGCTTCACTTAGGCTTTCTCGGGCCTCTTTGCTGCCTGTGGCAGAGTTAAAGGCTGCCACCATCTTACTCGCTCCATCTCGTAGTCGCCGCTGTATACAGTAGGCCTCATACAGTTCCTCCACCTGGGAATTTCAGAGATTTCAGATAGCCTCTGTGGTTATTAAGAATGGGATAAAACCACAAACCAACTTTCATACCTGATTGATTTTGTTCGCTATATATCGCAGAGCATAGATCCATTATATTAGGTGAACTTTCAATTAAAGGTACTGAATGATTTAAACATTATCCACTATTCAGCCCTGTATCAACCCAAAACCAACACATAGAGAGCATATTTTGCATATTAGGGTGTTATAGAAAGCCAGACATGTTCTGCTACAGCACCATATATATTTACTCAGTCAATATAAAGAAGCTACAAACAACCAGCCACACAATATAAAAAGAAACAATAAATATATTGCTTTATATTCATAAAATAAAAAAATTGTCCAATCACAATCAAGAAATTATTATCAAATCATCAATTTTAAAACAAACTTTTGGTACCCCTGGTACTCTTCTGCTTTTTTTTTTTCTTAATCTGGAGGCAGACCAGCAGGTTGAGAAGTGAAGGACATACTAGTAAAGACAGAACTCCGGATTAACTCATTCCTCAGAGAAAAATTAATATGTTGGATCAGGTAGGTGTCTATCAGCTTTGTTGTCTAACATCTTTAGGGAGAAGTGAATCCCATAAAGCACTGCCATGGATCATGTGACCCATTCAGTGACAGAACCAGCCTATCAAGCTACAAAGGCAAGTTTCTGAGAGGGTCACCCTGCACAGCTCATCAATACGCACCACATTCTGTATATTGACCTGAAAAATGATTTCTCAAATTATGCTAAAACTTACACAATGCTGCTTTAAACTGTTTAATTAGTTTGGTTGTAGATTATTTCAATAATCGTGATTAATCCGATTAATTGTTTAAGCCCTACTGTGTTATGTTGCAGCCAAAATAACATTCATTTAAGCTAATCTGTCTAAAATATGGTCATTTAAATAGTACTTGAAAAGTGAGAACATACACACAAAAAGGAAAATCTGAGCTAAATAAGTAGGTTAAATTGTCCACAAAACCTCAGACAAGCCTTTAAGAAAATTTTTTTTTACAGGTATTACACCTTAACAGAACTTTCTTTGTTGATGTAAGACGTTTGATTTCATCAAGATACAAACCTTGCTTAGGTGAAACTCCAGCCGACGCATGAACCTCTCTATGGCTTTCACTTGCTATAACATAAGAAAATAAGCCAGTTATCTTTGTTTTACCAAGAAGACAAATCAAAATAGTTTAACATGTTAATTTACCAAATAAAGCCCTAAAATTATTTTTTCCATTAAAAATAATCAGAGAAAAAACTATTAGAAATTTAAATCCAACTTAACCATTGCTCTGACTGACAGCAGCTCATACATTCAAATAGGACACATTATAAAACATAAACGCTAAAACAAAAACATGGTCCATGACATCTACCCACTGATGTCTGAGCACTCATAGTTTAAAATATTGGGATTTCTTTAGATGAGGCCCTTCAAATGTGGTTGCTTTTGGAGTGGATTCCACAAGAGCTGCTCATAATATGCAAATGTATTTTTTTTTTTTCGCAATAAAGTATAACATACTTTGTTACAAAAGGATCTGCACCCCTTTTCAAATCCATTTAATTCTATTTTTTAAAATAATTTAAATGGCCATAGTTGAATAAGCCTACAATAACCCAGTATTTAGGCCTGCAGATTTCTCCTATATAAGACGATTTGTGTGGCAAGTTGTGCTTTTTATTCGGATGATCCAATATATGATTCTTGGTTTAGGCCAGTGGTTCCCAAAGATTTTCTTCTGGGCCCCCCTTTAGATTACAATAAAATTTCTAGATTCTGTGAACAAGACCTTCCATCCAATGTTACAAATATAGAACACTAAACTATAAAACCATGCAGAGAGTCTGTCCAGAAGAACTGAAGCTCTTATTGCTTCAAAGGTTGGACTAACAATCAAATTAAACCCTGGATGTAACTTTAGATCTGTGTAAGGGCAGACGATGGAGTACTTATGACCGCAATGAGTTTAAGTAGAGATGATGCCTCAGATCTGTATGGACTTAAACAGAACAGATGTGAATAAACTTACCTTATCTAACTCGTACAGAGACCCCTGCAAGCAGATGAAGAAGAAAACATTTAATTCATGGTTCCTACTCCCTGTTACTGAATGCTAAGGGTGCTGGGACGGGTTCTCACCAGACGACTGTTTTTCTTGTTTTCTCTGATCTGCTGACCCAAACTGTCCAGCTCCAGCTGGTGGACCTGCAGGTATGACCTGATAAGCAGGACATAACATTTTTACCGTCCAATAATATCCCACCAGGGAGCCATCCACAGAATCAATGCCTTTACTCACTGTAAGCCTTTGCGTAGAGCAGCGTAAACCTCATCCAGCCGCTCAGGCTGGGGGGTTTTGGTGGGTGGCAGTTTGGTGGAGCCTGTGAACATCCTGCTTCCTTACAAGGCACGTTTTCTTTTTGGATCAAACTGAGCGGAGTGGAGGAAAGGGAAGAGGGAGAATTATCTTCTCTGATAAAGAGGTTTGGGAATTATTCCAGCTGAAAGCACCAAGACAACAGAGAGACGGAGCTGAAAGAACGCCACTCACCTGCTGAGAGGAGGAATACTCTCACTGCATGCTCAGAGAGCGGAGTGTAGCTTTGCAGCTTTAACAGACAGAAGTACATGTCCTGAAATCACATAAGAAGAATGTATTAACAGGGCAAACACATCTCTGTGTATCTTATGGGTTTATTCTCTGACTTTTTCTTCACAGTTTTTTTTTTTTTTTTAAACAAACAGGGGTGACTGGAAGGAGGAAAATTAAGGACATCTACGGAGTTTCACTTCCTTAGTTTCTCCAGGGCCACTTAGCTGAAAGTCTGAGAGGGCGAGCATAATGTTAGCAGCAACCGCAGAGGCCACAGCTGACAGCAGCAGGGAGTACAGTCTGCTTATGCTTCTCTTCCCCTTCCTTTCCCTTCCTCTCTCCACCCCCTCCTGCTCCACCATGTCCAGCACCGTAGCGCAGGAAGTCTCACAGCCGAAGCTACACAGGAAATTCTCCACTGAAGTTTGGCCTAAGAATAAAAAAAGCATCACTCCACTTAACACAAGAGGGCACAAATCAAGCCTTTAGCTTGCCGGAGAGCAGATGTCAGGGGAAAACTACAACAGGAGACCTAATAATCTAGATTAGAGACTTAAAGCAACGTAAATCTGTCCAGCAGGAGCCTGGACAGGACACAGAAACAAGAGCATCTGCTCAGCATTGGGGAAAGTGTCTAAGAGCTGCTCCACCTGTTGCAGGGAAAATACAAAAAAAATCTGTTTACATATATATCAAAGTCTCATTAGTAGGAATAATCAAACTAATCCACCCACATCAGCCACGTTGAAGATGTTAGTTCAGCCCCGACTATCCCTAAAGATTAGGTCCAGTTGATCATTTCTTACAGCTTAACACACACTTCAAGTCCTCCCCTCTCTCCAAACTACCGTGAAACCAACAACATGCAATAATAACCCAACAATAATAGCCCAGTATGGCTTCCATATCCACACATAACCAGTTTAGACCCACACCATGTCCTCCACAGCAGGCAGCTCTTATATTAATAATAATGAGAGCTAATCGCTCTGTTTGCTCCCCATTAGATGTGCGTTTATCCCTTTTCTTCACATAGAGGTCATTAGCTGGATTAATCCCCTCTCTACGGAGCAGCAAACACAAAGAGGACACTGTTCACAAACCTCACAAGACTGGAGTACATTTTTTTTTTTTTATGAAGAACAAAAACAGAAAAGCTTTATATCAGAGAAAGGCAAACCCCACAAGATTATTAAGCCAATTTCAGCAGAGAAAAGTTCCTCCGTGCTTCTGGTGTGAAGGAATGTTATCATTAAAACTTTTTGGTGCTTTGTTTCGTCTGTAATTTGTTTGTCTCATTTTAGGAAGAAGAAAAGACTGGAAGGCATAAAAGAAAAAAAACAAGAATAATGTTCAGCCAAAAAAATGTATTCTTTATCCTCACTTTTTTTTTTTTTTTTTGTGTCACAACTGCAATTTTTTATGCTTTATATTCACATTTTGTGACAGGTCAAGACAAAGCAGAGCATAAATTCTGAAGAAAATTGCATTTAATTATATTTTTTTAATTCAGTAGAGTCAGTATTTGCTGCAAATACAGCTGCAAGCCTTTAGAAGTAGGAATCTTCACACTTATAACATTTGAGTTTTCTCTCCCTTACTTCTAACCAGAAAAGCTGAACTTATATTCTGCAAATCAATTCCTGACACAGATTATCAATTAATTCAGCTACGGACTTTGACTGGTCCATTCTGATCCATTAATCTGATTTGACCCAAATCCATCCATTGTATCTCTGGTTGGTGGTTTACTGTTGTTGCCTTCCATCCCAGTTTTAAACTCCTTTGCAGCCTACAATAGAACTACTATCATTTCTGAGCAGCTTTCCTGTAATTATAGAAGTAAAACTTCCATGCATGCTGCCACCGCCATGTCCCATACTGGGGATGTTGTGTTAGCTTAGACTTAGACAAACTTTGTTGTCCTTTTGTATACACAAAGTGTATACAAAACGAACTTTCGATGTGCACAGCTTTCAACAGTGAATGTGCAGCTTACAACAGCTTTACCATTTACAAAGTGCGGCAGTGATCAAGAATGTAAACAGTGTAGGAGAAAAGGAAAACCAGTTTAAAGTCCTGGTGCAAAAGGCATTGATATGGAAGGTTCAGAGCAGTGCAAAATAAATAAATAAATATGGTGCAAAATAGAATAGAGTATTGAGTTGGATTCTATTTGAGGTTAAAGGTGACACACAGAGATGGTTTTCTGCCACAAACAGAATACGAGCCAACAACTGTCATTTTGTTTGCCTCTAAGCAGAGCACATTTCTATTTATTTGACTTTTTCCCAATATGGGTTGTAAAAGAACCGCTAATGTCTTTCTACTGCGACTCTTACTTATGCTCCTTGAGATTCTTTTCAAAGCTTTGGTGGCTGTTAGGAAATGATTATTTTGCGAATTGATGAATCTGTCAATTATTATTTTGATTCATCGACTAATTAACGGACAGCAAAAGGTTCCTTACAGATTTTTTACAAAAATAAACAAGTGGAAAAGAGTTATGAATAGGGCATATTGGCAGACAAAACAGTTTTTTTTTTTTTTATAATTTTGATATCAATACGTTTCTAAGTGGGTTTCTCTGTCAGCATACAGTTTATAGATTTTATTTAAAGATTAATTGATTACTAAATAAGTTGATGATTATTTCAATAATCGATTAATCCGTTTAATTTAAGGACTGCTAAGTGGCGCAGTGGGTAGCACTGCTGCCTTGCAGCAAGAAGATCGGGGTCTTTCTGCATGGGGTTTGCATGTTCTCCCTGAGCATGCGTGGGTTCTCTCCGGGTACTCCAGCTTCCTCCCACAGTCCAAAAACACGACTGTTAGGTTAATTGGCTTCTCTAAATTCTCCTTAGGTGTGAGTTTGTGCGTGAATGGTTGTTTATCCTGTCTCTGTGTTGCCCTGCGATGGACTGGCGACCTGTCCAGGGTGTACCCCGCCTCTCGTCCATAGACAGCTGGAGATAGGCACCAGCACAAGTGTGTAAGAAAGGGAATGAATGGTTAATCCATTTAATTGTTTCAGCCCTACATAAAACCAAACCTTTTTTTTTACATTTCTCCATAACTTGATACTGTTTGCTCACTAATTCTCTCTAAATAACCCCAAATAAATAGCTATATATATACTGAAATGTAATTAAACACTCTTAACTATGTTGGCAACTGTTTCACTAAACTTTATGTGGGAGTATCTGATGTGCAGGATTGTGCTCTCACATCACATGAGCTCAAACTGTTTATGACGCATTTAGATTGAAAATAAGTAAATCTGATCATAACTTGGTTAGATTTTATATCTAATGTAATAATACAAAAAAATAAAAAACTTGAAAGCCAGTAATAGTCTAGTAAGGGTTTTTCTGTGAGCAGATAGGAGTAGTAGTCATCCCTACTTTGGTTCTTTTTCGGGAGGAAGAGGAGGAGGAAGAGGAGAAGGAGGAGGAGGTGGAGGAGGAGAGGAAGGGGAAGTGGTGTTACCATAAAATGCAGTCACCTCTTTTCCAGATTACTGGATTAGCTTTACCAGGCTGGATAAACACACCCTGACCACAGCACAGCTCCTTGACTCGCACTAAAGGGAAGAATGGGGCTCCAACTTCTTTCCACACTTTGTATTCCGTTCATATCCCACCCACAGCCAGCCAGAAGGGGCTCATCACAGGCCACAAAAGTCTTCCCCCCCTTCGTCCTCATAAGGAACCCCAACCGCCATCAACTCTGGACACATGTTAAACACTGGAAATAAACTGAACATCTAACAGAGCCCTCTGGAAAGACTGTTATTGTTTGTGAAAAAAAGAAAAGAGGAGAAAAACATCCCAGCGACACAACTTCTTTATGCCCGACGGACGGACTCATGTCCAGAGAAAAGAGCCAGGGTTCTTCCATTGACCTTGGTGATAAAACAAACCTTCAGCGTCTTACCTCTGTTTTAGTGTCCGACAGCCCGGAGGAAACACCCGGAGGCCCATTCTCAGCGAGATGCTGCCCCTCACCTAGCTGAGGTTTACAGTTATTCTGGGCGCTGTCCTTCTCACTGATTTCGCAGATTTTGTGTCCAAATCAAGCTAATCGTGTACAGTCAAAACTACTTCCGGTGGCGAGATTTCAGAATAACGGCTCTCTCGCTAATTCTTTTTTTTTTTTTTTAAACATCCAACTTTTAAAGTGACCAAAAAGAAAATAAAAATAAACATCTAGTAGATATGTTTTTTTTTTTTTTTTTTTACTAGATCCTTTATGGTTAAAATTAATATAATAAAAACTACAATTCTATTTTACAGCAAATAAAGTTTTCCTTTTAATATTTTACTAATGTTATTGATCAACACCAAAAGGCACGTCAACTGAAACATCAGAAAGTCAGGAGAACTATTTCTCAAACAATTGTAAAAGATTACAAAAAACAGGGGATGATTATTTTCTTACAATATGATTTAAGCATGTAAAAAAATGGAATTTGCTCAAGATTTTCATTCTTTAACATTTTTATCTAAATAATTTGTCATCGTTTTAAACATATCATAAACATATACAGATTTATATCCATCTAGTTGTTTTTGTGTGATACAGCCAAAAAACGAATATCGAAATATATGGGCCTTTCTCTAAAATCTCTGGAGTTGGGATCTATATCTCCGATATTTGCTTCTATACACTTTTGTTTAAAGTTTCTGTAACTTTTTGGTAAGTACGAAATGGATCTGTTGTTCTCATGCCTGATGTTGGAGAATTGTTCTCTGTGTTAGAATATCACTTGATCAAGACTTTCCTATCATTCCATACAATAAAAGAAATAATAAATCTGATTCCCGCTGGTATCGTATCAGGGCAATATCTGTATTGTTCAATACTCAAACTGCCATATCAGTATCATATCTGGACATCATGAATAACCACTGTAAAAATAGATGGATTTATTAAAGCTTTACACATATGTCACATATCAACTAAATCAAAGCTTTTACAATTTGCTTAAATCAATCAAGACAGGCTACAGTGTTTGACAGGACACATGAACAAATGTAAGTACATGAACATAGATCATTTACTATATCACATTTGACCATTATTCAGAGGTTAGAACTGGTTATAACTATTTTGAAGAAAGTATTTTATCAAGATATCCACTACTTTGTAATTTTTATACAGTTTACGTTGTTAAATGGTACTGACCAGGTTTTCATTCCCATATCCTGATACACAGACAGGGTTTTGAGAAACAAAAGGAACCTTTTTTTTTACTCCTTCCACCTTTTCAGTATCAGAACCACCTTATAATAAGCATATTATGTAAACATCAGAATGTAAAAAAGCCAAACAATATTTTTACAGCCGTCACAGATCATTTTTGTTCAAGTGGAAGAATATATATATATATATTTTGAATATTATTTTGAAGTTTAGCTCCCTGGACCGGAAATTGAGCCCGGTTAGTTGCTGTGGCAACAAACATGTCCCCTCAGCTTCAGTCACTGTTTTCTCCGTTGCTACCCCTTTTTCACTGCTGGCTACACCACGAAGAAAGCGGTGGAAAGAAATAGCCATGGCTATATCGGGAAAGAGGAAGGACTGACGGAGTAAAGTTTTACAGGCGCGATCGTGAGGATTCGATTGTTAGCAGACCCGGGGCTGGTTGTTCGAGTTGCAGCAAACTGGAATAAGAGGGGAACCATGGGGACGATAATCTGGCACTTTTTACTCTCAAAATACAGCTGGTGAAAGGCGACAGGCTAACTGTCAGGGTAGTCTAGTTGGGTTATTTCTGTAGTCTCGGCTAATTATTGGGATTAGGGGATTTAAGCCAAATGAAGTGGTCGGATTACATTTAAAATCAGGGTTCACGAGTTTTTCTATCAAATGCTCATTGATTGTTAAAACATAGCTAAGAAAGTGAAGTTTTGATTCCCTCTGCCGGGGAAGAGTAGGAATGAAAAAAAAAGCTCAATACCTGGGCTTATCGACTGGTTTTTGACATGTTTTACAGTTGATTAGGTCGGTGTGTATAAACTTTTCAGCAGAAGATTCATAAACATTTAAATGATCGACATGAAATGCATCAGTTCTGCCTCATGGTTTTACCACATCTTCTAAATTTACTTAGAAAATAAAAAGTATTTGCACACTCCAGTTTGCTACGTTTATGCCAAATATCATTGTAATGCACTAAGTATCCTCACATACAGTTTAAGTAATATGTGACAAAGTGGTTAAGTTTGTGTTCATCACTTGTCCCTTATTCTTATTTCTGAATGATAATGCTTAAAATTAAACAGTTTACAACTTTGCTTCCTTTACTATCCCTGGTTTGTTTTTTTGATTGACTGATTGACTGAGTGATTGATTTATTGGTTGACTTTACTGATCTCACAGGGGAGAAATGTACTCATATATATATATATATATATATATATATATATATATATATATATATATATATATATATATATATATATATATATAACAGCTGAGGTCTCTTATTTAACAGAATTATTATACAGGGTTATTGCAAAAGGTATTAAATGGTATTCATATATATATAGTTATTGCGCTGGGTATTATATATTGTGGTTAGGACATTGCGCCTGGAATCCAGGTTCAGATTTCGAGCCTCACTCCCACAGACTGCCACTCTGGGTCTCTGACCAAGACCCTAAACACTGCTCCCTGGGTGCCTAACAATGGCAGCCCACTGCTTCCCAAGGGGATGGGTCAAAGGCAGAGGTGAATTTCTCTAGTGTGAGATTAATAAAGTCCAATTATTATTCAAATTTTTGTATTAATGCTTAGGGTATTAAATAGTGATTGCACATTAGATATTGCAGCAGTTTTTCTCTTTATAGTAAATAGTAGCAGAGATGAATGACCTGCGGTAGTGCTCCTTTTTACAAACAGGGTTTAAAAGTCTTTGACTAAAGGACCTGCTCAGCTCCTCTACAGTCTGGTGCAGAGGGTGGAAGGTGTTGTCCATGATGGATGTAAGTGTGGACGGCCCCCTCTTCTCAGCCACTTCCTCCACTGAGTCCAGAGTGCAGCCTGAGACAGAAGCGGCCTTTCTCACTAGTTGGTTTAGTCTCTTTCTGTCCTGCTCTGCGCTGCCATGGGCCCAGCAGACAACAGCGTAGAAGATTGATGCCACAACAGAGACATAGAAGGTTTTAGCAGGGGCCTGCTCACCCCAAATGAATGGACACAGACCTAAATATCCCATAGAAAATCCCCCAATTAGTAGTAATAACCGTGTTAGGGTGATTTAAACAGAGAGGTCTATTTGTTTGTCACCAACATTTAAAACAATTGTTGATTTGCTAGAGGAAGAACCTGTGTCTGTAGTACCTGCTCAGGAGCACCCCATCTGTGTTTTTATCGAGGGAAAGCCTTGTGTCGCCCTATTAGATTCAGGCAGTAGTCTCACCCTTATTAGACAAGATTGTCTTTCCAGAGACACCACATTTTCTGATGAAGTTAGACTTAGTTTTTTGTCATTTTGTATACACAAGTGTAAACAAAAAATAATTTAAGTACAGCTCTCTACACTATTTCATTTTTTAAAGTGCAGGCAAGCAGCAGTGATAAAAAGTTGAAGTCTGGTGTTTTCATGTTGATGATGTTAATTATCCCATTGCCAGTGTTGTATTTCAAGTTCATTAACAGTAGTAATGGATTAACTTCTATATCAGGTTGTATTGGGTTGGGATATATATAAAAATGATCTGCAAACTCCAGTTTGCTACATTTATTCCAGTTTCCCTTGTAATCCATGTAGTGTCCTAACATACAATTTAAGGATTAGTCTGTGTCCATTGAAAATACAAATAATCAACACATATGAAGAAAAAATCTAAGATGAAGACAGGGAGAGAAAAAACACAGTCCTGCTTTATGCATCCTGTGATCTCAATAATATGTGCTTATTGAAGCTTGTTCAGGTAGGGTAGAATTTATCTTAAAGCTACAGTGTGTAACTTTTAGCGACATCTAGCGGTCAGACTGCAGCAACATGAACATCTCCCCCCCACCGCTTCTCCCCCCAACAGTACGGCGAGCGTTCCGGGACAAAATGTCTTCCATGACATCCGCATCACCTACCTTCTCAAGTGATGAGGTTTGTTTACATAGATAATTTTACAGATAGTATTTCATTAGTCTGTGTAGGGTATAGATTTCATGTAGACTTAAGATAATAAATATACCCGTAATTTTTTCTACATCGTTGTGAAATTTTGGCGATCTCGCAATCACTAGTTTGTTGGCTCTGCGCTGCCGTAGCGCAAAGATGTCTGCCTCCATGGCTGTGAGACCCGCTCCCATGTATTTATAAATAACGAATTCTAAGGCAACGCAAATATTAAGGTTAAGAGGCTGAGCTCGTAGATGATGATAAATAACATAGTTATGTATAATATATTACATTTCTGACTGTATATCCCTGTAATTATTACACACTGTAGCTTTAAAATAAGATTGCAACACAAAACTAACCTTCCCCTGCAAGCTAGATTGTAGCGAGATCTGAGTCTTCAGATCTCAACTCAGTTATACACGTATCAATCAGGCTACTACCAGGTTAACACAAAACCCTCTACCACAACACATTTTCTTTTGAATAAAAAAAAAAATTACCAAGCTGAGTTTGATAAATGCAACATAATTCTGTTTTTAGTTTTATTTACAGTCCCAAATCAATGTTGTAACTGTAGGTGGCTCCTGTACTTAAGAAACCACCTGGGATCAAATACCAGCGAGCTTGTGGTTAAGACTCAGTTCTTGGGCAACAGTCATTATAAGTCATAAGTCATAAATAGCAGTGGAAGCTGTCTGCTTCCTCATTTAGCAAAGATCTCACATAAAAAAAAATATTGAACAACATAAAAAGCCTCTAAAGTTCAGGGATGAAAAAGTTAAATGTAGTAATAGTCTGTTTTTAGCCAGCTGACCAGCAGCAACAAGAAGGAGCAGAAGTGCTGTTACGCTTCCTACAGTCAGTCTGTGAAATCTCATTAAAAGGAAATGGTAACCATAGAAACGCTTTAACAAAATCAAATACATACCAAAGGTAACATTTTCACATACAGAAATGATTTAGGCCAATTGGCTGACCCAGAATGGACCATAATAAGCATGCATACACTATTATGATCTAATAATGGTTTGTATTATGCATCTCTAATATACACTATATTGCCAAAAGTATTTGCTCACCCATCCAAATTATTGGAATCAGGTGTTCCAATCACTTCCATGGCCACAGGTGTATAAATTCAAGCACCTAGGCATGCAGACTGTTTTTACAAACATTTGTGAAAGAATGGGTCGCTCTCAGGAGCTCAGTGAATTCCAGCGTGGAACTGTGATAGGATGCCACCTGTGCAACAAATCCAGTCGTGAAATTTCCTCGCTCCTAAATATTCCACAGTCAACTGTCAGCTGTATTATAAGAAAATGGAAGTGTTTGGGAACGACAGCAACTCAGCCACGAAGTGGTAGGCCACGTAAACTGACGGAGCGGGGTCAGCGGATGCTGACGCGCATAGTGCGAAGAGGTCGCCAACTTTCTGCAGAGTCAATCACTACAGACCTCCAAACTTCATGTGGCCTTCAGATTAGCTCAAGAACAGTGCGCAGAGAGCTTCATGGAATGGGTTTCCATGGTCGAGCAGCTGCATCCAAGCCATACATCACCAAGTGCAATGCAAAGCGTCGGATGCGGTGGTGTAAAGCACGCCGCCACTGGACTCTAGAGCAGTGGAGACGCGTTCTCTGGAGTGACGAATCGCGCTTCTCCATCTGGCAATCTGATGGACGGGTCTGGGTTTGGCGGTTGCCAGGAGAACGGTACTTGTCTGACTGCATTGTGCCAAGTGTAAAGTTTGGTGGAGGGGGGATTATGGTGTGAGGTTGTTTTTCAGGAGCTGGGCTTGGCCCCTTAGTTCCAGTGAAAGGAACTCTGAATGCTTCAGCATACCAAGACATTTTGGACAATTCCATGCTCCCAACTTTGTGGGAACAGTTTGGAGCTGGCCCCTTCCTCTTCCAACATGACTGTGCACCAGTGCACAAAGCAAGGTCCATAAAGACATGGATGACAGAGTCTGGTGTGGATGAACTTGACTGGCCTGCACAGAGTCCTGACCTCAACCCGATAGAACACCTTTGGGATGAATTAGAGCGGAGACTGAGAGCCAGGCCTTCTCGTCCAACATCAGTGTGCGACCTCACAAATGCGCTTCTGGAAGAATGGTCAAAAATTCCCATAAACACACTCCTAAACCTTGTGGACAGCCTTCCCAGAAGAGTTGAAGCTGTTCTAGCTGCAAAGGGTGGACCGACGTCATATTGAACCCTATGGATTAGGAACGGGATGTCACTTAAGCTCATATGTGAGTCAAGGCAGGTGAGCAAATACTTTTGGCAATATAGTGTACAGGTGCTGGTCATAAAATTAGAATATCATGAAAAAGTAGATTGATTTCAGTAATTCCATTTAAAAAGTGAAACTTGTATATTATATTCATACATTACATACAAACTCATATATTTCAGATGTTTATTTTGTTTAATTTTGATGATTACAAATGACAACAAATGAAAATCTCAAATTCATCATATCAGAAAATTAGAATATTACTGAAGACCAATAAAAACAAAGGATTTATAGAAATGTTGGCCAACTGAAAAGTATGAACATGAAAAGTATGAGCATGTACAGCACTCAGTATTTAGTTGGGCCTCCTTTGGCCTGTATTACTGCAGCAATGCGGCGTGGCATGGAGTCGATCAGTCTGTGGCACTGCTCAGGTGTTATGATAGCCCAGGTTGCTCTAATAGTGGCTTTTAGCTCTTCTGAATTGTTGGGTCTGGTGTATTGCATCTTCTTCTTCACAATACCCCATAGATTTTCTATGGGGTTAAGGTCAGGAGAGTTTGCTGGCCAATTAAGAACAGGGATACCATGGTCCTTCAACCAGGTACTGGTAGCTTTGGCACTGTGTGCAGGTGCCAAGTCCTGTTGGAAAATGAAATCTGCATCTCCAAAAAGTTGGTCAGCTGCAGGAAGCATGAAGTGCTCTAAAACTTCCTGGTATGTGGCTGCGTTGACCCTGGACCTCAGAAAACACAATGGACCAACACCAGCAGATGACATGGCACCCCAAACCATCACTGACTGTGGAAACTTTACACTGGACTTCAAGCAACGTGGATGAAGTGCCTCTCTTCTTTTCCTCCAGACTCTGGGACCTTGATTTCCAAAGGAAATGCAAAATTTACTTTCATCAGAGAACATGACTTTGGACCACTCACCAGCAGTCCAGTCCTGTTTCTCTTTAGACGCTTCTGACGCTGTCTGTGGTTCAAGAGTGGCTTGACACAAGGAATGCGACAGCAGAAACCCATGTCTTTCATACGTCTGTGTGTGGTGGTTCTTGAAGCACTCACTCCAGCTGCAGTCCACTCTTTGTGAATCTCCCCCACATTTTTGAATGGGTTTTGTTTCACAATCCTCTCCAGGGTGCGGTTATCTCTCTTGCTTGTACACTTTTTTCGACCACATCTTTTCCTTCCCTTCGCCTCTCTATTAATGTGCTTGGACACTGAGCTCTGTGAACAGCCAGCCTCTTTAGCGATGACCTTTTGTGTCTTGCCCTCCTTGTGCAAGGTGTCGATGGTCGTCTTTTGGACAACTGTCAAGTCAGCAGTCTTCCCCATGATTGTGTAGCCTATAGAACTAGACTGAAAGACCATTTAAAGGCTTTTGCAGGTGGTTTGAGTTAATTAGCTGATTAGAGTGTGGCACCAGGGGCCATCAATTTTGAACCTTTTCACAATATTCTAATTTTCTGATATGATGAATTTGAGATTTTCATTTGTTGTCATTTGTAATCATCAAAATTAAACAAAATAAACATCTGAAATATATGAGTTTGTATGTAATGTATGAATATAATATACAAGTTTCACTTTTTAAATGGAATTACTGAAATCAATCTACTTTTTCATGATATTCTAATTTTATGACCAGCACCTGTATATGGGAAGACATCAATCTGAATGCACTCCCCCACATCAAGAGTCCTGCTCCTCACTGCCCAGAAACCAAAGAATAAAGATCACTAATGACCAAAAAATAGGAAAACTGTTATTTATCAGAGGTTGTGTATTTACCGGTAAAAGAAACCTTTTATGGCATGTAGTGGCTTTATTAAGAAAAAAATCATTCCTCACACTTTAGTTTTGAAATTTAAACTGTGTTCTGACCCGTTTTTGGAAATTGAGATCTTTACTTGATGCATTTAGTTAATGAAAAAAAAACACCTATATGAGTGTCTTACCTGCATAATGCTAAATCCATCATTATATGAAAAACTTCAGGGTCTTTATTTGATATCCATCTCTATGACTTTACTAAACTTCTAACTGTATTTCTCACTCATTGAGCCTCTGATTGTTTATTTCCCAATCTGAAAACTAATTCTCAGGATTGAAAGAAACCTTGGTGGATATCCTGGTGTTCTCTGGATCAGTAACTATTTCTGAAAGAGCCACTTCAGCTCCCGACAGAGTTCAGAATCCTTTAACGTTGGTGGAGCTGTAAGATTTCAGCAGACCCCTACTTGTTTAACTCATTTGTAGTAAAATGCAAGAATAACACCCCTTCAAGTCCAGGTTTTAGCATATTAAGTTTTCTTTTCTGGATGTCAATTTTATCTGATTTGGGAGAAAAACAATCTTTTATTAAACAGATGAAATGGAAACACTGAAAGTTGGTAAACTCCAAGGTAGTAGGAATTTATTTAGCAATTAAGTGTCCTATTTCACAAGCCCTTTCTGTTTGACTGTTTTGATCCAGCTCCTTTCCAGAGTTGTTTCTTCACAGCTCTAAAGGCAAACATCTAGGGCAGGGGTCACCAATGCGGTGCCCGCAGGCACCAAGGGGCCCTCCAGGACCACATGGGGTGGCCTCTTCGTCTTCTGAAAACAGAACTCACTCAGTGGGTTAAGTTAATTTTTTTTTATTCTGTTGCTCTTCTTTTTAATAATTTATGTATTATTTCATCATGTTAACTATTACATCATATTTCAGTAATTTGAATGAATGAATGAATGAAAATGAGTTTTTATGGATGAGATTTATTGTAGGTGAACACTGATCCCTCCAGTTCATAGGTCAGTATTGGTAGCCCTTCCTATGACTCAGTAGCCATGAAGTAGCCCTCAGCCTTAAAAAGGTTGGTGACCCTGATCTAGGCTTTGACTAGGCTGCTGCAACATATTTGTTTTGTGTTCAGCTCCTTCTGAACATCAAAAGCATCTTGAATATCATCTATTTTGCTGTTGAAGGTGGATTTCCAGTTGTGTGGAAATTGTTTATAATCTAGAATGGTATTGTGCTGCCAGCAAACTACCCTATCACAAGATGGCATATTCTGATATTAGATGATAATCAAAAGCTGCTTTTACTTTTCAGATAATATAGCAGTGGACCATGGATTGACTTATTTTATAGGGCCAGTTCCCATATGAGATTAAGACTTTCAGTACCAGTTAATTTTTTTTTGTAACAGTAAATACATTTAGCCGAGTTCTTTAGGTTCTCCCACGTTTCTCTGCTGAATTATCTCCTCAGCATATCAATATCTGCAGTGACCTATTATTTTGCTTCGGGTTTTTGTGCCTATACATAGTCCAGTACAGACTCAGGGGTGTAAGTACCAAAAACAAAATGTATTTTGTTCAGAATGAAGGTATGGTTGGTATCACTACACTGAGCAGGTTTTTCATACGGCAATTAGGGAGAAAAAACAAAACAAAACAATACATGACAGAGGAAATACGCAGGGAAAGGGAGACATCAATAAAAACAGATTGAGGACTGAGCAAGGACATTTAACAGGATAGGGATTTAAACATGAAAATCTGATTTTAATCTCGTTCTAGACCAGTTATTTTGAGTCCATATATTTCTAAGCAAAAGGTTTTTGATCAAATATCTTCAGACACAGCTAAAAACAGACACATTTAACCACATGTCTGTTAAAATAAAGAAAACAAATCCACGTTTCCCAATTTAATAAAATATATTTGCAAGCAAATTATGCTGACATTTGTTATTGTTGGGGATTTATTCCCAGCCAATTTCAACAAACCGTGTCGAGCAAACTCTTGCTTTACCTGTACCAATAAAGCAAAGCCAAACAAATTCCTTTAAAAAAATACAGATCAATGCAGCAGCAGAAACCTAAATCAGTCCCATGACAACGTTTTATTGGTTGTACATTATTCTCATCTGCCACACAGTAATTAAAAAGGTAATTTAAGCTGCTATGTAGCTCCGCCAATGGTACAAAATGAAAAAAAAAAAATAACCCAATGTGGAATGACTACACATGAGAGCAAAACTACTGTTTTTCTTTATCTTTGCACTCATCTGTGACAATGTTATACACATCTTCTACATGTATTACAGTAGCAGGAAAAAAAGAGCATGAGATAAGCAGTCTATTAAGCTTTTAAAACTAGAATATTATTTTTAAAAAGTATTTACTAACCACACAGGAAGAAAAAAAAACCCTCCAGGTATATCATGGTTCGTTTGAAGTGGCTGTAATTAGAGGCAGTTGTTTGTTCATACAGTTACCTTTTTAAGATCGGGCTTTAAATACCTAAGCTCTATTTACATAATCCATATTAGCCTAAAAATGGTAAAGAAATCCTACAAAAAATTTAAAAGCTGATTCAGAGTTTTTTTTTTTAAGATTCTTATGAACTAACAAGCACTTTTTTTAACCCAATAACCCATAGATAGGACAAAACTCCAACAAATTACAGCCACCACAAAATAAAATGTCCTAAAATTTGTTTTTGGTTTGATAAATCCTTATTAACATTTTTCCTCCCTCCTCATGTCGAGTATTTATCGACAGATGATTACAAAGTAAAAAAATTTTTAAATTACAACAGTGACGTTTTCATCTGTGCATGGTACAACGTTTTCATCTGTGCATGGTACAAGATTCCGTCATCCTAAATGCCAAGAATTAAAATAAAGATTCAACCAAAGATCTGGGTGTTTTGTTTTTTTACAGATTTCACCTTCACATAAATCATCGGTCCATCATGCTGAGGATCATCTCAGGGGTCAGGTCTCCATTAGGAGGGGCCTCAGAAAGTTGCACCTCCTCGGCGGCTCCTTCTACCTGAGACAGCTCCTCCATCTCAATGGCTGACTTGACACCACCGATCACCACCTCCTCGGTAGCCCCTTCCTCCTGCTCCGCTCCAACCTCCTTTTTTACTATGATGTCGTCGACCTCTCCCGTGGCTTCATCCTCCACACGGATGATGGCTGCAGCTACAAATACATTCAGGTCAAACTTGAGCTCCAGTCAGTTTATTTTATTTTATTTTTTAAATCAGCAGCCTATAGATTTCCCAGTGGTTTCTTTTTTTGTGTGAATTACATAAAATGACGATAACTTACTGTTAGGCTTATTCTTAGGTGGGCGTCCACGTTTCCTTTTCACTGGTGGCTCAACTGGTGCAGGAATTGGGACCACTGGTTCAGCCTGCTCCACCTCGATTTCATTCAGCAGGTCATCGTCCTCATCTTCTGCTTCATCCACTTCTCCCTCTACAGAAAGACACACAGGGGCTTAATACTTTTACGAAGAAATTTTCCAACTAAACAATTAATGATCACTTTAAAACACAAACAGACACAAACTTAACACCTGTATTATCATCGTCGTCATCATCATCATCCCTTCTGCTCTGCATCTTTCTCTTTCGGCCACGGCGACCCTTCTTGGGAGAGGGAGACCCGTTTTCATCCCCACCAACCTCACCCATGCAGTTCTCGAAATGCCGCAGCATTGTATTCTGTTGAAAACACAAAACTGTCAGCCTCTCATAGCAGACATATCACACAGGGTACGGTGGAAGCTCAAGTGTCCTACCCTGCGTGTGAAGGTCTTGCTACACTTGTTGCAGACGAAGGCGGTAGGAACAAAGTTTGGATCGTGGTAACGCTTGAAGTGCATATCCAGCAGTTGTTTCTGACGGAAAGTCTTCTCACACTGGCTGCAGGCAAACGGCTTCTCTCCAGTGTGCGTGCGCTTGTGCATAATCATGTGGCGCTCCTGTGTGAACACCCACTAGCGTCAAACAACAGGCAATTTGGAGAAAAAACATCAAGACTAAACACAAGTGGTCGCAGCACACCTGTCTGCAGCAGTAGTCACACTGGTCACACTTGAAACGTTTCTCGTTTTTGTGAGTCTTCTGGTGTTGGATCAGAGCGTAGCGCTCATGAAACACAGCGTCACAGTAACGGCATTTCTTCCCCGTCTCAATAAATGAGTGCTGCTTTCGCAAGTGAACACCTACAGAAATAAAGAGCAGAAGAATGCAAGGATTAACATCACTAGGCCCCAGAATCCAATCAAACCACACGTCCGTTTTGCTCCAGCAGGCTTTACAGATTACACATGGGAAAAACGTACCTAGATCACTCTTGCGTGCGATCACAGTGTCACAGTGCGGGCAGTGGAACTTGGCCACGTTTTCTGTGTGTTTTTGCAGAATGTGCATCTTCATAGTGCCGCTCTGCGTGAAACGAGCATGGCAGATGTAGCACTCATACGGCTTCTCCCCTGCAAGAGAAAGGAGGTGAAATCATCAGAATGATCTGTTTAGGAACAACAAAAACCAAAAAGGAAACATACAGCTGAAAAACAATGGGCCACGTCTATTTTACCTGAATGTGTCCTCATGTGTCTCTTCAGCTTGTACGTGTCTCTGCTGGCATAGCTGCAGAGACTGCACTGGAAAGGCCGCTCTCCAGTATGAGACCGGATGTGCCTTTTCAACTTACTCACCTAAGAACAGAAATACATGTTCATTTTATACTGCACTGAATCCTTCTCACTCTGAAAGTTATATATAGCCCTTGAAAATAAAAACAGAATTACCTCCACGCTGGAATAGTCGCACATTGAACACTTGAAGGGCTTCTCATGTGTGTGTTTGTAGCGACGATGACGCACCAGCTCTCCACTTGTCACAAACGCCATGTCACAATCCGTACATTTATGAGGGCGGGTACCTAAAATATAAACAAATGAGAATGATTTTTTTTTTATTGCTTCAAAACTGCATAGCGTTAATCAGCCTTCATACCAATAAGGAATGGGACAATTCAGCACTTGTTGAAAAAAACTGTATAATTTAGAAGGTGTCACTTCCCTATGTGGAGAATCAAATACCTAGCAGACTAGTACCCTCTATGAAAGTATGTAACTTTTAATTCAGTCATGAAGTAATTCTTTCCTAACCTTCCTGATCGGTTTATCAGCTAATTTTTAGTATAGTTTACTACTAAGGGACAAATGCAGTAATTCTACACCAAAATAAAGCCTTCCACGTATAAGCAAGGACCTAGCAGATAAAAACCACTGATGATCAACTCAGCAGCAGACCGGTTCTGGTACAATTGTCAGTTTCGAACTGGCTGCACCATGACCACCATAACTTATTAGCCACGTTAGCTTCCAATGCCTTGGGTTGGCCTAGATGTTAGAGCAGTGCGCTTGTACTCTGAGAAGGTTGCAAGTACATGGTTCGATCCCAATAGCCTGCACTCTGGGTCTCTGAGCAAGACCCTTAACCCCTGATTGCTCCCCGGGCGCCGCACAATGGCAGTCAACTGCTCCCCAAGGGGATGGTTTAAATGCAGAGGTAAATTTCTCCAATGTGAGATCAATAAAATATTATTATTAACAGTTCTACGGTGGTGATTGAGGGGCACAATCTCTTTCTTTGTTACTCTATTTAGCAGCCCCTAGACATTTTTGTGTGTGTTTATTTATGCAAGATTAGAGCGAATACTGCATGGTTAAAACTTCAATGGTGAGCTTCGACCAACGGATCACATTTAGTTGGCTGCCTGTGTCCATAAACTTCACATTCAAACTGAAAACATTAATGGATGCCTCAACATCATTGCATTATTTCACCTGTGTGTGTGTTCAGGTGGTTTCTCAGCAGTGTGACTGTTCTAAAAGCTCTCCCACACAGGTGACATTTGTGAGGCCTCTCATCGGTGTGGCTCTTCATGTGACGATCCAGGTTAGAACGCCTCGGACAGGTATAGCTGCAAAGCTCACACTGGAAGGTTTTCTTCACACCTAACAGAAACATTTTATTCAAATGCAAATATGAAAAGGACAATATTTCAAGTAATAGAAATCAAAGAGTTGAAGCCTCACCCTTTTTCTTGATCTTGGTGGGCTTTGGAGGCTTCATGTTTCCCACAACCTTCTCAGCATTGACCTCTGACAGCAGCCCCTCCTGCTGCTCTTCCTCAAAGTCGTACACAGAAACATCCATATCCCGATCTCCTTCTGCATACCGAAGTCGGCTTTTTTTGCCCTTTTTTCCTTTGCGGACAGCAGCGATGGGCTGGTAGTCTGGATCCTTTGACCATTCTGGGTCATCTTGTGGAGGAACAGCCGCTTCAGGCTCACCCACTTCCTCATCTTCCTCTTCTTCCTCCTGTACAGCTTGGAGCTCATCGTGGGCTGCTTGAAGCTCTTCCTGCTCTACAGTCTCCACCTCACCGTTAGCACCTACTTTTACAACCTAAACGAAAATTTTTATACGTTTCATTACTGTTAGCAGAGAAATCTGACCAGCAAGGACTTATGAAGAAGTATAAAGTCATTTCCCACCTGGAAGCCTTCAGGCAAGGGAAGGGTGTGGCAGATAACTGGTTCAGAATCCTTGCTCCCAGCAGGGGCCTCAACATAAGTGGCCTGTAGCCCCTCTACAGTCGTTGTTGTGACTGGTACCTGCACAAGCTGAAGCTGACCGAGTCCTAACGCAGCACCAGCCTGTTCCTCCATATTCACCACCTACAGCAAACAATACAGTATTATAAAAAGCTAAAGAACATGTCAGGCTGCTTACAAACCATAGATCGATGTTATTGGTATGTATGCATACCTGAAGTGTGATGATTTGACCCTCATCTCCACCAGTAACCGTCACTGTGCCTCCACCCTCCAACACTTCGGTTTTCATCTGCAGCAGAGTTGGATCCAGCGCATCCATCACCATCATGTCCATGTTTCCAGCCACTTCTCCCTGCGCCGCTTGTATCAAAGCCTCCCTGCCCTCTGGTAGGACTTTTCCATCAGAGGTCAGGGCAGCAGCCTGAGCCGACTCCATGGAAACAACCTCGCCCTCCATGGCAATGGGCTGACCAACACTCTAGTAAAAAAAAAAAAAGTTTATCCCAAACCTCATCTCTATCATGATTCCCCCACACCCTAGTTTCAAACCCGAGGCATATATATTTCTTTAGCCGTTTCTCTTAAATGCAGGCCTGATTCAGATACCATTATTTCCAGTTTCATAATTAGACCTTCAAAACGGACAGCATACCTTTATTGTTGCATTTACTGCTCAATAACCTGTATATTTTAAGTTTTAAGGATTTTTGACAGAATCTCTGGACATTCTTTAAACCAATTTAAAAACCCTGATGCTGTGTCCTTGTTGGAGACTAGAAAAAAGGGAAAAGCAAGGGAATTATTTTCTAGCAAAACACCCAAGTGTCATGAACTAAATCTATTAACATAATAGCCAAAATTCTTTGAAGAAGACTTTATGAAATTAAACCCAGTGAAACTCAAACTTTTCCACTGGAGGAGTTCTGGACAGAACATACTGACAGATGAAAAAGAAATATATATATATATATATATTTTTTTTTTATGCAAAGTGTTTAGATATTTTTACAATCTTTGTATAGTTACTGCTGGTTTGCTCTGTCAGCTAAAGACATATCTTAGAGTCTATACTCCAGTTAACATCCAATCAATTACTTAATTATTACAATAATCGATTAATCGTGATTAATTGTTTCGGGCCGACTGTTAACTACTTAGGTTAACGCCACAGAGGAAGGATGTATAAAGAAAACTAAATTAATCATCTAATGAAGCCTATATCCTGCAAAGTATTTATTTTGTCCTTTGGGCAGACTTAAGCCATATGGTTTTAAAATTGTATAAAAATCCACATCTAAGTCATTTTTCTCTTAAAAAATGTAATCAAATAAACCAATACAGCCTTAGATTTGTTATGCCGTTCATTGCACGCGGGAATAAATATGAAAATACTGTAATAGAAGGTGAATCGGTGTTTATAAGAATGTGAGAAATTAATCTATGACTTCTTTGCTTCCTGCACACTTTAAACTACGGTGGTTTGAGCGGAAATTAGGGACTGTATCACTCATAAAAAGGAGAAAACAATCCAAAGAACCCCTGAAGCTTAGGGTTCAACTTGGCCCGCACAAAGGGAATAATGGAGATTATTAGAGTGTAGGTCCGACTCAGTTACAGTAAACAATATTAGGTCCAGATTGAAAAGTTTTCATGCAGCTGTTCAGATTAACCGCGAACAGATGGAGCAACTGAACCAACGGTTGGAGATAGAGTCGCTCACTTCGCTTCTTTCTGCGGTGATAAGACTGATGGGGTTTGACTGTTTGCCAATCACCATCAGTCGTTCAACCAACCATATATTTATTGATATTAAAGCATAAATGCCTCGTGTGTTTATAAACGACGAGATAACGCGTTGTTTTCAAGTCGACAACTTGTCCGAGCTGAGCTGTGTTTAAGTGGGGAAGCGCGACAACGTCTGAAAACAGGAAACAAAGGGCACGATAAGATGGACGTCAGGCCTGAAAATACTTAAATCAGAAATAGCGATAAATACAGCCATCCCTGTGAAAATATGCAATTATATCGTCCGGAAGGCTGCAAAAATACTCGACTGATGCGCCTAGTGGAGGTTTATAGAGAATTTAATGTATTTTGGATAACGATAGAGGGAGACAAACACCCCCCGCCAGTCGCCTGAACGGTAAGCCCTACCGTGACACCTAGAGGCCGTCGACGGCTCCTACAAAAACCTCTGCTGTTTGGAGACAAAATGATACTTTCACTCACTCCTGGTTGGTTCTTTTCCGCGTAGTATTCACGTCGAAGCTCAGCGCCGACGGTTGCTCCTCTCAAACTTGCAGCAGACGGTGGGGTGGGCTCTGTGCCGAGCTCTTAATTTTCTCCCGCTTTGGAGGAGTAGGCCTTACACAAAATGGCGGGTCATTAGCAGCAGCGCGCATGCGCGATGGCAGTGACCGGAGGGAAAAGAGGGGCGTTCCCTAGCGGCAGCTTGAGGCGATGGGCGCCAGATTTGAAATGAGGCGTGGGTGTGGCGATTTAAGATACGCCTTTATTAAAGGAGAATTGGATGGAAAGATAATTTACAGACTTCTCACAAGAAATGTTGATCAATTTTGGTGTCAATATACACAGTGGTTGTCTAGGTGTAGTCTAAACTCTCTTAAAAAAGATGCCTCTGATTGAAGCAGAACATAACATTGGCCACAAGAGGGCAGTGTGAGGCCTGTGACAGGATGTTTACATATTGAGATCTATGGATGTAGAATTGGCAAGAGGGGAAATAATACGTTTAACGGAAATTTGCGTTTCTCTCAGGGTTTGCAGAGTTGCTTTGGGATTTTATATTTTATTTCAAGTGCAGAAAGAGTTGTGCTGAACTTAAATTTAGTGCATATGGGGTGCAGATGAATATGGGGTGGCATATAGGATGTAAATCAAGACTGTATGAGCTTCTTCTGAGGAGAGAGACCAAAATTCCTTTACTTAATTTTCAAACAGATCTCTGTGAATTTAAAATATTTTTAATTAATTGTGACTTGCCCAAAATGTATGTTTCTGCCGTAAAATCGAATGTCCTGGCATAAATACTCCCCCTCTCCTGTTTGCGTTCTTCTCATTACTCTCAAAGATCTTCTTAAACACACTGCCAGTGTGTTGCCTAAAGCTGAAATCCTGTTTGCAAAAGGATCTACAGCATCCACCTCTTATGTCTCTGCTTTCTTGAGGATATGCTTTTTTAGGACAAAGTTCACCCCAGATGATGGTGACCTTAGGTTGAGGGCGTTGCCTGAAGGTGTAACTGTGCAGCGTTTTGGGCCGCTGCCTGTAGTGGCATTGCTGGGATGCAGCAGAGTACATCCTCTGGTGTATTCTGCTTCACTCTATGCAGTTGCTTTGCTCTTTAGCAAACTCAGAGTGTTCTTTGGTTGGGTTTAGAGTCTGTGCGTTGTGTGGCTGGCAGTCATTGCTGAACCATAGTAGAAGCGTCCAGTAGGCCACCATCTTGTTTTCATGAATAATGGATTGACATCATTGTTGTGCTGGACAGGTTTTTTGGGAGGATTTTTGAGTTAAATAGTTTTTAATAGTTGTTAATTTAGGAAAGGAGGAGGAGACCTGTTCCAGAGCCTTAGCGATAGGGTGAGGGCCTCGTGATCAACCTGGGAGGACTCAGAGTAGAGCCGCTGCTCCTCCACATCGAGAGGAGCCAGTTGAGGTGGCTTGGGCAACTGGTTAGGATGCCTCCTGGACATCTCCCTGGTGAGGTGTTCCAGGCACGTCCCACCGGGAGGAGGCCCAGGGGGAGACCCAGGACAAGCCTGGAAGCGCCTTGGGATTCCCCCGGAGGAACTGGTCCAAGTGGCTGGGGAGAGGGACGTCTGGGCCTCCCTACTGAAGCTGCTAACCCTGCGACCTGGATGGATGGATAATATAGGATGTCACATGATATAATGTCCTTTGAAAAACCTATTAGGGAAAATCCGTTAAATTTTTGGTTGTAAAGGACAAAAAGGCTGCTATCATCGATTCTTATCGCTCTCTCAACTGGCTATTTGTTCCTTCTGTTATTGAAGGGGTCTAAAGCAGGGTCACCAACCATTGTAAGGCTTAAAGCCAATTCATGGGTACCAAGTCATAGGGAGGGCTACTGACCTTTGAACTGGACGGGTCAGCATTCATCTAAACGTCATACATACAGTTATAAATGTATTGTTGTTAATTGTTATAATTTATGGTTTTCTTTTAGATATTTTTATTGTGAAATCTCTATAAATGCTGTGCTAAAGTTTTTGCAAAGTAATGGGTTGTATAGAAGACTTCGACTCAAATTTACTCAACTTCTCAACTTCACTACACTCAAACAATGGTATATCAGTATTTCTTTTACAGCATTAAGGCCATTAGCAATTTCAGGAGTTTTATTGTCTAAATAAATGTTTATATGTCTATTACCACCTGTGGCATCTCCAAAAATGCACACATTTAGTTATTTATCAGCTGATAAAAAAATCCATTGTTCATTGGTTTGTTGTTATTTAACTATTTTGAAGGAGAAGAGAAGCTTCTGAACTCTGTCACAGTAGTAACAGTCAGAACAGGAAGAGAAACCATGATTCTTTGCAGAGTGACCGAATCCACCTGGTGGATTTAGTCGATATTCACAAAGCATCCTTTGTTCAAGTAGTCTGAGTTGTTCCATGCACTTTTTATGAGCTCTCATTGATATCAGGATGCAAACAAGCAATTCTAGTAGTGTAAAGGGAAAATAATTTATGCAGAGGACTTTGAATGTGCAATTCTTAAAAACGTTGCTAAGGGCTTAGTCATGTAAACTTAATTAAAAAAATCCATCCATGTATTATAGAATTAGTGGCTGCATCAAACTTGAAGGCGATCACTAAAACAAGTCAGTCCTACAAAAATACAAAAAAGAGAAATAGTTATTGTTCTTGCTCATAGCTGTGTTCAACAACACTGATTAGTTTGTATAAATAGTTATTTCATTCTAATTTTCATTGTCTAAAGGATTTGAAGGCTGTGCTGTTTTTCCTTGAAAATAAGTATTGCCCTGAGACACATTTTGGAGTAAATGTGCCAGGTTACATTTCAAGTTTATAATTCCACTGTTTCCCCCTGAGAAAATTCTAACTGCTCATTAGCTAAAACTACGGTCTCATCTGGTCTTAATATTATATTCACTCTTTAGGGATTACAAGTACAGACAGGTAGTAATTAAGATTAAGCACATATAAGCCTCAGAAAACAGTGTGACAAGTGGTCCAAATGTTCCTCTAGGTGAAATAACCAGCAGTATTGGTTTGTTATACCTGCAGCCTAGCATTGGAACAGGCGAAGGCATATTACTGCATGTGGGAAATTATCCAGGTGAGACTCCAAAGAGGAAAGCAAATTATTTCTGGGCCAAAATGGGAGTTTACGTTTCCCTCATTTGTGTAAACAACTGCAAAAGCAAATAGCAAAGAAATGTGATCCACATATAGACATGATGCAGATGAGCATCCCGAATGTCTAAATAACTCTCGCAGTTTGAATATCAAATGTTCAGCAGCCACACAGGCAACAATATTCCCATTAAATACTGGACACAAATCTACAGAGAAATAAGCCATGTGATTAAAAAATATAGAAACTGGTGCTTGGGGGCATATTTGACATTGTTGTTGTTTTTAATTTTTGATAAGTTGTGCAACTCTCTGTGTTGCAACTGACTATCCTCTCAAAAGCTTTTGGAACAGGATCTCCAATCAGTTGCAGGGGACCAAAAGAAAAAAAATAATGCCTGGTCAATCTGTGAATTACTGGTTCCAGGATTCTTTTCCGCATATAAAATAAATTATTAATTTGTTACATAAGCAACAACAGAACATTTTGTCTATTCAGGGGTTTCCTGTTTAAAGTAATATATGATATACAGATTCACAATGTTAGGGTGTGTTGTTGAAGCAGGTGTCTGAGTGGTGACTTTCATCCCTGTGTTAGAACCTCTCCTTGCTTTATCTCCATCTTTTCCTCCTGGTTTTTCCTCTCACAGAGGGGAGGGGGGGGGGGGGCAGTGGCAGAGAAAGGCGAGGTTCTGTTGTCAGATCTGTCAGTCGAGCCAGCCTGGTCCCTCCCACCACTGTGGAGGCATTACATACGGCTGGTGCTCTTAGCAACCGTGCCTCAGCAACAGAGCCACGGCAGCAGCGTGCCGTGTCTCCCCAATGGAGCTGCCATTGGGTGGACCAGCTCTCAGGCACTACACCCAGAGCAGACCGAGACCTCACCGGCAAAAACTGAACTACCGTCCTAGCAGACCGCAGGTACTGTGTGTGGGCATCAGATGGGCTTGGTATAAAATGGAGTGAGGAGTGTTTGGTGTTTGAGAGAGAGAGGGGAGTGAAATGGAAAGGAGGGAGAGGATGTAAGAGGGTATAGAGGAGAGAGGCAGGGGGAAGGGAAGGGTGGAGGAGATGCCTGGTCCCTGCTTGAATTAGGCAGTCCCTTTGTACCGGTCACTGGCTCTTTGAAAAACCCTCTCTCTTGTCTCTACGTTTGAATATGAGAGGGCGGTGAGGCCAGTGGGAATTTAGACTCAATGTCTTCCCTGGCTCTTCTTGCCAAAAAAATAAAAACAATAAAAAGGAAAAGATTGAGGCTTTTTTAAACTGTCAGTGTTTTAAAATGCAGAGGGAGTGCATGTATTCCCCACTAAGCTGGTCATGTTGTCACCGAGCTCCAGCAGCTTGTAGACATTCAGCCACACTCCCTAGGAGACTAAATTCACCCAAATCCCTCCCTGGCAGAAGATCGTGTAACGGTGACTTCCGCTTAATCTGTGTTCTGCAGCCAACCTCTTGACTTTCATCTTCACTTGTGGGCACAGATGCTGATACCATCAGCGTAATTCAACACTGCATAGCTGAGATTTTGATATTGCGTTACCTTTATTGGTGAAATAAATTATGCTGTCTAAATTCTGCATGTAAAACCCAGCGACGCTTGATCACTTCACGTTACTGAGCAACTGGGTCCCAGGAGGCCTCGTTCCAAGCTGAAATAGATGAGAAAATCCAACCAAAGATATGTGCATTGTTTCATGAGGGAAAGTGCTGCCAGAGTGTGTGGGTTTTTAGAGGGGATTGTTATGTAATGTAAAGTTACATGTAATTTAATCTGTTTATGTTTGATTGCTGGGATCTGTTGAAATCAGGAGACGATAATTGAGAGTGAAAATGAAGTTCTTGAGCACATGGGGCGTGTTGATGAAGGAGTGGAGGAGTTCTTTACAAAGAAAGTACTTCCCACAGATACACTGTGAGTATCACTCAGTAGTTAAGTGATTAAGTATTCATAGAAGCTGGATTGTAATGTGAGGGTTGTTTCTCTAGGATCAAGCAGGATGAGGAAGTCATCACACAGCA